ATTTTACTCATTTTTAATTTGCACCGAACCTGAGCGCACTGAACGTACTAAGTTAGTGAAACTTTTCTTTTCTCGAAATTCCCTTTATTTTAAAAGTTATAGGCAAATTAAAGTTACAAAAACAAGCAAAAAATAACCTCCCTTATGACGTCCTTGGTTGCTTGAGAGTGGCCGTGAACTACAGGAGAACTAGTGAGCTCATCCAGCGCTCACGGCTGCCGCACTCCGAGTCGACGGCGCGAGAGGGCGCCACTAACGCGTGTTCTGGGTAGGCTGTATGCAGAGGACAGCCACAGCGGCTCTCATTGCATTTGCTGCGCGATTAAATACTAATTCGGCATGACACTTCATTGGCCACAAACGAGAGCAAACACGGGGTAAAGATCAGTTCAAAATGGAAGCTACTTTGCGCTGCCATACCGCGAAACGGCCAAACCGCAAGACAAAGCTTCTCGTCGAAGGCCTTCGGAACGCTCGGAGCCGGTCAGATCCTCCTGCCTGAACGACCGCAGCGCTGCCGCGTACATCCGGGACCCTTCCGTGTCGGCGCCTGATCCCACTACTCCTTTCTAGTATGCGCCGCCTTTTCCACCGCTTGGTGGCGGATATGTCGACGGGTCATCTCTTGTTTCCGTACTTTATGAACTGCATTCGTTTTTTTTTTTTATCTAAAATACTGAATAAAAACTACTTTCATAAATAACTGAACCGGTTCGCGCCAATTATATTTTGTATTTCGACTAAAAAGAAGCTTTTAGCGGCTCTGACCAGTAGTAAGCCCAGGACCAAAGACGTCACATTTTGCACGCTTTCGGTACCGCGGGTCGCCCTCGTCGGTGGAGGAGGTTTCCGCGCCGTCCCGTTAAAATATGACGCACTGATATTTAGTTACTCTCTCCGTGCCCGCTGGTTTGCCCGAACCCCAAGAGACGTGGAAACCGCAAAAAATGTGGACGCTTAAATATGATTGCAGGGCCCCTTTAATGGCATGAAGAACAATTTTCTGCCCGATTGGCACCTTTAATCTAAGAGAGTAGTTTGCCCCCGCAATACATTCAACGATGCACTTTATAGTAATACTCACTCATTCACTCTACACTGTACGATCGCACACGTTTATAGGCCGCCTCGGCAAAAACGGATCCGGACCCGCAGATATCCGATCCGCATCTGCAGCCCCTGGCATCCGCATCCGATCCGCAATCTGCCAAATCTGATTCATTCTTATCCGAATCTACCAGTTTACTGCGGATATCCGCGGATAACTGCGGATAACCCACGGATATGCAGGGCTCTAGAGATACGTTAAGAAATTACCTTCCAGAAAATGTATTAGTGCATCTGTTTTCTTAAAAAGTGCTCATGAATGGCAGGTTGAAGAAGGGGGCAGTTTGAAGGAACTCAAGCTGCATTAGAAAATCTCTAGCCCCAAAACGAGGAAACGTGCGACCAAGCTGCAAATTGCCTTTTTATTGTCTTTTTTCATAAAACCTTCCCGAAGTTAAGCCGTCCGGTAATTGCTGAGCAGTCGGACCAAAAGGTTGCCATTGGGAATACATGGGGCCTGGGGAGCTGTGATGGCCTCTTAATTTGTCATGTTGAATACATGCCTTGCACGTGATGTCACATAACACCGCACTGGTCGCTATTGCTCCGCACCATATGTTCCCGTGCCCATACCTTCTGCAGCAAATATTTGGCACAACTGAATTTATTCTTCTCGGCAAGGCTTCACAAGAAGAACAGATTCGGCGGCGTGAAATCTGTGCTGCACGAGATACGGGCACAGGAGCATGGCTTCGCGAGAAGAAAAGATATGAAGGTGCAAAATGTGTGCTGCAGAAGATACAAATACAGGAGCATGGCAAGGAGCAATGGCGACTTACATGACGTCAATGCTAGTCGTGTATCTATCTATCCATCCTGCGCATCTCACAGGATGGATGGATAAGGCTGAACCCTTTGAATCGTGCGGCAACTTGAACCACCTAGCCAGTGTTTCTTATCTTTTTCTTCTTAACATTTGTGACAGCAAATGTTAAAAACTGGCTGTCGAACCGAAACTTTTTGTGGTTCGGTTCAAATTACGGTTCACATTTCGGTTCGGTTCAGGTTCAGCTCTGCAGTGGAAAAAGCAATGGTTCGAACCAGTTTAGACCGGTTCAAGCCATTATCTCCGAAGTCAGGAGATATTCTCTGAGATTGTTTCGGCTGTCCCGCAACGTTCTCCGCAACCCGGTACGGGATCCGGGACTCTGCCGGCAAAGCTAGCGTCGTGCATATGCAGTAGTGGCATCTTCGTTCCGGACAGCATAGCGGAGGCGGGAAAACACTCTACGAAAACTCCCTAATTACTGCGACCCGGGAGCCCATTCCCAAGGCCCACTAGAGCGAAAGGCACGCTCTGCTACGGCCCTCAAATGAGGGGTTGCTTCTCCTTCCCCCGCAGCTCGATGTGGTGACTGAGGCCATATACCCTTCCTGTAGCGCTTTAACTCCTCCTGAGCCAGGCCTCTCAATATTGGCCAGCAGCTTCCTGCCCTTGATAAAACTTTGGCACAAGCACAGCAAAGCCCGGCGGCCTCAATGCTTGAATAGCTGTACTGCACTGGCTGAATTTCTCATCCACAAAGGACACATCAGACACCCCGCTTTTCAAACACTACACTGTTTGCATGCGAGCCTTGCATTTAGTTTACAGGTAAGTTACCATCAACGTGTATTTTAAATATGCTCACTGACGAACTGGTGTTCCCGTTTATTTAAACCCTTGCTAGTATAAAAACAAAACAAGACTCCCAAATCACCTTTTTATGATAATTGTATCACTGACACTCAAGTTCAGTACTGAAGCTATTTTTATGATGGCTGCCACTGCAAACTGTACGTCCCCCCCCGGACTTCAAATAGATTGACGCCCCTGCGGGTTCAGCTACAAAATGGCGCCGAAAAATTAGGTTCAGGTTCAGCTCTGGTTCGAGAAAAATAAGCGGTTCAGTTCCAGTTCCGGTTCAACACCCTGGTTAAAAAACTTGTCTCACAACGAGCGCGATACTGGCAAGCGCCGACGCCAAGGCATGTCGTCGAACTTCGACGTGTGTTTGGGGCGGGTCGGAGGAACACCAACGATGAAGTCATGCGCAGGCCTTCTTAGTTGTAGTTCCACACCACGCAAGCGCGTGCACGCACTCAAAGCATGAGCGCATAGGTCTCGGCCTGAGCCAGTCCAAGACACCTGATTCAGCTCCTAGAGTCACTGACTCTAGTACAACCTAGTACAGCCCGATTCATATACAGCATTGCAATATTTACAAGTCCTCAACCCACTGTACGATCTACTCAGCCCAGCATGCACGTGTTCGTCACTTCGCAAAGCGAAATCATGTGCCGTACACGGTACACTGAAAGCAAAACCAACCAGAAGCCTTTTTTTTTTTTTGGAAAAATCTATAGAGCCCTTTAAAGATACTGCCTTCTGTTGGCAGCTGTAAAATCCCTGCACAATGGCGGACTAAAACCTTAACGTTGCGGGACACTGGAAAAAAACACACCCCCAGAAAGGGTAATGATCGCAGTGACATTGCTCTTTCGACGCTGTTTGATTGGCTCGTCGGCTCGTAGTGTTGGCCGCACTGCGATGTTCGCTATCTTAAAGGAGCAGTGCAACGATTTTATAATTTTGAAAGAATTTGCATCTTCTACTTTTGACATTGTTTATCTTGTTACAAAGGACAGAAAACACATCTCCCTCCTTCGAAATGTTGAGATTCCACCGCGAAATCGCGAGGCGAAAATTGGAATATTTCCCAACCTACAGCCGCAAGCGGCGGCCATGAGAACCATGCGGTGTGATGTCAAAGGGGGACTTGTAAAAAGATAGCAAATTGTGCAAATAACTGCTCGACAAAAGGTAATTTTTCTCTATAAATCTTGTCGTTCCAACATAAATATATAAATGCGTCAAAAACCTGGTATTGTCGACAAAACTTTTATTATACGGAGTTTTAGTGGCACCATCTATCCGAAGTCAACAAAACCGTAGGCTCTATCTGCTACCGCGAACAGCCGCCAGAAGCCGCAGGGGGACGGGGGCAGAGCCGGACAGGGATGGCCGGACCAGCCGGACCCGGACGAGACTTTCCCGCTTTTGCCATGTTGATCGTGTTAGCTGCGCAAGCACATGGTCACATGAGGGTGAGTTCTCGCTGCTCACTAATGGCTTTAGAGAGAAATCTTCACCGGAACCCTGCACGTCCCCCTTTCACATCACAGCGCATGTGACTCGGAAGATGTTGAAGGAGTTGAGAGGTGTTGAAAACCTGAATCATTGTCAATTTTTAAAATAAAATCTAGGACATGCAGGCAAAAGCGTTTTTTTTTTTTTTTTTTTTTGTTCTTTACTTCAAAAAGGTAGAGACACCAACTCCCAAAAAAAGAGATGCTGAACCGAAATTTGGATTTCACAAAATAATTCTGCAGAAGCAACAAACTCCAAAACATCACTCATGCATCAACACCTAAAACGGACGGCCGTATTGTTGGAAAAGAAGGGCACAATCAAGTGAGCAATGTGACGTCACAATTCTCTCCCAACAGTTGAGAATGAGGGGGAGCGGCCTCGCTTCTCTCCTCCTCGCTTTTGTTCACCCGCTCGAGGGGACGAAGCCAAGAGGAGAGGGAACGAGAATCGAGACGTCACATGTCTGGTAGGCCGTGTTCAGGCACACAGTTCTTTTCCAAAAATACGGCCACCTGTTAGAGATATCGCTGTATGAGCGATGTTTTGGGGTTTTTCAGCGTCCAGCCCTATCGCTTAAACTTTGTTTTGTGATATCCAACTTTTGGTTCAGTGTCCCTTCAAGGAATGACTTGCACTTTCCTCGATGTAGTTGTTCCGCCAAGTGTGAGGGGGTTCCGAGCTTCTACTAATCGGCACGTGACAATTTCGAAATTGTCACGCTCGACTGCTTCGAAAGCACACCGCGCTCGATAATAATCACCTGTTGGAAGACGAGTCGCGGTGGCGTTGCCCTGGGCGGACCGCGATCGTCCGAGAGACAACGACGAGGACGCCCAGAAGCGCGCCGGTGGGAAGGGCAATGCGTCGTCACGTCTGTGGGTGGGTGTCTGTCCTCGCGCGGTCGCTCGCCGTCTGCGCTACCTTGGCCGCGACCTCGTCTGGTCGCCGCTGACTGAACAACGCCGAGGTCGCCCGCCTCCCGTTGCCGAGCTGAGTCATCGTCGCAAGAACCATGCCACGTCCGGGCGACGGCCCCGCAGGCCAGCGGAGAAGCGATTGCGGATTCGTTCTATGCTGACAGCGCGGTGGGAGCTCCGCGCTCGAAGGACGAATCAACCGTTACCCTTCCCTTAACGAGCAGGTAGCTTAATTCACTCAAACAATCAATTTTATTCACATCATCAGGCAGTGATGTAAGCTCACCGCGCTGTCAGCGTGCAAGTCGGCGATATGCCGGACTATTTATTTATTCACAGATTATTTAATTGTTGGATTTATAAGCTTCGGCTAGGTGGCGCAAGCCGCCGCCCGATTAAAAAAAAGTTCGACCGTATACACCCATCCGGGAGCTACTACGCATCGCCGCCGCACTGTCCGCACGCTCCGCCCAAATGCCACGTTATCAGATTCAAAGTTTACAAGCGATTTTCTGAAACCTTTACTGAGAGACAGCATATAAGACCCGTTCCCGCGGGCTAACATACGGACGGCCAAAAACTCGCAAGGCAATTGGCGGAACCGAATTTGTTGATGGTAATAATCGCCATTTTTGGTCCTTTTGAAGCTTCGGAGTCGTTCCGAACCCCAAGATCGCGATGGAGCGAAAGCGTTCCTCGCCAATATAAGCGTCTGGCACTGTGTGTGCAATCGACTCATCAGCATGGCAGATCTCTAGCGATAATACTGTTCTCCGCGCAGATTTCACGTCAGGAAGATTATTTTTCAATGCCGTCAAGCACCAACGCCGCCTGTGAAGATGTGCGCTTCTTCAGCCGGTGTGTGGATAACCAAATCTCCGTATACAAGGAATGCCTTCATAAAGCAACCTGGAGAAGTCAAGGCACAGACAGCGCTAATCTCCCTTCCTTGCTTCTTGCGCATCGTGTTTTTTTTTTTTTAAGATGATTTATTAATTTATTCCGCTTTTCGCCTCGTTAGTACCCGATGTCGACAACATGCGCTCACGCCGGAAACATGGCACCGTAGCACGGTCAACGCGAAGAGCGCGTGCCGCGAGAGGCTTTAGCGCGCTCCTGAACAAAAAAGACTAAGCGCACATGAGGGCACCCCTACTGTCGCATCATGGCCCATGGGCGACATGGGGAGTGCACTCGAAAAGCCCGCGCTAGCGCCCGTGCCTCTGCCAGCGCTAAAGACAACTTGTCCCAGATCTCTCGTGAAAGCAACGAAAAGAGCGCGCGAAGGAAGCGCGCTGCTCGGAACTCCCCCCGTTCCGGCAGTATTTCGGGCTGGAGCAGACGCTGCGGCGTTTATGTTGACGCCGCTTTCGCTTCCGCCTTGCGCCAAATCGCTCGTCTGACCCACTTGGATCGGCCACATCCGCCCAGCTGACTGCGTCGAGAGATTGTTTTGCGCTCTAAAGGGACCACGAAATGATTTTTCAACTTCTTCCTACCTAGCTCAAAAGCGAAATCACTTGGTCCTGACGTGCTGGCATCCTCATTCGGCCACGAACGCGAATCCAAAACAACAAATTTTAAGCCAAATTGTAAAAAGAAAAACACCGAAAAGCAGGTTTTTTTTTACTTTTTACCTCCTTTCTTTTGACCCACTAAACGACATCCCGATGTAAAATCATTCAACCCAGCCACATACACCCCTTTAACGCTGAGTACGACCGCCTCACTCTTTTTTGTCTTCTATTTTTTGTCTAAAAAAAAATACCGATCGAAGAAAGTACTTTTTCTGGAACCAACCCAGAAATATGAACCAGCGTGAAAGTCCTGAATAAGCTCCTGCTTCAGTGCCTGGCTTTCAGAATCTAGCACTCCTTCCGTGTGTTTCGCACGTGCATGTTGGGGAGCGCGTGCGCTCGCGCCATCCTCGTCTAGCAATGAAGAAACAATGCCACAGAAAGTCGTCCCCAAGTTCGAGAGAGAGACAGGAAATGTTTATTGTACCACAAACGAGGGTGCCTTTGGAAGGGTTGAAATCACTGATATCGCGCGGGCTTGCAGAGACATCCCAAGCAGCACAAATGTCATACGAATGTCCACAGGACATCCCTAGAACTCTAGGACATCCTAAGGACATTCGCATTGCAGCAAAAAAATCATCCTCCATACAAAAAAAAAAAAAAAAAAAGACGAGCGATCCGAACCGCCTTTGTTCGTAGTCTGGCAAGATAAGAAACACAGGGAGGTTTCTGAGTTGTCCCGCATGATTGCACGCGCAGCCAAAGCACGACCGAAGGCTTCAAGCGTGTGCTGAAGAAGGATGGGCAAGTCGCCCTGGGCTTCTTTTGGGCAGGAAATCTGGACATCCGAAAGAGACATTCTGCGTTTCTTGTTCACAACTTGTACTGAATTTCTGGTTTGAAAATTACTGCCGCCAGCACGAGCAACTATACAAACCCAGCCCATGTTATTCGCAGCTCGCGCGGTAGCCACCGAGAAAGCCCCGATATGCTGTGAACGTCATTCGATCAAGTGAGTGCCTCCCGCTGTGAACCCCCTCTATCCTGGGAAAAGTGGCGCCATTCATTGTTCTAGAAATGCTCGAGGCACGTGCCGCGCGCCACTTCTGGGAAATTCATGGCCCGTGAAATCTAGCTCAGTTAGCTCAGTGCTGCGCTGTGCCGCCATGATCTTCCCAAGGGCGGCACATAGCACGTGCCTCGTGCATCGACATACCTTGCGCTACTTCTGAAACATGAAGGGGCTTTAATATGAAGCGCCTGAAAGCGACCCTTCTTACACACTTTGTCCGCAGTACCGGTGCATATTTCTCGCAGAGCGTACGAGATGCGTACGAAACACACAAAGTGTGTTCCGACATACCTAACGCGAATCAAGGTTGGTTCAGACATGAGTTGGCATGTGACCGACTGCGTTCCGACGAGAAGGTTGCTATAGCAACCGCGAAGTCCGCGCAACGCAGTCGAAAACCGTCACGTGCTCATTGTTAAAAGGGTCTGACACACTGCACAATGGAGGAACAAGTGACATTCTAAGAGATTCTAAAACTACATAAGCTAGAAATGAAGTGTCATCAGTAGACTTCCTAAGGTTTTTCCAACATTGGCCATAGCCTTTGCATTGGCGGTTTCTTTTGTGTCATAGAAAATATCGTAAGAGCACAGGGGAGCTGGTGAATAACCGTGTTGAATTAACCTGAAACTGGGGTAGAAAAGGAACATCAAAACATAGAAGGGACAAAACGTAAACGTAGAAGGGACTGTCCCTTCTACGTTTTGATGTTTCTTTTCTACTCCAGTCTCAGGTTAATTCAACATGGTTCTTTTGTGTCCGCCATTATGCAGGGATTCCACAGCTTCCAACAGAAGGTACTTTTTAAAAAAAAAAAAGAATCTATAATGACACCTTTTTTTTATGATTATTATTATTATTATGTCTTTCACGAGCAAAACGAAGTTCTAGATGAACCTGCAAATAGGACTTAGTGAAATAATAAAGAATTGTCTCCTCGTCCTCCTGTCTATTTTGACACAAATTATGTCATTCTACATTTTTTGTGGCAAATCCTTTGGACACGAGATAGCAGAAGTCAGTCAACTGAAAAGATAAACGCTTCTCCAATGGTATTTCAAGGGGCTGTGTTATTCCACGCATGCCTATTACTCCTAAAATTGCCAATCGGGTACCAATTGTTGTTCACAGCGCCGTCCAGAAATTTTAGGGAGAAAAACTCCTGGCAACGAAGTTGTGGCCGTACGCGATGGCGCATGCACATGGTGCCAGCGTCCTTCAACATCAGACACAACGGGCTACCAGCTCTTGACTAACCCACATGTTGCGAACGCCGAAGTTCATTCACGGCTAATTGATTAATATATATATTCAGGCTGAGAAGGGTGCTGGGCACACACAACTCTTGACTCGAGGTTCGCGCTGTCGCAAAATGTGCCGCGACGTACGATCAAGCGCTACCTCTACACTGTCAAAACAACGGTCCAAAAAGGACGCATCAGAGTACGCATACTCATATCCCGAGCATCAATTGACCCTAAAACCAGGCTAATTCTGTTCCTAAACGAACGGTGCGTAATTACGTAAAAAAAAAAAAAAAAAAAAAAAAGCGCAAGAGCGACGGAAAAAAATCCGGGATTCACCCAGCTGACGACAAGACGGAGACTCACCAAGGAGCAAGGCTGGTCGGTCGTCGGGTGGCGGCGTTCAGTGGCTCGTGGATTGCGGTTACTCCAAGGAGACGTTTTTGTTTTGTTTTCAGTTGGAACAAAACCTCAAACGTTTGTCTTCAAGGCACGTCGGTTGTGGCTGCCGTCGCGAGCGCACAGACCGTCAAAAACGTTGTCCTCACAGCACAGACGAAACTCGAATAACGACCAAGGTAACGACGACGACACGACGAGAGGAAGTTTACAGGGGAAGTTACGTCATCAAACACAAAGTGACGTCGTAAAAAATAGAAGCGCGAACTAAAGACAAAAAAAGTATTATTGGTAGCATCTGTCTATTATTGATAATACATATCGTTTATGTTTTATTGAAATGACGTTCACGATCAAAATTTATGGTATTTTTTTTGCGACAAAAACTCCTAGCAACCAAGGAGGATGATTGAGGATGATTGAAATGACGTTCACGATCAAAATTTATGGTATTTTTTTTGCGACAAAAACTCCTAGCAACCAAGGAGGATGATAGAGACTTCGTTGTACTGTCCGTTTTTTTTATTTTTCCTTCGTCTCAGGTTTATTATGGATACCATTCACCAGCTCGCCTGTGTTTTTTACCTTTCTTCACTAAGGATGCTAGCAACAGTGATTCTCATGCCCTTGAAAATCCAAAGCCATTTTGATTATTCAATCCAGAATCCGATATCCGCTTTGTTGGCTTGTCAGGTTTTTTGCGGTGTTTCTCGGAGCGTTGTCTGTTCGACGTAGATTTCCGTGCTTGGAATTCAGCGCGTTCGCCTGCCCGTAAGCTTGCCCCAACAAGATGACTTAAGAAGACGGCGATCTTACCAAAAACGGGACCAGGGGAAGTTTCTCTTTCCTCAAAACAAAGGTCCTGCCGGTCGTTACAGCAGCAGCGTCGCACCTGCATCGGTAAACCAAGCTCCAAGAGTCCGAGCAAAGCGATGCTCGCTCACGCTCATCAGTTTGTGCTCGTCGTGTAATCACATCGTATATAATCATCTCCAGTAAAGTCGCACATGTGGCGACCGCTTCGAAAGAGGGCCAAGAGATATTTTCTCATTACCGCCGAACGTTCTCAGATACAACAGACCGCTAATTTGATCGACCAGTGTGATCTTTCAATCCACTCTCGTAACATAACCCAAGAGTGGGCGATAGAACCATCTTTTCGGTGAGCCGAATGAAGACACCACATCTCCTTCGATTAGCCCGTTTACCTTAGTAATAACTTCGTTTGAGCCGATTCAAGCATTTGCGTTTGTCTAAGACCGACAGCGGTTTTGAAACGCTGCCGATCTTCGTTCGATTAGACGGACGGTTCTGCAGTGTTGACGAGATCAAATCTACGCCCAACATATGCGAAACGGTCTATTATAACATTGTCGGAATTATTTCGATCACGTAGTGAAATAATGATGCCTCAAAAATGAGGAAATATGCGCAGATCGAACGTGTTCCAGGGCTTCCCGACAGGCAGTGCCAGTGTGTCATCTAGTAGTAAGCATTAACAAGCAGTTGTAACAAAATCGCTCACAGTCGAATGTATACGTGCGAACCAGTCTTTATCGGGGCAATCCCATCATAGTTACACACATAGCGGAGTGTGCTTTTTAATGTGGAGAAGCATCGCGCGCATTACGATATGCACCCTATGTACTAGACAAGAGTTAAAGCATCTTCGATGCTCAGGACTGGAAAATAGATAATGTCATTTGAGCTCGATCTCGTCTATGCGAGTTATTGCTTTCTACGCAAGTGAATCAGGTTAAAAGTAGGAATAAGCTAACTTTCGGTGTGTGATAAAACAAAGTTGAAAAAAAATGCAAGTTCTAGATCTTGTGACTTGCCAAACTTGTGATTGCAGGGAGGGGGCGATGAACCAAAGACAATCTGTCCTTCCCACTCAGCAACGTTCGCTTCTCTCCCGTCGTGGCTAAGTAGCACCACTACTGCCGAGGTCACCATTGGCCAGAACCCTGCAGTTACTGGAAGCAATCTTGATTCCTGTCTTTCTGAAAACAAAAATAAAATAGGAAATCGTACCAAAAACTTGGTGGAAGCTTGAAGAAGGCAATGGAGAGACCACATTTGAGGACGCAGTCACTTCTGTGACGTCGTAAGCTAGAAATTGAAGGACTACATTTGAGGACGTATTCTGGGCACCCTACCCATGGCGACGTACCAGGTCCCAGAGCCACGAGACCGAAGTCGAGACTGACGCTCCGTGCGGTTTTCTCCGCAGAGCCTCAAGATGGGCGACGTCGAGATTGAGGACTTTGAGATCACCGACTGGGACATTGCCAATGAGTTCAACATCAACCGGGTGCGGAGGCGGCCCACCAAAAACCAGCAGATTTACGGTAAGTTTGGGCTTCCATCCGGATGGACAGTTAGATGGATGTTACTGGCTGTACCATTTGTAGAGGGCGGTAGCTTGCGCCACCTAGCCGGCATCCGCACGGAGAACGGTTGCCACACGCGGAACGTCACCGGCATCCTCGTTGTTTGTTTCACGCCGTCATTTTGTCATTGGGGATTGTTTGTTTAGTGAGCACCTAGGAATTCCTCTACATGTTTTCCGCCTGATTGTGTTTGGTCTTCTTTATTTGCTTGCTCGGTACCACTTCTTGTGGTTGTGTTTGTTGTGTACTTTGTTGGAAGTGTTTGGTTGCGTTTCGAAGAAGGTTGACTTTAAACAGTTAAAAGTTCTGTCATTTTCAACTGACAGAACAATGCTCAATTGACCTGTACTTCGGAAGCCAGCTTATTCTTCTTTGCCATTAGACTAGAGTGGGGCACCTCCGGGCTGAGAGCAGAAAGAGGAAAACTAACCTTCCGGTCACAAGAATGCTGCGGATTATTTTACTTGAACTAATTATATAAAATAAAACTTTAAAAAAAAAATTGTCTTAAAAGACAGTGAAGTCCCCCCCTCCCCCCAATTTATTTTTAGTGCCTGCATACACTATATAGGTCATAAAAAAATTAATTTATTGAACCTTATTTTGAGTATTTCGGCGGGCTTTTGCCATGCCGAAATAGAAGCAGGTTTTAGAATTGCCCCTTACCAAAAATGAGTCACTATGCAAAAATTAAAAAAAAAAAAAGCTATTTCTTTGGGGGGGGGGGGGGGGGGTGGAGGCGCTATGGGGGGGTTATTTTGTGACGTACATCTGCAGTTCAGGCACTTATAAATTATTTTTAGGTAGTTCATTGTCTCTAGGAGCAATTCCTAAACATGTTTTAGAGCGCAGCTTTTAGGCGTCCGTTTCCGGCTTGAGTGGCGTCGCCGTCGGCGTAACCGCGCGGTGCGTTATGGGACGCGTGATGTCATCGGCATCGTCATCAGCATCATCACTTATGACGTCATCAGTGACATCACTGATGACGTCATTTGCATCGCCATCGTCCCTGATGGCGTCATTGGTGACGTCATCGGCATTCACATCGTAATCGTCACGTGACCTCATAGGAGTCACGTGAGCCCTGTGAGGTCACATGACCCCGGTGAGGTCACGTGACCCTCGTGAGGCAACGGCGACACCGCTCGGAAGTAGGAGCAGCAGACAGGATGAGGGGGTGAGGAGGAGGGAGGAAGGATATACCTTCCCCTCGGTACCCTTCCCCTCCTCCTCCTCCTCAAGAGCTGCGCTCTAATCCGGCGTTACAGGGTGTTGTAAATGGCTTTAATTTTTTTATTTCAAACAGACTCGCCGAAATATCCAAATTGCTGTCAACTCGAAATGCATCACGCAATGTAAAAATTGCACAAAAAAAAATTAAAGATTTGCACAAAGTTTATTTTGTGGTATACGCATCTTCTCCAGGGACTCGACAAAAAAATGTATTATGGGAGTTCCGTTGTCCCTCTAAATGGAAATTACAGCTCCCTACAACAAAGCTGCCCTTCGTTTCTTTTCCGGGAGAATTTGTACCGAGCACTGGAGGCAGTGTGGCGCAATCTCTGTGCTTATTTCCCCGCAGGTGTGTGGGCAGACGACAGCGACGATGAAGGACGGCCCAGCTTCCAGTCGACAAGGAAGGCCAAGGACTTCACTGCTCCGATCAGCTTCATCAGCGGAGGAGTCCGCGTGGTCGGAAAGAAAGGGGAGGAGAAGGAGGAGGAAGAGGGCGAGGAGGTCGGGCCCCGCCCCGTTTACTTTGGCACATTCTTTCGTGGCCACGCATGCATTGCTGCAGCTAAAGGCTGGTTCTCACACTTGAGTCTGCTTACGACCGTGCGCTTTGAAACGTTTTAAAATCTTTTACGGCAAAAGAACGGACTTGCGCTACCTGTTGGTTAGCCGGGGAACACATTCAGTCTCCATATTTTTTCTGTTGCTTTTTCGCGTATCATTCTTTGTTGGCTCGACAAGCTTTTGACAATGTTATAGATAGGGTTTGGAGTTTTCGATTTAAACTGATAAAAACTGATAAAAGTACGCCGAATCCATTTTTGGAAATTCGGTTTGAACCGAAAAAGGTCAGTTTGTAGGTCGGCGTTTACGGTTTAAACCGATAAAAGTATGTCGTATTCATTTTCTAAAATTCGGTGTTAACCGAAAAAGGCCACTTTGACCTTCTAGTCGTACCGCAGACCCGTGGCGAAAAAACGAAATGATAGTGTCTACCGAATTGTGTCCAAATGCAAGGGATACACGGATGCTATCACGACGTTATGGCCTAATGTGCGCATCATCAATCGGAACGTGAAGTCCGAAATGCCCTATGACTTCACCATGTACATGCTTGTTTTCAAACTCATTGTAAGGGAGACTGACTTGATGCAAGCTCTGCAGCCAGAGTTTTGTGGGTACACGAAATATGTTGTACTTCAAAACGTCGCACCATGCCTCTTTTGATCAACAGACTTGGTTGATTGGCCGATTTTGGCTCAGGCAGCGCTTCATCTCCTCAGCCTGCCAGTGTCCAGTGTTATTTTCGAAGCTCAGGGTCATATTAGCAGGAAAGAAAGAGTGCGGATCAACAAGAACCTGGGAAAGCACATCTGTGTTTATTATAATAAGATCACGTAATCCTGATGTACAGAAGGTGAAGTTCCATGTTTTTTGGGCATAGGCTTCATGTCTGTACTTCTGTGTTTTTTTTTGTTTTATTTACAGTTGCACACATTTGTCAAAAGTTTCCATTTCTCTTTCAATGCATCTGTGCCGTTATTCTGTGAGTGATCGCAAATATCAGAGTTGCAAGAATCATCTGATCCAGAGACCGTTAGGTGTTTATTTTATATTCACCGAAAAAAGACGGTAAACTTTTGTGGGCATAAATATACACCGAAAAGCACTGAAAATTGAATTTTAAAATAAACACTGAAACAAGTACGCCGAAATTTGAAAAAATAAAAACCGAAAACGCGGAACCCTAGTTTCTAAACGATCATTTTCTTATAGACGATGCCTACATTTGATCTCGTGAGTACCTCAAAGCCTTCACCCTGCTGGAATGCAGTTCCGGGGTGTCTTCATAGTTGGTGCCAGCTTGCAAGAGTTAGTATTTCTTTCGGTGCGAAATCGCAAGAACTCCGCCCTAAGCAGACGCCTGTGTGAATGGGCTTTTAGTAAACTGTTTTTGCCGAACATGCAGCACCTTTGCTTCTGCCTAAACACTTTGCTTTAACAATTGCGGTTCATTCGATGGCCAGTGCTTCAGCCCTTTCTTGAAAAATGTTTGTTTAGCCATATTGTCGCATACTGCAAGTTTGCGTGGTCTGGATCACTGCATGCGAGTGTTATTAGGCAGCCGATTACGCTGCAACTCTCAAACATTCTAGAGAAATTGTGAAGTGACAACAGTCACCTGCTGGAAGATTTTTGAGCGGCAAAAGGAAAGAAAAGGCTGAGGGCGACCAAGCACAGGGGCAGCCGCCCTTTCATCGCCGTCGCAAGGTGTACGGTTCTCTTTTATTTTAGTTACAGGCACGAGTTTGCCTTAAGGGGGGACACTACTTAAAACAGTAAATTTTTGAACCACTTGTCCGATTTAAATTATATTTACGCTGCTTATTTTTGGTAATGTTGAGAACATTTCTACCAATTTTTGTTAACCTGGGTGAAGTACAAAAAAAATTGCAAACGTTCAAAGACGAAAGTGGGCGTGTCTGCTTAGGAAAACTATCGTTTTGAAATTACTTATAAATTTGTTGTTTTCATGTGTTACATTACATTGGGACAGTTCAAAGCAGATAACTATGGAGCTATATTTCTATGTTATACCATCTTTCATGATAAAAAAGCCACATAAACACAAATAGTTTTTCTAGATTTCCATCCTTTGTCCAAACTTTTAGTTCTTGAGCTTGAAAAATGACAAAAATAAAAAAATACAAGCTCATAGTTATCTTCCCCTTAAAATTTCACCCCAGAAAAATTCATAAAAATGAATCCAAGTTGCGTAATAACAAAACGATAGTTTTCTTAAAGTGAAATTTATGCCAAAAAGTGGAATGGAGAAAAATGCGTTCAAAGTGCTCCAACCTCTACCTTTTCTTTAGCATTGGAGCACCGAAAATAATTTATAAAAAATTAACTATGCAGCGTAAACTAATGAAACTTTCTGGGAATACTCTCTAGATGTTGGTGGATCTAAATATGACATTTTTCAAAATCAACTTTTTTTTGCAGAAATTGTTTTTTCTGGGTAGTGTCCCCCCTTAATAAACTTTTATCTTTGGTTTTACATTCGCCTACCCTTTTCTGTCCGTGACGACATCCATAGCCATCCACATAGTTTATGTACGAGGCTAAATTAACATTTTCCCGGATGTTGCTCTCATCTTCCTGCCGACAAGGATATAAGCTTGCATCTCCCTGCACGCCAGTCACCATAGAGTGAGCTGTTGGAATTGGTTTTTTTGCATGGGCATGTCACGGGACAGCCAGTTTTCGTACCCAAAGTGCCGGATCTGTAGTTGTTGTGACCATACTTGGATCATTACCTGTAATGGCAGCTTGGCGTAACGGTATTCAGCTGCAAGTTGTACCGGTCAGACAGACATCATTATATAAAATTGTAGCTATAGTTGCCGGCTCAATAACAACAGCAGGACGTCTCGTTCGGATGCTTCAGCATACACTTCATGCATTTTATTGTGCTTAGACTGCGCGAGTATGCTTAAGACTTACGAGATGCCGAAGTGATATTGAAGGGAGGGAACTTGTGCCGGGAGGCGAGACAACTCAAACCGCTCCCCGCCGTCCTCATTATATCAGTTTTTATAGTGTTTAATAAGAGCAACAAAGAAACAATTAGCCTGTGAAAAATGCCCAATGACTGACGAGATTAATTCTAAAGTGTTTAGGGGAAGCTTTTGGGGCTGCTAGTCCTGCATCGGTTGCTTCCCGTCGTCGTCCAGTCGCCTGGACTTCCTCAAAACGTGCCTGTCCCTCTTGTCCGTCAACAGCGGGGTTCGTCGAGCGAGGAAGAGGTCCGCATCCCGGTCAAGTCGGCCAAGAAATCCGGGTTCTCCGGCAGGGGGGGTGCCGGAGGGGTGGCCCACGGCCTTCTAGGCACCCAGGGGTGAGTGACGCCCGTCCACCCAGTTTTTATTGCTTACCGACATCCCCGTTTCGGCCACAGTGTGACACCCCGTCGTCTTCTCTGGCCTCTTTTGCAGGGACTTCGGCACCTGGGAGAAACACACGAAGGGTATTGGAGCTAAGTTACTTCTTCAGGTGTGAGATTGATTTTTGTGAAATGCCTGTCCGTGGGATTGTGCTCTGCCGCGTCGCGCTCGTTCTCGTTGTCACTGTTTCCGTCCCCACGCGTTCCTTTAGTGGGAACGGCCAGTAGCGGTAGCGTGGAAAGGGCAAGGGGTGGCCGGCTTGTGCGGGAACCTTCAGAAGCCATAGCTGATGAATCGTGCTTCACAGATCAGCATTGAAGCACGAGCTAGAGTGTAAGAGCAGACTTGGTTTTGCATAGTGATTGACAGCTGAGCATAGCGCAGCGGCAGATCCGGGAAGCAGCGATGTTTCTACTCGTCTTGCCAACACGACGAGTCACTTTTGTGTATGATGATTGCATGCCTGTAGATGATGTTAACAATAATGTTACTGTTCTCAGTTACTGTTTTCAGTCATTCGAGGAGCAGAATTGTTTTGGCAAGTGGCAGCAACCTTTGATCAAAAAGGCAGTAAAGTTTCACGAACAACGAGCCCGTAGTATTCCCCTCGCATTTTATGCGATCTCTCTTGTCAGACGTCGAACGACAAGATTGTGCTACATATGATTTCAGCCCGTTTAGCTTTAGACAGAAAGTAAGACCATTGAATGGTGGTACTAAATCAAGAATCAACAGCCAGTTTCAGCCGAAATTAGCGGAGAATATGAGATGAGACACTGGCAGCAGGGAATAATAATGGCACTTTGAAGGCTGTTGGGGCTCAGACAAAGATTTCTTTTTCGCATTATTCCCCCATTTTTTAGCAAGTTGCAGCAACACATTTCATTAGGATGTTCCCTTCTAGGTAGCGTTTAGTCTCTCCATTCTACGAGGCAAGAGGCTCATTTATTAACGCTAACAGCTTCGGTCGATCGCACCCCTAAGGGCATCCTTCCCATTTCTTAATTTAGATTTCTTTCATTTTGTATAAAAGTTTGAGATCTTGTGTGCACGCCGTGAAACAAAAAGTCCTGAACAAAGAGGGTTCTGCCAAAATTTCTCATTGGTGAACATGATGATCTTACGCTCCCATTGCAAGGAGGTTGGCTTCTCTTGGGAGCTCTTTGTCCTTGAGTTTCTCGTCTGGTGCGGTTAAGGTTTGTTTTCACGACAAGGATCGTTATATCCTCGTGCAGTGCTCGGTGGGAGACGGGGGCTTTGGATGTGGCCGCAAGGTCCTTCTAGGGGGTCTCGAATTGCCTACCTTATCGTGGCGGCTCCCTGCCTGGTTGGGTGGCAACACTCGTGGAGATATGCAGAACCCTATGCTAGTCTGTTGCAGGTTAAGAACAGTGGCACAAGCTTCTCTTACAAAGCGATGCTAGGTGAAGTCACGCACATGCTTCAGCTGCTTGATGGTGTTGTACACTAAAGGCCCATTTACAGATGCACCACGGTGCTATTAGTCAGCACTGGAAATGGTGCTGACCCGGCTGATGCAGCTTTAACTTTGCACAATATTAGTGATAGAGCGTTGCATCAGTGCTAAGTTAGGTTCAAGTCAGTGCTGTGTTAGCACTGTTCCCAGGGTTGATTCAGCACTGCAATGTATATGTGGATTGGCCTTAAGTATGAAATGGAGCGAAGGTGAAGACCTTCCTATCTTGAGGAACATTTATCTCTCTTGACTGATAGCTGAGGAACTTTTCCCTGTCTCAGAGTTAATGTGGTGAAGCAGTGCAGAAGCCTATAAACCATTTAAGCAGTAATGCCATGCTAGGGAGTGTTTGGCACACAGTCATGTGTCAGTGGATTGCTTGTATCTGTTGAAAGATTGCTTTAACAGGAAGCTTGAGGAACCCCCAAAGCCACTCTGGGGAACACCGATGTTCCTAAGAACTCAGTTTGAGAATCCGTGGATTAAGCAAGCAAAGCTGTTCGCAGCAATCAATTCGATCGTAAGCACATAGCTTCGGGTTTTCTCGTTTTCCCGGTGGTCCGGAGAGTTGACGCTTCAGTTCCTCCCACGCTCTGCGGCGCCTCCGACTGAGCCTGTGCTTCCGCCCCCCGGTTCCAGATGGGCTACCAGCCGGGCAAGGGCCTGGGGCGGGACCTGCAGGGCATCTCGGCCCCCATCGAAGCTAAGCTGCGCAAGGGCAAGGGCGCCATTGGTCTCTACGGGCCCGAACGGGCAGGGCCCAAGCTCGTCGGAGCGGAAGACAGTGCGTCAGCGAGCATAGGTGCTGCGGCGCGCCAGGCAGCCGACCTCAACCAGTGGCGCAAGCGGAAGGTGAGGAATGCTCTGTTTCAAACGTGACCCATTTTTAGTCATGCATGCGTTGAGTGTCTGCACCCGGGCTGCAAAACGGGTAGGGTGCAATGATAAGTTCTAGAATTGTGTGCTTTTTTTAATAGTAGTTTCGAATAATACACCATTCAATATTTGCTTCGAGATGAACCGCATTATTTCTTCTTTCTCTAAATGTTGATCGCGATGGGTTAGCCCCGTTCGACACACTCCTTACCGAGCACCGTTACACTGCGGAGAAGCAACACCTGCTGCAATCAACATTTCAAGTAGTATATAATTATTGCAGTCACGTGCTTATAGCAGGATGGTGCAAGCGCACGCCTGGCATATTTAAAAAGAGATGCAAACTTTGTGAATGTTGATGTCTACTTAGCAGTAAATTTTTTAGGATTATACCGTGGCTAGTGAGCAAGAATATATGTCAGGCAGAGGATCTCTGACAACCTGCATTCATCAATAGTGATTGTCTTCTTTTAAAGCGGGAGCTTTATAGGGCAGCCAACCTCAGGAGCCACGTAAGCACGAAATGAGTAGGTCGGTCAATCGGTAACCGATAAATGATTTGGAAAAAACGTCAACCAGTGCCAGGGATCAAACCCTGGTCACCGGTGTGGAAGCCGAGTGCATTGCTGACTGAGCTACAGACCCAGCTCATTGAAACGGGAGGAGCAGAGGCAGGTGGTGTGAGAAAGCTTGCACACTGGAGAGGGGCGGAAAGGGTGAGAAAGAGAGGGGCAGAAACAGGTGGCATGGAAAGAGCACACGGAACGAGGAGTTTGAAAAGGCAGGAAAGCACGCTTCCCCTTTCAATGGTGTGACATAATTTGTTTCCATACGAAAACCGTGCCCTATGCACTACCTAAACTACAGGTACACCCACCCCAAGCACTGAAAGACTAAGGGTCACCCTGCCTTAGGCACCACCCAAACTAGGAGCACCACCCACCCCACAAAGCATTTACTAAACGCGTTTGGTAGAATGATCAAACATGCAGCCTATTTTTTAAACAAGGAATGTGTTTATTAGCTGGAGTTCATGCAAAAAGCGTAACACTCGAACAAGTGTTTTTACACCGCGAGTTTGGTACGACTTATACGCACCCTTTTCTATAAGCATAAACCTCAAACGTGCGAATTTGCCGGCGGGGTTGTGGAAACTGCAGACGCCGCACGGTGCTGACGGATCCTCTCCCGAAAGATCTTGGTTTTGCCGATGTACGTTGCTGAACATTCTGTGCAGGGAACCCTACACATAACACCTTGCGCTTTCTCCTTGGGGCGGTGATCTTTTGGCCGTGGCATAAGCCTTTCAAGTGTTGACATTGGCGATAGATGGCCATCGCCACAGTCACACCTGAAGAAGAGTCAGAGTAAGCCTTGAAATGTTGGGTTCGTAAGACAGCGTATGTGTGCGTTAGTGCAAGAGAGAGAGAGGCACCTGATGGAGTCTTGGAAAAGGGGCGACAAGCAGGTACTCAAACCGAAAAATATAAAGTTTTGGTTATAGTTACCAGTTCCTGCAAATATCAGTTTTGTTTCGTTTTTTTTTTTTTTTTTACGGTTTTAATATGTACGGTTTTAGTTACCAATTACACAATTTTAAAACACTTTTTTTTTTTTTTCAGTGATTTGATTTATTGAAATGCTAGGGGGGGAAGTAAAGGGGGGTGGGGCAAGTTTTTTTGTTTTTGTTGAAATCGGAGCATGGCGAGTGCAACACGTCACATATTCGACCGGCGCCTCTGTAGACCTTAACTCGTTGTATTCTTTCGCCTTTTCCACCGTCTGCTTTCAAAAAAAAAAAAAAAAGTGTGTACTTGAAAAATAAAAACCAAATGCATAGGCAAAAGGTAACATACATGTACATATACACATATACAGACATATATATATATTTGTCAGTGACTTTATATGAAACGTCAATGTAAAACCCCTGACATTTTTTTTTTCTTCGTGTGTTCCAGTATTGTTACTGACGACACGTTTCAGACAAAATGAGTACAAGGCGTTGTTCTCCGTCAGCTCTGCATGATGGTCAATCTACCTCGTTTCTTCAATCTGGCTACTGCAGGTCGGGAACTGGTGGTTTTGAAAGAACCAAGTTGAATGGACATCTCAGGATTCTAACTGATTAGTCAATACCCTGAAGGTGATACATACTGAATGCATGTAGCGATCGTAGGAGTGTGGCAGATTTAGGAATAGAGACTTCTCATTATACGCTCGACCACTGATTCCAACTAAGTATTCTTAATCCTACATATAGATTGAGCAGAAATGTATTTTCAGATGCACCACTTGCTGACGGTAACTCTGTCAAATGGCCACGACTTTTCAAGATCCCTCCTCAAGGTCATTCTTGAGAAAAACTAATCTTTTTATTTTTCAGTTAATATCAGTTACCGGTAAATAATTTACGATTACGGTTACGATTTTCATAAATTTCAAACAACAGTTTCGTTTCGGTTATGGTTATGGTTTGAGTCCCTGTGGACAAGGGCACATCTGACGCACGGGTGTGTCTTTTGAGCAGGAGGGGGAGAAGAAGGTGACGTATGTGTACAAGACGGTGGATGAGGTCAAGTCTGAGGGCGTGTACCGCAAGGGGCCAGGCCTACAGAGCAAGCTGTGCAAGGTCAAGGTCATCGACATGACGGGCCCCGAGCAGAGAGTGCTCTCAGGTGAGGAGGCGGCCAAGCAATCTCTGAGGGGGAAGCAGGTCATTCAACTTTGGGTCATCGGAGCACGCGCTCGGCGACTTTGCTGGCGCCAGTTATCCAAACATTCCTCGTTCTCGGCGTCCCGAGCAGTTAATCTGCTTCTCAGGATAGAATGGTAGGTAAATATACCTCCAGCAGCGAATCCAATACTTTGATTTTCTTCGTGCCACGGCGCACACTCAGTCAAGGATACATGGCCCTCTTCCTTCAGCAGTGTCGAGAGAGGAGACATCGAAACTTCATTTGAATTGACGGGGGTCCAAAATTAGAGACGTACCCTGCATTTGACAGACGTGGGCGCGGGGCTTTATGTGGTCGACTGCGTGGCAGCGTTCGCCGTGCTGCACATCCTCAGCTGAAGAGTATCTGGCACTTCATCCCAGGCTACCACGAGCTGCACCAGCAACACTCCCGCCCGGACGACCGGGAGGAAGCACCGAAGCAGCAGGCACGGATCGGCTCAGGCTTCTCGGTGCCGGAGCTGACCAACAACCTGGAGCTGCTGGTGGACCTGACGGAGCGGCGCATTGTGCACAACGACCGGGAGACGCGGCACGAGGAGGACCGCTCCGTCAACCTTCGCCACGAGGTGGAGCGGTTGGACGACCTCGTGGCGCAGGAGCGGGAGCAGGAGCAGCGCCTGCAGAAGGTCGCCGACATCGTCAAGGGGTGAGCCTTCTCTCTGCGGGACTTGACACGCGATCGTTCGGCCTTTTCGGGGCTCTGGGCATGTTCTGGACACCAGAAAAATATTTGATTTGAAGCGGTAGCTTTGCTGGGCAATAACAATCTCGGGAGCCACGTAAGCACGAAATGTGCAGGTTGGTCAATTCATAACCAATAAACGATTTGGGAAAAACGTCAAGCGGTGCCAGGGATCAAACTCGAGTCACCAGTCTGGAAGCCGAGTGCGCTGGTGATTGAGCTACGGACTCAGCATTTGGAAACGGGAGGAGCAGAAGCAGGTGGTGTGAGAAAGCTCGTTGAGTGGAGAGGAGTAGAAAGGGCAAGAAAGAGAGGAGCAGAAACAGGTGGTGTGGAAAGTACCAGGAACGGGGAGGTGTGGAAAGGGCAGGAAAGTGCACTTCCCCTCTCTTGGTGACCTAGAAAATTCGGCGCAAAGGCTTTGTATCCGGCTGGTGCTGAAGGGAAGCGCGGGCAGTGTCACTAAGAGACAGCGATGCGACGTACCGTAAAATACCTGGGGAGCGCCCACTCCACTTTCACTGGAAACTGGGTTAATCTAGACACGTGCACTTGTCCGGTCAAGTCGGATGCTTAAGGTGTAACTTGCAGAATTCTCAAGTTTGAAAAATGTTAATGGTGGGCGCTTCGACGGTGTTTTACGGTAGTCTGTTTCCATGCAAAAACCCTGCCCTAGGAACCACTCAAACTAAGAGCACCACCCACTCCAAGCATTGAAAGATCAAGGGTTGTCCTCTCCTAGGCACCACCCGAACTGAGAGCATCGCCCACCCTATAAAGCTATTGCGTTTAAATGCGTTTGGCAGAATGACCAAACATGCAGCCAATTTTTAAACCCAAAATGTGTTACATGGCTGGCCCTCAATCGTTTCCGGTTCTCACTCCAGCAACACAGCAGAAAACGTTCTCTGTAATGCGGAATTAGAGCTGCGCTCTAATTCCGCATTACAGAAAATTGTAAACATCCTTCACTTTTTTTTTTATTATTTCAACTCCTAATGTAGCTGGTATGGATTGGTCAACGTTTTTATTTGAATGCAAAAAGTGCCGGCAACAGCGGCAGGTTTTGGATACATATAATCAATAAAAAAATATTAGAAAAAATATAATAATTAAGTATTCAAATGTAATATAAATAAATTAAATTTGAATTAAAAATTTGACAATAAACGAAAAAGAAACAAAAATATAATGTAAAAAAGAGAGAAAAATAAATGAAAAAATATATAACAAAAAGATTCAAAACATCTGGCACAAACGACACACGGAGTGGGGTTTGTGCGCGACACATTCCGTGCACTCAGGTCTTTGTCTGCGTGATTGAGCCCGTTTTCTTTTTTTAGGCACACAATTACGTTACAAATATTTTTTTATGAGAATATTAAAGTATGGGGAACACGAAAAGTGAACGAAGACCCATGAAAACTCGTCGATGCTCGACCCGAAAAGAATACGAGCGATTCTTCAACTCGCACAAACATGCCTATTCGCACTAAGATCCAGTTTCCTCATGTTTGTTCCACTGTCCTTCTGAAGTTCATTTACGACGTACTGGAGGTTAGGTCTCAAAGCTCGTAACCTGTAATTCCTGCGACTCGACGGTGGCCGATTTCCCGTCCGGCTCCTTTTCCGCAAAGACGCGTGGACACGCATTTGTGAAGGACGTGCCGCGGAAGGTCGAGCACTAGAGAACGTAACGGCATCCGACGTTGCCCCGCAGGTTGGAGGAGCGCAGTAAGGAAGACCACGAAGACCGGCTGACCCTGTCCGAGTGCGCGGCCATGTTCCAGACGCTGCAGGACGAGTTCTACGAGGAGTACAAGATGTTCGGGCTCTCGGACCTGGCGCTCACCATCGTCGTTCCCATGGTACGGCTCCCTCGCCTTCCCGCGTCCACCACGCTTTCCGCGGGCCGACCATCTGTGTCCCGTCAACTTACCCGGGAGGGGACGCCCCCTTTCCCAGTTGCTATGCACGGGCGTGCGAGTCTTTTCCGAGGGGGCACCGCAATGTGCACGCTGCAGGGATGCATTTATCCTCCGCATTCCTTGGGTTCGTTCTGGCCTCTGAGAAAAACGTCGGCATCATTTCCCAGAGTTCTTTTTTAGACGTCGTATATACCCTTTCATTCTCTTCATTTACTGAGAGGCCCCCCTGTCATCTTATATTTGGTCGTGTGCTCAATTTTATTTCTAGCACTTCTCTCTTTATGCTTGTTTTACACATATATTGTCGGGTCGTGCGCCGTACTAAAGGAAAGTGATAAATGACCTACTTTGGTCTGTTTAGCATGTTGCCTCCTTAAACCTGTAATCGTCGTTACCTCCCTGTGTGGTCTCTATGCTCGTTCTGGATTCCCTTCCTGTGTTCATAGAAATGGGGCTACACTTCTGCTAAGAGACACAAAGAGAGAGAGAAAATGAGAAGGAGTTTCTGTTTCTGAACTTTTTAAGCCTGATTTATCTCGGTCCTACGAATGAAGTCGGCATGCACAAAATGTGTTGTTTTCACCCACTTCCCAACTCTCCCGCGCGTCTCTTTTGAATCTTTCCTGTAGTGTCAAGTTATGTGGCGCGATCATACAATGTCACGCAGTCACTTGCATGCTTTTCACCCTCGGTGTAGCAAAGTAACTTTCGCTTTGGAAGTTTACTCTTCGGCGTAATGGTAGAGCGCTGGGCTCAGAATCCCGAGGCCTCGGCTGTCAATTATTTTTTGAAAATGTTCTAACTTTTGTTCCATTTCTTTTTCTTTTTTTTTTCAATTTGTCATTATTATTGTCCTTTCTCGATTACGTCTCCTTTCGTTTCCACTGAAATCCATGTCGCCCATTCTGTGACTTCTCTGTCGCGCCTTCCTTCAGGAACCCCGACCCAAGGAGAGTGTGACTCGGCATTTTAAGGCGAAAGCCTTACTTGCCCACTACACGAAAAAAACGGCGGCGTTGTGCCCTAGAGGTTGTCCTTGACGTCGTTCTCGACATCGTCCTAGAGGTCGTCCTAGAAGTGATTCTTGAGGTCGTCCGAGAGGTCATCCTCGGTGTCGTCCTTGACGGCGTCAATCTCTAGGACATTATCCTATACGTCGTCTTAAACTTTAATACATGTAGAAGCATTACTAAAAAACATTTCGCCCGCGGGATGATAATGCTTTTGCCTTCCTACGTGTAAGCAGTCTTAAGTGTCCTGTAATTTTTTTAACACGTGCGTGAAAAACGCTCAGTTCTAACGAAAAATGTCTAGCCAGTTGCTCGAAGCAGGGTTCCAACTGCCCCGACTGCCTTTTGTTCCTGAATTTCGGCGAAGAAGGGAGGACGATCACTTCTTTGAGCGCTGTTCACGGACGTGCCGTTTGTTTGTGGGCGCAGATGAAACAGTTGCTGGACAAGTGGCAGCCGCTGAAGAAGCCGCAGTACCACTGCGCGGCATTCCGCACCTGGAAGGAGCTGCTGGAGACGAGCCATTCGTACCAGCAGCAGCAGTCCGACCAGGATCCCTACCACCACCTGGTGTGGGAGACATGGATGCCCATCGTGCGGCAAGCCGTCCTGTGAGTGGTAGCGCCATGATCGGAAATCGAATTAAAGTCAACTATTGGGCTAGTTGCTTATTCATTACAAAAGTTATAGCACTCTGTCCTGTCAAATTGTTCCTTCCTGTCCTAGTCTTTTGTGCTTTTGTGCTTTTTGGTCGGAAATCACCATGGCATGGCGCAAGCCGTGGCCCGATTTCCAGGGTTTGGCCGTCTGCATCTGTCTGTGCGTCTCTGCAGGGGTTGGAGCGTGCGTTCGTGCGAGCCCCTGATCGAGCTGCTGGAGCACTGGCTGCCCCTACTGCCCGGCTGGGTGCTGGACAACCTGCTGGACCAGTTTGTGCTGCCCAAGTTGCAGACGGAGGTGGAGGCCTGGAACCCCTTGACCGACACTGTGCCCATCCACTCCTGGCTCCACCCCTGGCTGCCGCTCATGGGTGAGCCTGGAGTTCGCTGGAAAGCTATGGAAGCTTGAATGCTCAGACAGATGTGTGCGCACTACCGAAATAGAGTAACTACCGTATTTACTCAAATGTAAGTCGACCCTTTTTTTTTTTTTTAAAGAACAGGAAAAAGTTTGGGCAATACTGTGAGGCAGGGCCGTAACCAGGGGGGGGGTTAGGGGGTTGTGACCCCCCCCCGAAATTTTTTTCTGGGTACGGCCCTGGTCGGTGCACTGGCAGCCAGCCGATTTTAATCTCCACTTCTGCACACACGCGCAGTGGCGCCGGTCGGCTACTGGGTACCAAACCGGGACTGGTTCTCCGGTTTGCTGTAACTCTCCATTATATGCCACTGATGCACATGATTCATAGGCGAAAATAAGACAATAGACACTTTCAAAATGGCCGCCGTTGTCCCCCAAAAAACCCCCCCCCCCCCCCCCCCCCCCCCCCCCCCCCCGAAATTTTTTTCTGGGTACAGCCCTACTGTGAGGGCGCAACTTTATGCCGCTGGAGAGTTCTACTCTGGGGGTCCAGGGATAGACATTTGGGGCCATATCATCCTCATGTTTCATGTGGTTTGAGCAAGGAGTTTGCTGTCTCGCATACAAATAAACTTCGAAATGCGTTTTTCTCAAATTGGTGTTTTTGCCTTTTTCAGAAATAGTGCTCACAATTATTTCCCCTTGAAGTTGTGAAATTGCAATGAAATTTTACGCAGTGGTTTCCGAGTGTGTACAGAGTGTGCAAGTCTTGTTTGTTACAAGATAAATGCTATCACTTTTTTTTTTTTCTTTTTAAATACAAAACAAAAAGAAGTTTTAAAGATACTGACACAAACATTTTCTATTTTTGTATGATTTTTTTTCTCGTTTGGGGGGGGGGGGGGGTATTGCTTATTTATATTTATATTCACACTTTGTACTTCATGGGGAACCAACTTGGCCATTTAGGCAGCTCTATTCCTTATAAACAGTAGGGAGAATGGTGTGCTCAAGGAGGGTATTTTTTGTTAATGTCATGTTGCACAGATATTGAACTAGAGCAGCTATCAGAAAACGGATTGCATAAATGAAAAGAGGAGCCCAATTTCTACTACCTGTGCGAATTTCAAACCACTAACTATAATATAGTATTTAAAAAACATGCCCGCAAGGCTTGAACCTGGGTCAGTGTGGTGGCTGTCAAATGTACTATAGCTGCCAAGCTGCGTAGCATGGCTTCTCTGGAAGGATTGGGCTCCTGCAAAACGCGCCAGCGATCAGTAGTTCAGATTTGTTTGATATAAATCGGATTATTTTGATTTAAAGCACCTAAACAAATTTTATATTTAACTCGAGAAGTATATTTAAACATAGAAGCTGATTTAATTGATCAAGTTGTCTGATTACTGAAGACCCCACCATAAAAAGTAAGCTTGTTATTTTTAGTTAGTGGAAAAGCTTTTTTAGCTTTTTTTTTTTTTTCACATTCTCATTTGCTTGCTGCAGGACCTTGCTTTTAGGCAACTGACCAATGAAGTGGAAGGTAAAAAGAAAGAAGTCTCCGATTTGCTCGGAAGAGTACCAGTTTTTGCTCGTGTTCAGCCTGCCAGAAATCTTTCTTGCTCGGTGATTCTTCGATTTAAATACAAAATGAATGCAAGTAGAGATCATCACATGATAAACAAGTAGTAAATAAAAAATTATTTTGAGGAATATTTTTGCGGGAAAGATTTATTTAAATCATGGTGATAAAACTGGAGCAATCTAAAAATAAAAATCTGTCTAAGTTACGATTTAATTCATCTCGATTTTTATTCTCAACCCTAGGCGCGACATATGTGATCGTTCGCCTCATCGTTGTCATGCATCACACCAGAGCCATGTAAGGTAGGGCTTGTGCGGCGCACTCCTTTGCCCGGACTTGCCCTGGCTAACGTCCGTGGCGCACAGTGAGAAAGCTTGCACGAACTACACACGGAGTGTGGTTTTGCGCGGGACAGATTGGTGCGGTCCCTTGTCTTTATCAGCGTAATCAAGTAAACACACATTTTTATTTTTCAAAATTTTAGGCGCCCGGTTGGAGCCCCTGTACCCACCGATCCGGCTGAAGCTGGCCAATGCGCTGACCAACTGGCACCCGAGCGACGGGTCTGCCAAGCTGATCCTGGAGCCCTGGAGGGGGGTCTTCTCTCAAGGGACCCTGGAGGCCTTCGTGGTGGCCAACATCCTGCCCAAGCTGGCCCTCGCCCTGCAGGCCATGCCCATCAACCCCCACCAGCAGCACCTGGGTGAGGGATGCCGCCCCACTTCCCTAATGGGGCCTTCTCGCTGCATACTCAAAGCACATACCGTACGGCTACAGTGACCACCGATCTCCATTGTGCAGTGCGACCCACTTATAACGATAGTGAGAAAACCTGAAATTTCGATCGTTATAACCGATTATCGTTGTATCTGGACTAGAAACTGATTATTTCCAGTCTAGAAACTCTAGAAACTGATCGTTATAAGCGGTACACCGTTATATGTGGTATCGCTATAAGTGGATTGCACCGTAGTAGGCTGAATCACGGATTGGGAGCCCGTCGGTGGTACCACCGGCGGCCATCGCTCGGCACCGGGCAGTAGTTGCGAGTCTATGGGAGAGTTACGCGGTAGCGAAGATAAGCATAAAAGGGACGACGCGGGCGACACTCCCCTCGATTTGCAACTAAAACATTTACCGACTGAAAGCAAGTCGGCTGTAGCTTGAGAAATATTGAAGCTTGTATGCAGTGCTTGAAGGCGAGTATCTTATGATGTGCTGCGATCGTTATGTCGGGTGTTTGGAGATCCAGTCGGTGTTTGTCAAGCGTTCGAACACCCTTTATGAAATCAAACGTGCCATAGCAGCCCCGGCCGAGCTGGCAAGCTTGCCCTCGTAGTGGGGTAAACAAAGAAATTTGCTGTCAATAAGGCTGTCCTCGGGGAAGCCGAGAAGTTGATGAATGTTGAAAAAGCTCAGTGTTGACAGCAGCTTTCCGGGAGTGAGCGAATTACTCGTAGCAGAGCCTTCGAGCTTGTCGTCTGCTAAACCCTACTCGTCGAAACCGCCACCGACTCCGCGGTAACTCTAGGTATCACTCTTGTCTCTTTGGGCTACGCTACATTTTTCGCCCAGCGGAGTCACTCTCGACCACAAAACATTTATTTATAAGAACTGCGAGGGCTGTCAGTTTTAATGTTTGCGCACAAGCTATTTGGCGGGCTTTTCAAAAAGCAGCCAAAAAGTTTCAGTGCCAACGATAGCTTAGAAACGGGGGAGGGGGGCACTTTTTCTAGTCTTTTTGTCAGAGTCATGCATTAGCTAGTGTCAATCGATGGCTGCCGGTGGTGCCAGTCGACCCCAGCAAGACAAGCCTCAATTTGCGATCCAGCCTACTACAATAGAGATGAGTGATGGTGCCCGCAACCCGTCTTCGACTGGTCTCTTTTGCTGTTCTATCCCACCCATGCGTCAAAAGTGCTCCTGAAATTGGCAACAAACAGGCGAAATTACAGTGAGAGCGCGGACAAGCTGGTGTACGGTGTAGCCGATTGGTGTTTCGTAGGTTTCTCGCCCCAGTCTCGAGTAATTCAACGAAACGAAAAATTATAACAGATGAGCCTTTCGGGAATGTTTTCACGAAGCCTGTCGTTAATCCCACGTTCGGTGCCGTGCGGAACAGCGTTCCCGGAACGCTTGCCTTTTAGGGGAAACGGAGGAACGGCGCCATTCCGTCTTGCGTCGGCGGAACTGGAATGGGAACTCGTTCCAAGGTTGAGAAAGAAGGAAGAACGAGTCCTAGATGTCGTAAAAATAACAGCTTCGCTGTTCCTCCATCTTCACGTTAAATCAAAGGGCTCTACATTTTTTTTTTTTTTTTTTTTGCATTCCTAGATTACAAAATGCAAAACAAATATAAACCTTTCCTGTCTACGGGTGCTCCTCGACGCACCATACGTCGAATCGCCATGGCGCGTTGAAGAGACGACGGGTGGCGCTGCGAATTTTCGGAACGGTTCATCATGTTGCGGCAGACGACGTACCATGCTGTCGGATGTCGTAATCCTGGTAATGAAAAAAACACAACCTATGCTCTGTTTCATACTTAGCGTGCAACGCTATCGAAGCTACTGGCACGAGCGTGGGGCTTAATCTTGTCGATCATTTGCACGCGTTCTCGCGCAAACAAAACCATAGAGGAAGCCACGCGCTCGCGCCAGTAGCTTTGACAGCGTTGCACGCTAAGTATGAAACAGAGTATAGGAAAAATTAGTTCTTTTTCTATCCAATTAGGGGGGGCATGTGTCAAAATAAATGTTTGTCGAAAAACAAAATTTTTTTTTGCCCCATATTTATGTTGTAATACATATTTTTCGATTTGCGGGCGAAACCGAAACTGTAGCCCTGTAGGATGATGATGATAGCGTTTGTACTTGGCTGGTGTGCACTCTGAGGCAGTTCGGAGGTCCACCGAACTCTGAGTGCACACTGGTTGGGTACAAATGCAATCATCATCATCATACAGGGGTACAGTTTAGGTTTCGCTCATAAATAAAAAAAATTTGCATTGTAACATAAGTATTGGGCAAAAAAATTTTTTTGCCGAACATTATTTTTGAGACATGCTTGTCCTAACCAGGTAGCAAAAAAAAATATTTTTTCCAGGTTCAGTGTCTTTTTAAGCGTAGACGTTCTAGAAAAAACTAAAAGCACATGCGAATTTTGCTGTCGTTGTGGCGTCCCACTCTGTCACCGCCACGATTGTGGCAGGCAACAGCATGACGCTTCTGTGATATCATCGGGTGGAAATCAAGGGACCACTTTTGAGGACGCAGTAAAGACACCAGTCCGAGTCGTGCCTCAAGAATCGTAGCTACAGTTCTGAACAGCCTCTTCTCACTTCACGCTGCCTTGCAGCTTGAAGCAAACAACCAAACTAGACGCGAAATAAAGGTAGCAAAACAAAAATTGAGTAACCTATTATTTGAAACTACTATTAGAAAATTCAAATGTTCACGCAACCCTAGAAGCGATAGATTAGTAGCTCAAATGAAATTTAGAATGGCAGTGAAAATAATTGATAGAAATTTAACCATGCAGTCGAAACTAATAAATTTTTGTGGAAATATTTTTCAGACGTTGGTGAACCTAAATAGTAAAATAACATTCTCAAGTCAATTTTTTTTTTTGATAAAGTTATTTTTTTAAGAATTAAAAAAGAAATTTGAATAGACCTTTTTCAAAAGTCAGTCCACCCACCCTGTGCACAGCCAATCCCGACATTGTAATGGCAGTATTACACGGCTTGTTCACACCAGGACAAGCGAACATCTTCAAAAACATAGTGCAGAAAGCGAAAAGTTGATTCTAACATGTTGGTCTTTTATGTCTTCTTCGATTCGCAAAGTCGGGGGCACAGGATTTATCTGGTCTTGCTCTCCCATCGCCGTCATTAGTGCGGAAATATTGGAGCTTTCGAGACCGTCACTAGATGTCTCTTGCTTTTGAAAAGGGTCTGTAGAGTAAACGGGTTTCTGATGCTCGCTGTATGTGAGTCATTTTTTTCCGTTGGCTACCCAACAAGCTGGTTTTTGGTATGAATGCTCTGCATGCTGAATGTTGTTGGCTGGCACTTGGGTAACCCAGCCTATTCCGGCATGCATGTTGCCTTAACCATGGCACTGGGTGCGCCACTCTGCTTGCTTAACTCACAGATGCGACACCACACGGATACACAGGAAGCTACCAACACAAGGATAGGTTGTGCCTCGGTACGCTACTTTTCTCTCCTTGGTTTGACAAACTTGCACTAACACCGCGACGCTTAGCCCTTTGAGCACACACTCGCGTGAGACGCTGCAAAGCAGGACTTTTTAGTTTTGGGCATTGCGGTATCATCTTTAGTTTTGGGCATTGCTGCATCTTATTAGAAGGCACTTGAACAATAATGCTCTTAGTCGGCGCGATGTGCATAAAAAATGGCAGACCCTTCCTCGGCACATTTGGTGTTCTTAAACAGACGAAGGAATAATATGCCAAGCCCGAAAAATTTTCACCTCCATCTTCTCAATGACGAAGGGCATTACTCTTTGACTGCACTACTTGCAAGGTCTTTTTTTTTTTGTCTAGGAGCATTGTATCAGTAGGCACAATTGACTATAGTGTGTTTTATACTTACCGGAAAATTCCATACGAACGCCCACCCAAAATGTAGAGATAAATGGTGAGAAACATGGGGTGGGCTATCTTTGGGGATGCCACAGCAAAACTTTATCAAAAATTAATGATAAGCATCCGGGCACCCGCTACAAACCACGTGACGAGGGAACTGATACCGCAGATCGCGGACACGGCAGATTTGTGTTTTACGATGTGATAAACACGCGGGTATTCGCTACAAACTCCTGTGTCACGGGAAAGGATACCGCAAGTGGCCGACGCAGCAGATTCGCACTTCACGGTGCAAAGGACTCGCGGAAACCCGCCGAGAACTCGCATCTCACGGGAACGGATACCGCAGATCGCAGACGCAGCAGATTCAAGTTTCATGGTGCAATAAAGACGCGGGAACCCGCTACAATCTTGCCTGTCACGGAAACCCACATCGCGCTCGCAGATCATGGACAAAAACGCGGGAATACGCTGCAAACTCGCATGCCACGGAAACAAATACCATGGATCGTGGACGCACAGAATCGAATTTTACGATGCAATATACACACGAGAACAACTCGCGCGTTCAATTTCGCGCTCGCAGGTTGCGGACGAAAACACGGGAATCCGTTTTGAACTCGGGAACGGATACCGCCAATTGCAAACGCAGCAGATTCACATTTCATGATGCAATATACATGCGGGAACAACTCGCGTGTTACGGGAGCCGATACAGTATCATGCGCGCAGATCGCAGAAAACGCAAGAACCCGCTATGAACTCGCTTCTCGGATGCACCAATACCGCAGATCGCACCGTTGATGCGTGATTCCTGTCAGACATCGCTTGACGTCTAACGGGAATCAGGGGGTGGGCGATGTTTCGGAACTTTTATGTCATAGATATTTAGCCAGAAAAACAGGATGGGCGATCTCTTGGGGGAGGGCGCCCTTATGGGATTTTACGGTAGTAGTGTACGATGCTGTGGATGCAATTAGAGACTGTGAATTCGGTGATGCGTAGTTCAGCATTTTTCCTGTAAGAAAAGCCCACTTCACCCTTTTCTTGAATGCCCCGTTTGTGTGGCCATACGTGGGCTTGTTAGTTAAATGCCCTTCAGCGGAATCAATTAAGGCAGGGGTCCTGAAACTTTTAAATCTCAAGGAACACCTATTTGCAAAGACTGATAACTGAGGAACTTCTCCCATTTTTCGCATTGATGCAATAAAGCAGTTCAAAAACCTGCAGACTATGTAAACACATGCACATACCATGCACATACAAGAAAGCGTTTGACTCGTAGTTACGCATCAACGGGTGACTTAAATCTGCTGACACTGGGAAAACACTTTGCTTGAGGGCGGGGTCGGTTGAGGAAATTTGAGGGCTTGGGGATCCCGGTACATACTCTGTTCCTAGGAACCCAGAACCCATGAATTAGTGAATTAGCAAATCAGCTTATTGTCCTGGCTCTTTGCATCTGGCATGGCATGCGCCGGTTTGCTGACGTCCTAACTGCTTTGTATCGCTGGCGATGCCCTAAGGCTAATATACGCGAAGAAGCAGCAAAGCATCACCTGTAAGGTCTGTGGGTCTGTGTCTAGCATTTTTCTAGCTTACTTTGCAGGAAAACACTGACATCATGCACTGTATAAAAATAAATAGAGTTAACAAGTGCTCGAGCGACTTCGACTCGTCACGGCAAAACAAACACGCGTAACCTATCCTCTTCTCTCTTTCTCCACTCTTGCGTCGCCCTCTTCCTCAATCTTTCTCTCGGGGCCACCCACGTCAGCACCTACGGTTTGCCGCGCTCTGCTCCCGTCTTGATCTCCCCGGTCACTGCCCCTCCCCCTTGCAGACGTGTGGCAGTGGGTGATGTCCTGGGAGGACTTGTGCCCTCCGTCGAGCATGGCCACTCTCCTGGAGAAGACCTTCTTCCCCCAGTGGCTGCAGGTGTTGTGCACCTGGCTCCAGCACAGCCCAAACTACCAGGAGGTGTCCAAATGGTACTCGGGCTGGAAGTCCCTCTTCTCCGAGGACCTGCTCCAGCAGCCCGCGGTCAGGGGTATGTGGCCACCCCGGTAGACGTCTCCTGTCTCCGACCCTCTTGAAACTCCGCAGGCAGACGAGAATTTCTGGGAACGTAGGACAAAGTTGGGAGCGCAGGAACGTTGTTTCAAAAAAATGCCTCGCTTATACGAACGCTTGTAATTATAATTGCGCAGAACCTTACCGGACTTCCAGAAAATTTAATTGTACAGCGAAGCTGTTAAGGGCTAGTTTCCCCAGTTTTTCGTGTCCAGGGGCTGAGCGTGCCATTGCAAGCTTGCCTGGTATATTCCCTTGCACTGAAACCAGTCGTGACGTCTTTTTCTGCCCTTTTTAAAAATAGCAGGAGTACGCTTGTATAGCTTTGATAGGCACTGAAGCTGCGCAAGAGCGGAGATTCCAAAAACTTCTTTTGTGACGTCACACTTCTGGAAGGAGGGCCTTCGACGGTACTTTTGAAAATGATTTTATGCGGCCTCCATGCACCAAAATAAGAAATATAATTTCGATATTCGAGATCTTAGAGGTCAAATGAAGACAATTTAAGTTTGTTTCCTCAAACACAAAACCGCTTCAGCTTCCTTTTGAACTCCGAGGCTGGGAAGGAAACTTGAAAATATATTAGAAGAAACAGAAGAAAGGTGACAGGCAAGCGTCTCAAACTCAGCTAACAAAATTTATTTCATACAACGCTTTTATACCCTTCTTCCAAGGTCTTTTTTTCTTTTGATGACCTTGGGAGAAGGGTATAAAAGCGTTGAACGAAATAAACTTTCTTAGCCAAGTTTGAGATGCTTGCCTGTCACCTTCCTTCTGTTTCTTTAAATAAATTTTCAGGTTTTCTTCCCAGCCTCGGGGTTTAAGCATCATAATAAATTAGAGAAGAGGAACGTAACAATGAGGACTCAAGTTTGTGACAAATGACCCCATGTACTTCTTCCTCATCAGGATTTTATTCCTTAGTGATCTGCAGTGGCAGTGGAAATGTTTCATTAATTACCTAACCGAGAACGATTAATTCGCACGTGCTTGGTGCATTCGCAGGACAGATTTTTATGTCCGCGAAAAACCGACTACGTCATAGATTGTGAGGAGTAAAATTCGTGAGAAGCTGGAAGCGGTGCAGAAAATTCGAGCGAGCTTTCGCACGGCAGAGTCTTTCTTTTCGTGAACGCTTTTGCGACTTCTGGTAGCTCATCGAACAAAGGGCAGAGGAAAAAAAAAGAAAGGCCCCCCACAGCTCAATGCCGCTGACTGTAATCCTTCCCTAGCTCTGACGGATATTCTGTAAGCGGGTCGCAGATTCTCCGCAGTTCTCCCACAGGCTCGGAGGATTAACGAACGTCTGATAAGCATCGCACGAGGCCTCAAAACTCGATGAGGTTTAGTCCCCTCATTGAGAAAAACTTTTGTCCTGCGAATACGCCGTAACACCGTTGTCACCGTACCTCGAAGGCAGACCGACCTTAAGCTGTGTAAACACAAACTTCTCGTTTCGTTTGGCTTTCCTTTGGCGTGCGGTGCAGCAGTGCTCCATGCGCGCGGTTTAATGGGCCAATTGCAACTTTTCCGCAGAACAGTTCAAGGCTGCCCTGGACATGATGAACCGGGCAGTGTCCGGGGTGCCGTTGACGGCCGTACCGCCCGGGGCGCCGCCGCCGGGGCTGCTGGGATACCGGCCGGCGCTCCTTCATCCCCCACCGCCCCCGGGTCCAGAACAGGGTTCCGTCCGGCACGACTACAGCGTGAGTGTGTCTTCCGGGCTTTCGCGCCGAAACCCGTAAATGTATTTATTTATTTTATTTATGCAATACCCACAGCGCCAAATCAGGCATTGCAGTGGGGGAGGGGGGGGGATATATATACAAAAAGCAAACATACAATGTCAGTCAGACCTCTGCTCGGCAGATGAATCATTCAAACAACACATAAGCCTTATAAACCATACAAGGAAATAGAAACTTGTGAACATAGCTTATAAACCATGCAAGGGAATGTGAGGTAATATAAAGAACTCAAGCTAGATTTAATCTAACAGAGAAAAAAAGTCATCATTTGACAGTACACCAACCACACTTAGAGAGAGTCTTGAAAAAAAGGACATCCTAAATAAATCTGTTTTGAACGAAATTTCTCGCACCTTGAAACTACGGTCAACACGCTCCGATTGATAGTGGGGCTGCATTATATGCATGTCTCTTTGTATTCCAACTGTTGAATGGTAAATGCTATGAAACAACTTGAATTGAAGTCTTCTTCTGCGAGTTTCGAGTAACTCCCATTTTAAGATATCTTTTGTGCGTGTCGCGCTGAAATCTCTACTGTAGCTCCCGGTAACAAACCGAGCGGCTAAGTTCTGCGGTCTTTCTAGTTTTATTTTGTCACGTGCTGTAGGCGGGTCCCAGACGACACAGGCGTATTCCATAACTGACCTGACGTATGTTTTATAGAGCAATTCCCCGAGTGTCTTTATTGAAGTTTCTTGAATTGTGCTTCGAGAAAAGATTTTTGAAAGCAGTTCGCTTTTTTAGGATTTTCAGGCCACTTTGAGGTATGCTTTCAGCCAATTCTTTTCACCCGGTAAATTTAGCAGTGAAAACGATGTCGCATGGCTTGACGTCATGTGACGTTTTTTTTCCTTGTATCTCGTATTTTCCGGTATATACTTTCCCGCGTGTGCTGGAAAACCCCCAAAATGATTTTTTTTCTAAAATCTAGTATATAGTTAGGGCTCAGTGTTTTTGGATAAATCCGAAAACCCCCGAAAAACAGCCGCCGGTAAAAATTTGCCTATGGGTAAAAGAAAAAAGTAAAAGACTTCTTTTTTTACAGTTTGATCAGCACAGAGCCAATGATCCTGGGTAAATTCCACCATAAATATCTTTCAAATCTCGGACCGTTGTCAAAAGGGGTGTTGCCGCTTGTCTCTTCAAGGTTGATTCAGGGCAACAGGTCGTTCGTTGTACATTCGGGTCACGACAAAAGACGCTCTTTTGGTTCCCAGTTTGGGCCATGCGATTTGTGATTTAGAGATAGGAAAGGGTATGTTTTAGTAACAGTGAAAGCTATGGACCATAGCAATAGTATAAAATTGGGAAGAGGGGCAGTTCAAACCTTTCATTACCTCCTTAACCACTCTACCTCGCGTGCCCGCGGGCTAGATTGATGGAATCGGATGGGATGACTACGAGCTTCCTAGCTACTACATCCGGGAGTTTATTGATTGGAGACACCCCCTGGGAGGGTCAACTTTTGAACCCGCGGCTTAAAATTAATGAGATTTACGGGGTAGGCTGGTGGTCATGCCAGAGGGTGCATAACAAAATTTCAGGTCTGTCGGATAAGTGGAAGGGAAATTAGGGCAGCTTCTATCAGCAACACACCTACATTGTTTAGTTAACCTATCGTTTGAAAACTATCACAATATTCAAGATTTTTATTCGCTAGATGTGTAGCAGAATGCCTAGGAGGTGCGGCTATAGAAAGTTTTTTGTAAAAAGTCATTCATTTCTATCAATTCTCTCTTCTGCAAAATTGGTCAACATTTTGGTCTTCTGTATCTTCGACAAAATGTCAACATTTTTTATAAAAGACATCCGTAAAGTGACAAAAACATTCCATAGCCGCATTCCTTATTAAATTTCAGTCAAAAAAAGTGAAGAATGAGCCTTCCCTCTATTGCCATTATCAAACGATAGGTTGACTAAAATGGAGTTTATACCAAAAAGTGGAGTGGAGAAAAACGCGTTCAAGTGCTCCAAACCCTACCGTTTCTTTAGCTTCGGTGGACAGAAAATAATTTATAAAAAATTGACTATGCAGTTTAAACTAGTGAAACATTCTGGGAATACTCTCTGGATGTTGGCGGATGTAAATATGTGTAATTTTTCAAAATCAGTGTTTTTTGCAGAATTTTGGTTTTCTGGGTAGTGTACCCCCTTAAGGTGTCGGCGTTGTGGGATGGTCACGGGTGGTGGTAACCGGAGGGTTCAGCGGCGGTCTCTAATCGGGAGACGCCAAGCCTACTCCTACACCCCGCAGCTTTCTCTCGGGAACACCGCTACGGGCAGGTCCGAACGTCAGCCGCACAACTGATCGCTTCTCTAAAGAGGAGCACGTACCACAAAAGTACTGGGTCCAACGGTGTTTATTGGAACACCAAAAGACACACTGTCCCCAAAACCCTTGCGTTGACAAGGTCAGATGAAACGCTCATCCTGTCGACACCGTTCCAAGAGCGCAGTCCAGAGCGGGCAAAGGAAGACCTTCGCGACACGTCCGATCTCTCGCATCCGCGGGAGCAGTCCCCAGCGTTCCCGAAGTCGGGAACACGCGTTGACCTCCTCCCCCTGCGGGCGTCGCCCTCACCCAAAACAACTAAGTTCCCGGATGAGCGAGGGAACGGAAAAGGTCCCCCTGGCAGCCAGGCCGAGCGTTCCGAACCACGGCCGTTATACCGGCCATCGGGGAAGGGCGACCAACGGACCCCACAGCGTTTATCGAAGTGCCACTTGTGTGCGACTTTTGTCGTGGACAAATTAGTATTGCCAATGGCAATGGCACCAGCGCCAAATTCAACTGAAGATATTTCAATTGATACGAGTGCGTTTATTTTTTATCTGGCATATGTTTACATTCGGTTATTATTTATTTATTTATTTTTAATAGGAAACACATTGAAATTAAACTCCGAATTTCGGAGAATCGGGAATCAAAAAAATATAAACTCCGAATCTTTGGCAAAAAATAAAAAATACCCTCCGAATTTGACGAAAAATAAACCCCGAAACCACGGAGCCCTGTATATAGTATAATCGGTGACAGGTTAAAGGGACACTGACAGGCCCTTTTTCCTTAAGTTTTTTTTGTTTTTTGACAGGCGATTTTATATGGTGTCAGAGGACTTCCCAATCAGTGTTTTGCTACAGCGTCACATAAGTAAAAAAAACGCAACTGCTCAAAACCAAAGCCGAAACTGGACTGGGGAGGAAGGAGAAATGCAGAGGAGAGAGTTGCCGGAAATCACATGGCTACATTCGACCACATTTTTTTTTTTCCCTTCATTTTTCCGTTGAAAAACGCGCAAACTCACGTTTGTGTGTTTTTCAAGCTTGTACCAATTCGTGTTCGTAACGAGCACTGTCTTCAGCCAGAAGAAGGGGCGACGACTTTGCGACATTTTCATGCGAATCGCCTTGGTGGTCAGGCGTGTCGTACAGAATAAATCCCAATAGTTTTGATCGGTAAAAAATTTTTCTTTCGAAGCTTGACAGATTTGCCGGTACTTTGAACGACAGTTCCGAAGTAGAGGTGCGTCGTCTGCTACCATCGTAGTAGTAGTGCGTCGTCTGCCGCCATTGCTTAGCCTGCTTCAATCATACGTCCAGCCCGAGACTCCCGCAACACGACGCCATGTTTGGAATAATGCGGAGAATGCACCAAGTGCTTCCTGTATTGTGCGCAACTTTTTTTTTCTATCAAGGTATTAGCTGTTTTTAGGAGCCACGAAAAATGGGTTTTATATATTCTTTTATGCGAAAGCATTAACTGTGCCATGGAGCGCAGCCGGCGTTGGCTGTGACTGCGAAAAGCAGGCACCTAAATAAACGGAAGCTAAAATGGCTGCGACGCATCATATCATATGCTTCGTCACGGAAGTCAGCGGGGCACTCAGGGTCAAAACGGACGTGCCTCAGAAGAAAAAAAAACGTAAAGAAAAGCACATTAATGCAGATGCACCGTCACAGAAGGTGTGGAGCTGGCGCATTTCGCCGCACCTGCACATTGGAAGAGCGCAATGTCACCGCTGGAACGCCATGTGCGATACGAAGACGTGGCGCGGTGCTTGTAGGAATTTGCTGCATGTAGGAATGCTCTCGCATTCCTTCACCTGAGCAGTTTTAAGTGTCCTGCAATTTTTGTTTTTAATATTGAGTTTGCGCCTTCGGGTCACGCTCACTCACCTGACCACGAAGAAGAGAGTGGGCGCGACTCAAACAAGCCAGTTTTTGATCGGCGATTTTCGGGCGGAAAGAAAAGAAATTTTGAGCTGCAAATTGTGTTTGGGCAGTTGGGCTCTCATATGTCATGAACTTGATCTTTGGTTCTGTATTTCTGTTGTTTTATTGCTGTAGACTCCTGAAACAGCCCGAAAGGGCTTTCAGTATTGTAAATAAATAAAATAAAACATATAAAAATCTTGGCAACCGTTGATACCCTTAGTGTCCCTTTAGGAGTGAAGTAGAAGTTCCTCCCACTTTGTTCCATTTTAGCAGAGCGAACACTGGAGAGAGGGTTGCCTCCTCTCCTCCAATCGCTCTGCTAAAGCAGAAGGAGGTGGAAGGAAGGAGCTTCCTCCTTACTCCTCACCTGTCACCAACTATAGCAGTATATACTTTTCACTATGTACCGGAAAACCCTTTGGTCCAAACCGGAGAACGGTAGCCTATTGGTGTTGAACGCATCGCCGGGGGTTGGCTCAAATTAAGTTGATGGCGGCCCTTGGAAGTTCTTACGTCGAGTTTGTTTAGGTCGTCCGTGTAACTCTTGTAAAACATTGTGGACGTTGGAACGTCCATAGTTTCCAGTTCGGCTGTGATTATTCAGCCAGTGTCCAAATTGTACATTATGGAATGGACAAAATAAAACTTGGCAAACACGCACATCGGAGACTCATTTCAGTCTCCATAACGACCCTGCTATGTGCCTATGGCTAAATTTTGCAGTACCACAAAAAGATTAGAGCAGCTTCAGACCGTTGCATGCTCCGTGAACCCGAAAACTTCAAAGCTTTCGCTAAAAACCAAACTTTGCAGCGCCGTTGCGAGAATTAAGAATGACGGGGTGCCTGTGTTTATGGTGGACTCACCATGCCGCCACCTCTTTAGAGGCTTGCCAACATCCAGCTTTTGTTTGACCCTCCCAGGCGGCGGTACGTAGTGCCAGTTCGGCGGCCAACGTCCAGATGACCTTCAAGGAACTCATCGAGCAAAGGGTAAGCAGTCGGCGATTTGAGGAAGCTCAAGTTTACCTACTACAACCCCGTTTTGTTTGAGTCACCTAACAAGCTCCTTTCTTTGGATTAATTTTTCCCATTTCATCGAGACCCCAAGCCCCAAATTCCGCAATAGAATCTTTCGGCGTGTTTCGTTGAAACTAGAAAAGGGAACATCATAAGAAAGTTTTTTTCGTTGAGCACGCAGGCCAGCGCATCACTGAAATGGGACACTCGAATTCGGCGAAAGCATGCTCAGTCATTATGGAAAGATAATGACGGTATAGTGTGTGCTTTATTGTAAATCGTTCCTGGTACACTCAGGTACCTCAAATGGTAATGCATGCCAAACTGCCCATTTCATAACAACCGTGACTCTCGCCAAGAGTTGGGTCTGTGCATGTGTGGCAGCTTTTTCCTGCAGAAGCTCTTCATGATACATAACGAAGTGCAGCGAGTTTACATTCATGTGGACGTTGTGCGGACATTGTGAAGGCCCATTCCCACACTCGCATCTGCTTACAGCCTAGTTTTGACAATCTCTTACAACGGGAGGACACGGTTGCGCCATTCATGCGGTGGCCCCAAAACTGCATTTCACTAGGGCGAAGGTTTTGCAGCATTTGTGAGGTCAAATGTACACACTAGCTAGGAGAAAGGGTCCTTTATAATAATCATAAACTTTTCAAGTCAGAAAAGTTAAATAAAAAAAACGTTCAGCCTTTTCACTTTTGTGAAGAAGGAAGACAAGCGGAGCTGGTGTTCGCCCGTTTCGCACGCGCCCGTTTCTCGCTTCTTCTCGTCCGACACGCTGCCGATCGTGAATACGTCTCCGGTGAACCAGAGTCGGTCGTACATGACACACGTGATGCCAAACGGGTAATCCATGAACTCCCTCCGGAACCTCGCCGTCGCGCCCGGGAACCGTTCAGCCGGCATGGAGTGCAGTCGTTGCCGGGCCTTGCGCTTGCGCTTAACCTCCGTCGCACGATCGTCGTCCGTGGCGATGGCCCGTCAGCGCCCTTTACATCGCTGGTTCTGTTCTCGGCAGAGGCTTTCCAGGCGGGCAATGTGCTATTCTTTGGCAAGGGAATCTGAAGCGCTTGACGCAGTGGAAGTCGAGGCGACAGCGGCTTTGCGGCGGTTGCAGACCCATTCGCACTGCTGCGTACGTCGCTGCTCCTTCCGCAGCGAGTCCTCTTTCCCCCAAAGGGCGCGCGACCGACCCATCCTAAGTCCAAACCGAAACTGATAAGAGCGTAGGAAACAGCGCGCAAAACAAACAAGGGCGAAGTAACACGCGTGACGAGCGCTGCGCACGTTGCGTGTGCTTTTTCTTTGTCGTCGTCTGTTTTTCGCGCTGTTTTTACGATGAATTCCCACCAACACGCCCAACTATCCATTCTTCTATGATAGCTGGAAAGGTTGGCGCCATCTACAAGCGTCGGCGGCAACCAGACTGGTTGTGTGCTTTCCGCCTTCGCTTATAGATGGCGGTAGTTGTCAGGTAGGTTTGCCGCCTTTGCTTATAGATGGCGGTAGCTGTCCAGGTAGGTTTGTGTCGACAGGCGTTTGGTACCAGACACAATCCTGGGATACCTGTGAAAATGATGCACAAAGAAAAATGGGAAGTGTACAGGAGTCGCAAGTGTTCCAAGTTTACCCGACAGATGGTGCCAGTGTTTTCCCTCATCACAAGAGATCACAAGGTTTTTGAAGGCTGGTTCAAACAGCCCCGTTTCATTATGTTATGCTACGTTACAAAAGATTACGTCTGCTTGTGGCACAGGTCACCGGGACATCTGTGCTTTGTATTAAGGGTGGCTACCAGTTCAAGGAGACGGCCTGGCATGCAACATTTGAGACACAAATGTTTTGGCGACTTATACGTAATGTAAGGAGAGGTATGAAAACAGCGCTGCGTGAACCAACCTTTAAAAAAACCCTGAAAAGAAAAAAAATTTTTTTTTTTAAACAGTTTAATTAGGATACGCGTGCCAAAAAATTAAGTCTGTGCAAAAAAACAAAACCTTTAAAGAAAATTTGTTGGCGCCAGATTTATTTTAAGTTCTGCGTGCAAAGTACACGACATCACGGAATGGTCATAGTACAGTCTTTCCACCTCAACGAGGTGGTCATAAACTCTCTCCACCTCAACGTGATGGCCAAGCCCATCCACCCCTCCTCCACGCGCCTGAAATGCCGAGAGAAAACAAAGTGGAAAGGAGGTGACTACCGACTAAATCGCATCCGACGTCAACAAAATTGCTCCAAAACTTTTTTTTTTCTTTTGCGTGAAATTATTTTTTTGACAGGCGTGACCGAATTTGACTGTTTCAAAAAAGCATATTTTTCTTTTCAGGTGCACTTTAAGTGTCTTAAGCAATTGCAAGTGTGTGAACCCGTTTGTTTTTATTTTTTACAGTGGAGCTGTTAAGGGCTAGGTTCTCCAGGATCGTGTCCGTGTATGTCGACACAAACCTACCTGGACAGCTACCGCCACCTTTAAGTGATGGCGGCAAGCACACAACCAGTATGATTTCCGCCGTCGCTCGTAGATGGCGGCAACCTTTCCAGCTAGAATAGAAGAATGGATAGTTGGGCACGTTGGTGGGAAGTCATCGTAGGAAACGGGGCACGAAAAACAGATGACGATGAAGAAGAAGCACACAGTGTATTGAGTATAGTCTTCCTTCTTCACGAGAGTGGAAAGGCTGAACGATTTTTTATAGCATACTGCAGACCACAATGGTCCAAGCAGGAGCGAATACAACAAAATACCATTGCACGCAACATGCGAAAATGTATGCCACAAAATGTTCAACAAACAAATGCGACGAAAACAAAAGTGTGCAGAAATGCAAGAAGTTACCGGCAGCAAAACGAAAGGTATCGATAAGGAACCTGCGCAGTCGTGAAATAAGAGGGGGACAATACCTTGGTAGGAAGAGACTTCGTTGTTAATCGTCATTAAAAAAAAAAAAAAAAAAAAGATTGGCTTTGGGGAGGGAGGGAGGGAGGGGAGAGGGGAAATATGTGGCTTTGGTTCGACTTCACGCTTTGTACGCGATTATTGGCTTGAAACCTTTGTTGACGGTATCATAAAGAATTATTTCTTATAGATAGTACTATATGTATGTTTTAACTTTGAACTTTCAAATACTGCAAAACCTTCGCTGTAGCGAAATGCAGTACTACCAGAGTCTCCTCATACAGGGTGCCAGCACGCTCTCTCATAAACGCAAGTGCATGAATGGGCCTTAGGAAAACGATCTCAAGAGGGGAAGGGGGTCCCTTAGTCGATCTCTGTATGGGGAGGCATCGCCGGCCTCTCTTGACACCGTTCCGCTCCTCGCGTGGCCTCATGCAGGCGCAGGAGAAGAATGTGCTGTTCATGCCGATAGCGCACCGCTTCCAAGAGGCCAAGCAGGTCTACCGACTGGGCCACGTGATGCTCTACCTGGACCGCAGTGTCATCTTCGTCTTCAACGGCAAGACCTGGGTGCCCACCTCCCTGCAGTCGCTCATGGACATGGCCGCGTGAGCGCCGCCGCGCGGACGACTTTGGCGGCGGCCTAATCGTGCCGCGGCTAGCCGGAGCTGCCAGACGATTGTGTACTGCGCTGGCGGATTCATTGTCGGATTCGTGGACCGATTCTTTAAAGATTTAAACGGGGCTGAAAAGTGAAGGCATCACGGGACAAGGTGTTCACACTGAGGTCTTTACGCCAAAAAACGCAGGAACGAAACGCGGGACAACGCATCCTGTCCCATGTGGCCTCTCACTTTTTGTCCCCGCAATATTTTGGCGTAAAACTTCAGTGTGAATCGGAACAAACTACACCGGCTTATCTTTATTCGTTGCTGCATTTACTGGTAGATTTGTGCAAGTTTTGTTGTGGATTCATCGAGATTTTTTCGTGGATCCGTTCGTGGATTGGCCGACGGATTTGTTTGCAAATTCGACGGCGGATCGGTTGGTAGACCCTCTTATGTCTCTGCAACGAATGTCGGAGGGTCTGCTTCCGCAGCTGCCGCGCGATTTGCAACGGGTATCGGATACTAGTTTTAGCGTCTTGTGTTGGAGAGATCCTTGCGGGTATGGCCGAGAATACATTTTGAAGATGGGCTGGTTAATGTGCAAGAAAGTGTGGTGAAAGAGTAAAGCTAGGTGCTTGGCAACCTTTTGGCAAGATACCCGAAGAGATGTTCGGCAGCATGTTTAACCAATGTGCTAAGAGACAGATATAAAACTGGACTCATCATCCAACCCCCTGGGCCGCTTGACGAGTGCTCCAGGCATACAAAGAGCACAGATGGTCAAGGCTGTTTGTGCTGCATTGTATGCAAGACACGTCATAAATAAAGCTGCCAGCACATTGGAAATTTTTTTTTAAATCTGCTTTCGACATGGCGAGACTTGCAGGCATTTCCTCGTTGTCACCTTCAGAAAACCTGGAAGCTTTGTGATGTCCTTTCCAGTGCATTTTATTTTACGACGGGTGTTAAACACTGAGAACCATCTTGGCAAGGTTCACCGCGAAACATTTTAAATTGTCCCACTGAAAAGGCCAAAATGAAAATGTGACGATACAAAATTTTATTGTGTTAGCAAGCGCAGTGCATCTTCTAGCAGCTCTGGTGAGTGCTCAACAGCGTCGAAGAATTATTTGCTCCCAGTTTGTAAATAAATGTGTGTTTGATGCTAACCGACTCTTCCAGACTCTGTTGTGCTTTAAGTGTATCTGACACTGTCTGTATCAGTCACATACCCAGAAAAGAGGTCAGACGCAAGTCAAAGTGAACAAAAGAAAGTAAACTCGTAATTTAATCGCAGCTGCGGCAAGCACACATATAAACACGAACTATGAAACTCGGCTGTTTCTTTTTTGTACAAGCACGTATCGGCGCTACGAAGATAAATAAGCTCAATATCGGGGTGCTAGAGCGGACGTCGAACAAGACGGCTTTCTGCAAATAAGGCTGGCACAACCGCTTCCTAACTGCCCACAAACCTGCCAACAGGGACGTCCTGCATTTCACAGGGAGTGCGCTCTTGCCTCTGCGTGTAAGGCGGGGGTAAGCCATTCGACGCGGGTAACAGACGCACCCGCTTTCCGAAGTTTGTTGACGGCGTCGTTTCTATGCAGAGCGCAAGTTTGTCTGCTTCTTGCACACGGGTTGCTATGATGTACGGACGCTGAGCTCTTATTGGCTGAATGTAAAAAAACGGTGGGTAGACCTTGAGGCATTTAGCAGCGAGGTTTAATCGCTATTTCTGGGTAGACCTCAATGCTAGATTAAGGTATCTAGCATTGAGGTCTACCCGCTATCCTGTCAATCATGGCCAATCGGAGCTTGGCATCATTCTGACGTCACCGCAACTCCTGCGCAAGAAACAGACGACTTGCTCTTTGCATAGCTGCATCCCGATAAAACGAGTTTTGCGGTAAAATCATGGTGCCTAGAACGCGTCTCCAAACTGGCGTGTTTCGCGCCCTATTCCACCTATGCGTCGAAAGTGGTCCCGAAGCAGCAACAAACGACGTCGCAAAGGCCGGAGTGTCGTGTCGCCGGATGTCGCGATCCCAGCGGCGGGGCGTAGATGTTCCAGCAAAAGCGTGAGCGAACGCGGGCGTCTTGGCGCCAAAGCTTCCGTGGGCTGTCGAGCTGGAGAGGGGCCTGCAGTAGAGAGGGCGTCTGGCACATTGACCACCGGTGCCGCGACACCGCCAGTACCGCGGCCAGCGACGACACGACGCTTCTAAGATGGCGTCGGGCGGTAATCAAGGGACAACTTTTGAGGACGCGGGAAGCACGCCGGTTTGAGACGCATAACGGACACCGTGGTACAACTAACGACGACGTTTAGGGGATGCCGAGAGCTTGCGTGGAACCCCTTGATTCTCTTTTTTTTTTTTTTTTGTCTGTCGGAAGTTGCAATTTTAGAGACACTCTTTCCAGTCCACTAAACGAACGTCAGATTGCGACGTTCGAAAGCGTTCAACGGCCAAACGCGTGCGGAAAAGCTCCGGGGCGTTCCTTCTCTTCAAAGTTTTCACGTCGCGAAGCTATTCTCTTCGCAAGTTCTCGAGGCGCGCCTGGAGGTCTGCATCTGCGTCTCCGACCGCTGCCGCGGCCGGAACTCCTCCGGCCTTGGTCTTCTGCGCCGCGGCCAGAGATCCGCCGGCTTCCGGCAGATCCGTCAGTTTCTCGGACAGCTGGAGGCCGAGCTCGTCCAAGACTTCCGACACGATGGCGTCGCTGCAAATACGTTTCGTGAGAGTTGGACGTAAAACCTGCTACGCAACAGTTGTCGTCGCTCTTTTGAATCCGATATTGTTTAAACTGGTGGTCGTAAAGAGCTTATTTGCTAACACCACTCTTTCCTCGATGAAGTTTGTATTTTGAATAATTTCTTTTGTTGCACTTGTTGATGCGCCGAGCTGTGAAAATACTATCTATTTACCTTGAGTGTTCCACATCTCGTATTATTTAATGTTGTTATATTTCTACTATTGACAGATCCCTCATTGCCATTCTTGTATATATATGTATAGTATATATAAATCAAATCAAATCAAAGTTTATTTAGACAACCGTCGATATATCAAATCAAATCAAAGTTTATTTAGACAACCGTCGAGAATACAACATCTATCATGTTGTAATTTTGTTTACATGTATGTACACATATAAGGTATTTTTGAAAATCAAATCGCTCCTGCAAGAGCTATGCATAAAACAAAAGAGGCCTAAATTACAATTTTTTTTTTTTTTAATTCATTTTTCATTTTTGAGGTTTTCATTTTTAGAAACTAATTATACACCCTTACACTAAATTTGATAACCATATGCCAAATACTTACGTTGATATGAAATATTGTCAACACATTGTGACGCAGTAACAAAGTAAAGTAGTTCAATGTTTGAATGCATTTTTCTCAGTTCCACTTTCTGCTGCAAATTTCATACAAAGGAATCTTTTGCTTGGAGGTGAAAATATTCCGATACCACAATCAAGATGTTTCTGAACTGAAATTTACTGGGGAATCTGGCTATCTACTTTACTTTGTTGTAAGTTAAAGTCCTCGTTGAGAAAAAGCTATGTTTTCAAGCATCGACATAGGACAGATACGCATCTCGTATTTTGAGGTAATGACACTTCCTGAAATATTTACATTAGAGTTATAAAAACTAGATAGCCCGAAGTCCCACATCCCCCACATTATATTCAAGCAGTCAAAATGGTTCTTAATAGGTTCATTTGCATATCATAGATTTCTTAAGAAAGAGTGACACATCTTCTTATGCAGGTATGTAAAATTGTCCTAGAGAGCTGAAAGTTCGCACAGTACACCTACACCTGATGTTGAATCTCCTCTGCAAATTTCATTCCGATCACTTGAATAGTTCAGAAGTTCATTCTCTAGCCAGTGTCCCCCCTTAAGGAAAATTATCAGTGTTCAGTGTAATAAGTAATTAATCACTTTTTAGATATTAAATTTTTAATTATTGGCTCTACTTCATTAAAACAAAATGTTTCGATCAAGTAGTGTTCAGTAAAAGAAGAATGGGAGTGCTTTCTCCAACTCCCGTCGGACGAGGGAGGGCTTTGTGCAGATCAGTCCTCCGATGCTGGAAGGAACATAGTCCTGTCGGAGGGGGGAGGCCCGTGTGGCCAACACTCTTTCGACGCCGGAAGTGACGCAGAACCGTCGGAGGAGAGACGGGCCATTTTATATACTGTAAATGACTTATTTTTCGCGAGCTCAATACGCCTCGCAAGTGGGCTCATTTTCGTCTTCTGCGCATGAGAAAGGAAGTAGCGGTGACGTCAGAACGCCGAGCCCTGAATGGCTGATCGCGACCCCCTATCTGAGCGTCGTCTGCTCCTTTGCAACGTCGTCTGCTCGCAATATCGTCTGCGTCTGTCTTACCTTTCCTGCGACTTCCGGAGCGAACTCGACTTTGTCTTTAAGAGAGAGCAGACGAAATAACTCGAGCGGTACGTTGTTTTTGTCTAACAACTAGCAGACGCGCATCAAGGAGGGAAGTCAAAGGACTCACTAGCGAGGTGTCTCGAGGCGCCGAGGTTTGTTTGCTAAGAACCGAGAGTAAGCGTGTTAGTGCCTGCAAGTTCCCTCCCAAATACTTTTTCCCTCATTTCGTGTGCGGCGAGACCCCTCATTCTTTAACGGCGTCGGCGGGTTGGCACAGTTAACGTCGTCTGCTTTACGTCTGCTAATCAAAGCGATGGCTGCTTTACCTTTCCTGCGTCTGTCGGAGATTCACCGCTTTTTCACCGGCGAGAGTCACCGTTGCCTCGGGAAACAAGGAGATAACAAGAGGAAGAAATTTACCTCTTAATCTAAAATTGAGGTCAGCGATCAAAGTATAATACGGGAAGGGTTCACAAGGGTCGCGCGGGCATATTCTATTCAGCACGCCAGCCGGTCGTGGGCAGACGGTCGCCGAGTCGCGGAATGCCTACTAGGCCTAACTGCCGTACTCGCTTGGTCGTGTTCGGTGGAATCGTGGTCGTTGGAGCTTTTCCCGGGTGTTTGTGGATCCTGCGTTCTTGCTCGTCGTGGTCTGTTTCAAGTACTTTTTACTTTTTTCTTGCTGCTTGAAGTCGAGACGCGTGAGAAGCGCACGTAGAAAAATAAACGTCCGTGGGTCGTCGCGACCGCGACGCTGTCGGCCATGTTGATTTGATCGTAAGAAGTGCGTAAGACAGCTTCGGAGCTGTCGTAGGATTTCGTCGTAACCTGCACAAACAAAAATTTCGTTTCGTGAATACGAATTTGTTCTTAAGCTTTGTCTTACGCACATTTATGGCGTAAGATCGTTTCGTAAATCTGGCCTCTGCACTTCCGAAAGTCGCAGGAAAGGTAAGACAGACGCAGACGACGTTGTGGGCAGTTGACGTTGCAAAGGAGCAGACGACGCTCAGATAGGGGGTCGCAATCAGCCAATCAGGGCTCGGCACTCTGACGTCACCGCTACCCCCTGCGCAAAAAGCAGACGAACTTGCCCTCCGCATATTTCGCGATTTAGGTCGAAGCTGAAGTTTTGGAATGATTCGCAGGTTCTAATTTTCGCGACACGGTGGGATCTCAATATAGATTCCAATGTGTTTACATTTTACCGGAATTCTGCGCAGGAGCTATTTTTTGCGAATTGTAGGCGATTCGCACAAATCGCGAAAATTAGGCCTAAATACATCCCAGTTACAATGCTTTGCTTTTAGTTGATTTCCAGTTAGGCACCCGTTGGTTCCCAACTGGAACCGGCTTATCCCAGTTCTAGTTTTAGACCCCAAGTGGACCCAGTTAGAGATTTAACCGGCCTATCCATTCAACCATCCTGCAGCTGGGTTATGTGCACTTGCTGCTGCAAGTGAGAACCTTAACGCAACTCGGCTGTTGGCCCGTCGAAAGCAACTTATTAGGTATGATATTCAATGATTCGGGTCACGTTTAAAGGGCACATGCAAAGGAAAAAAACATTTTTTTTAAACAACTTGGATGGAAAAAGGATATCATAAAACGATTTTACAACCAAGAAAAAAATTTTAGAGCTACATTTACGGCGCTATACGAATTTGTAGTTGGCGCCGGCGGACGCCGCAAGAAAGTGGCCCTCATTTATCACGTGAAGGGCCCGTATTTGTCACGTGGTGCTCGTGCTCTTTCGGAAGCTTCCTATGGCCTCTAAAAGTAACTTATTTATCTTTGTTTAAAGTATAACAAAAAACTAAGATGAATAAGTAACTTTTTTGAGCCCAAAGGAAACTCCTGAAAAAGCGCAAGCAGACGTGATAGACGAGTGCGCCGGTCAGACGAAGGCGGCGGCGCCCCGAAGCAGACGAACTTGTGCGGCGGCGGCGTCGACGGCAGCGTGGAGAAACGCGTTGAAGCGGCGTTCGCACAACGCTCAGTGTGCAGCGGCGACGCAGCGCGGCGGCGCGGGCCTACCACGTGATTAGCGGCGGCTCCCGCAAGCACCAACTACATATTCGTATAGCGCTGTAAATATAGCTCTAAAAATTTTTTTTTTCATTGTAAAATTGTTTTATGACATCTTTTTTCCATCTAAGCTGTCTAAAAGAAATGTTTTTTTCCCTTTGCGTGTGTCCTTTAAGGTCTTTGCAATACCAAACACCCATCTAAGCGCACGGGCGCACTCAACCGTCGCTACCGTCAGTCACGCTGGTGAGGGAGTATAGACCGTCGTGCTATGTTCCACTCGCTGGCAGTGTGACGAAGGCTATGGGCACCAGATCAGCTACGAGACATTCTTCTTACAGGACGAGCGCCCGGTCAGGACAAGCGTGCAATGTGCAACGCAAGGAGTAGCCAAGTAGGTAGGAGAAGCGCAGAGCATGCCCTAGCACCATGCCCACAATAATAATGTCTCGTGACACACAGACAAGAAAGATGTATTTATATGTACTAATACTATTCTCATAGCTCATAACTTTTGCTAGGCTGCTATTAAATGGGTTACAAATAAACTGGTTTCGTGGCAAAAATGTTTACTGTAAAACTGGATTAAAATCGAACAAGCTGATTTTTATTTTTATTTATTTTTAAAGATACATTATAGTATGTATGTAATAATGATTTCTATTACTTATTTATAATCAACAAGATGGCGTCACTTCCAGCGTCGGAGGAGTAGATTTTATATAGGCGTCATTTGTCCAACGGGAGTCTGAGGAAGTACGGCCAAGAAGATTAGAGGACTGGCGGCTAAAATCAAGGGACGAATAGGGGCTAAATCTGATTAAACAATATTTAACTCGGAGCTTAAAAAAAAAATCCATTTGGCTAGGTGGTGCAAGTCACCGCACGATTCAAAAGGGAACAACTGTTGTGCATCCATCCTGAATCTGTTGTAAGGCTGCACAGGGGAGCTGGATGCACTCAGTTTCAACCAAACACAAGTGAGTGAACCAGCTTTTATGCTGAAAAGAATGGGTGCCGCCGGCTCTACGTGCACCACTTGTGGAGAAGCATGCGCCAAAGGGGCGGACACCAGATTACGGTGGAAAGAGGGTCACCACTCACCTCTCCTCCTCGTCCTCGTCATCGCCCATGGCATCGTCGATGGCGTCGTTCATCATCTCCTCTTTCATGTCCATGATCTCCGACTGCTTCTCAAACTCCTGCATTATCTTCTGGATCTGGGGTAGGTTGAGCTGCAACGCCGGTTGGGCGAGAAAAAATATGGCGCTCACGAACGGACTTCTCAAGATCGCCAAGTAAGAAAGGCACGGGGCCAGTAACCTAGCTAAAGAACTCGTCGGTGACGAGAACAAAACTGGTCATCAATGTCGTCTGCAGACGTTCGTCACCAACTGTTTGGGCGACCACGCTGCTAAAGAGCACTGAACACGTTTGTTTCCAATCCTTTGTCGAGCAGAAATTTTGTTTACTACGAGCTTGACAGACGTTGAGTAGTAGAGCTGGATGAAGAGGAATTCATCCTTGTCTTGAGTTCTTGTCACTCCTCAAAAAACACAAGTCTTAAACCTTTTTTTTTTTTTTTTTTTTAAGTGCTTGGGTAGGATTATAGGCAAAATATTCTTTTCCAGAAAAAAAATGTTTCTTGTACCTCATTTTTAGTAGAGAGAGATTGTGAAACAAGCTTCTACAGCTTGTCTCCCTCCCTAGAAAAATATATTAGTGCTCTTTTCGCAGCAAACATAAACTAGACATCGCCGAACGCTCGTTCTCTGCCCAATACAGTGATTTCTCGTCGAAATGGACACCTCCGTTCCCCTAAAAAATCGTCCATAATGTGAGTTGTCCATAATAACGAGACAAAAATGCATGTATTTTCCCAGTTTGTCCCAGAAAGTGGTGTCCATATAGCGGGGTATTTATATTAACAGGGTCCATATTAACGAGACATGACTGTATAGTGCTAAGTGGTCCGCACCAGATGCCAATGTTTTGGAACTAAACAATGTCTCAATCAAAAGTTATTCCAATGGGAAAATGGGATCCATTTTTGGTAACTGGTGCCATTTGGCTGCACATATTCAGGAGCTCTGTCGGCCGCCATCTTTTTATAAAACATTTCAGAAAATCGCTTAATCGTAACTTTTAAAGAAGACGTTTCATTTTGAAATTTGTAGGCAACCTGGAGATCTAAAGCGTTGGAGCCGGAGGCTCGCATGCCAAATCATCCGCAGTCATTTGCACCGCGAGGGGGCCACCACTGATAAAAGGCGGTCTCAGTGGATGTGCAACGGCTTTTTATATTCACCGGCATCGCTCGCGCCGCGGGTGATGACAGTGAATGTTTTGTCGAACCAGTGTGTCGTGTCATTCTTCGAAACGGGTAGGAGCAAAAGAATTCATTCACACAAATTTCGGCATCTGTTTTGAACTGCCAGCGCTACATTTTGGCAGAAAATTAGCGTTCGGCGACGCATATTTTATTTTTGAGGTGAAGAAAGAATCTTGTAACTTTTTGGGAGGAACACCCTGTATTTTGAGACGTCTCACAACGTAAATATCGCACTAGAATGATTTTTATTTCAATGAAAAAGTTCATTTTGCGTGACATACTTCTTACCTAAGCACCTAAAAAACAAAACAAAAATGTTGCATTAATTTTTATTTCAACTATTTTGTGACATGTATGTACTATTTAAGCACTTAAAAAAGTGCATGTGTCATCTCCTCTGGTTCCTCGATCCCTGCTTTTCAAGAAGCTAAAAAATTAGTTCTGATGGAAAATCGATAAAGAGCTCAAGGAGCACTTTATCGATTTTCGTGCATTAACTCTCATCCTTTGCACCGAAGGTCATAGAAGTTTGTATTTTTCGTACAAACTTCTACGACTAACTGCCAGGATCCCGACATCCGACACCATGTCACTCCGGCTTTTCCGGCGGCGCTTGTTGCCCCTTTGGGACCCCTTTTGATGCACGTGAGTGGTATGGGACACTAGACGCATTGGCAGAAGACACATTCCAGACACCGTGCTACGACCAAAGACGACACGTGCCACGGCAGGGCGATATTGCCTACACACCTGTCTGTTCATGTTCTGCATGGCCCGCGTGACCCCCTTCATGGCCTGCGCCATGGCGTTCTGGGACCGCAGGGTCTGGATCTTGAGGGACACCGCCTGGATGTTGGCCCGCATCAGGATGAACTTTTTCACCTGGCGTCTGGTCCGCACGAGGTCCCTCGCCATGATCTTGACCGCGTCCTGCGAGCGAATCGGGCAGGCGCCACTGGGCTATGAAAGTGTGTGCAGCGTACGACATTCCGCAAAAGGCTGCATGCACTAAGAGTGCGTCCCACGGCCCAGGAGGCAAAAAACCGCAGCACACAGGAGGCAATGATTGGAATGGCTTGTATGCAACCCCCCCGAAAAATCTCTTCTTCACTTTCCTGGGTGTACAGAACAAAAGAGTTTGCCCTAAAAAATTCCTTCTTGGAAATACCCGATGGGCGGTCCCCACAAAAGCAGCTCTTCCACGATCGGAGACCGCTTAATGCCTTTTTCTATCGCCCTCTCTCGCTGCACTGCCTCGTTTTTTTGTGTTTTTTTTTCAGAAAGGCTATTGTACAACTTATTGCCTGCTGCAGCATTGGGTCGGTAGTAGAAGCTATGCCTCCAGTGCGAGCTCTGCACTTTCGAAAGCACTTCAGTGCATGCATGGCCAAGGCACTGGAGGCAGAGCTACTCCCGCAGATCTTGCATTCCAACAGACCACCGATGTTCTGCGCGAGAGACCTTCTTAGCAAGGTGGTACGTTGGGCTCGGTGGCGATCATTGAACAGGATGAAAAACAGTGCTCAAAGGAAAAGGACCACAGGAGGAACATCCGCTGTTCGTCCCGTCACATTCCGTCCTTCTGTTTCATTCCTTTGAGCGCTGTTTTTATCCCGTTCAATTATCCTCTTAGCTTCCCCTTCCGAATTGACAGTGCCATGCAGAAAGGAGACAAGAAACTAACAGAGGGCAAGAGTTCCAAAATCAAGCTCCTGGGACTCGTGCTCTTCGGTACTCCAGAGACCCCAGATGGCATGTGGTATTTGGTGAATGAATTGGGGAGCAACAAAAGAGGAAAGGCATGGGGAGGAGCTTTTTCTCGTGAAGGAATGACCGGCAGGACCGACCATCTGGTTGTCCTTGGCCATCTTCTTGATGTCCATGATGATCTTCTTCTCCTGCTGCTCCATCTTGGCCCGCTCTCGGTCCAGGTCACGCATGGCCTTGTTCAGGGCGCGCTGGTTCTGTCTCAGCATCTCTTCCGGTGTCTTCTTCTTGCCGAACAGCCACTCCATCTCGGCTCTGCGGCGGCCAAAAGAAAAAGTAGTCGCAGCGACACCTTATCGGACCCTAATGTAATCCTCATGTATCTTGCAGGAAACCTGTGATGATGTGCTCGCTTCTGTTGTGGTCGGCGCGTTACACGAGGGAGCCATTGCCAATGTCTGCTGGAAGGGTGACACACCCATTAATTTTATACAGAAAAAAGCCCTCTAGCTGACGCAGCGCAAGACTCGGGTGGCATGATGCGATGTCATTGCAACTGTGGCCAACTAGTCATCATCATCATCATCATTTATTATTCCTTGAAGGCCCAAGGGGCATTATACAAGGGAGTGAACACAAAAAACAAACAAAAAAAAAAATTTATCTACACAAACACGCTGTAATCTAGTTGTGGCTTAGAAAAAAATAAGCTAATGGCTGCAGAAAATTTCTTAGTATCAGATAAGGAAACAATTACGTCAGGCAGCGAGTTCCAGTAGTCAATGGCCAATGGTAAAGTAGACATTTGGTGAGTGACGGTTGATGATGAAATTGGACGGAGTTTACAAGAATGGTCGAGACGAGGGAAAATGCGGTAAGGAGGTGATAACAAAGTTTGTCTGAGATGACTGTTGTAATAAAAGATCCGATGAAGAAGAGAAAGACGAGACATCCTGCAGCGGTGAGAAAGAGTGCCAAAGTTAGCTGATTGGCGAAATCCTGATACGCTTGCGTAAGGGGAATAGTTGGAATAAATAAAACGGAGCGCTCTGCTTTGAATGCATTCAAGGATGTCAGTTAGGTATGCCTGCCACGGTGACCATATGGAAGAAGTGAATTCTGGTTTAGTTCTGACCAAGGTAGTACAAGCTAGTTGTTTTACGGGGAATGTAGCTTGTCTGAGGTTACGGCGAAGAAATCCGAGAGTGCGGTTAGCATCGGCGATGACATGTTATATGGGTGGTCCAAGACAGGTCAGATGTCAGATGAATTCCTAGATATTTATACGATGAACAAGCAGTTACTGGGATGCCAGAAAGGTGGTAAGAGGAGGATAGAACATGTGAACTGCGGGAAAAAGATAGCGATTTACATTTATTATAGTTTAAAGCCATTTGCCATTTATGACACCACTGAATAATGAGTTGGAGATTGTTTTGCAAAATTAGTTGATTGTGGAGTGAATGAATCGGTCTATAGATGACACAGTCATCGGTATGCGAGGCTCATACGTACAGGCATCCTCAACACGTGTAGTTTATAAGCCGGTGCACTAAAGCAGGTGGCATGGCTCTGTGGTAGCACACTTACTTTGCAATCGGCGAACCTGATATGAAATCTTGGCGGTAGCGGTTGGGGATCTTGTTCAAGCATTTGGCAATATCGACAACGGACGCCCTTGCGTCATCATTTCGAGTGGGGGAGAAGAGTTCATAATAGCTACTGTCCATCGTGTGGCCCATTATGCTCCGTTTCACTTTAAAATGGACTGCAGCATACGCTACCAACCATCTCGGTCAATTGAGTGCTGTAAATGTGGCACGTGACTATGCATCTGAACCGTTGCTGCGCCCTTCCCAGAGTTCACGACACTCACACAGCACTGGATTGTCTTCGATGGTTTGTAGTGTCTTATGCCGTCCATAACAAAAGGTGAAGTATAGCATGTCAAGGTCCCCAACCACGGCTGGACACGCACGAAAACGAAACCGGTTATTCCTGCAATGTTTCTCTCCCCTATTCCTATATATCTGCATGCAGCATTTCTTAAATAAATAAATAAATATGCAGGTATATTATTACTGGCTATATGCGAGGCATTGCAAACCTATAGGTATGAGTCTACGGCCTTCTGTGGTGACCTGGCTATCCAGAGGAGTTAATCAAAGCCATATATTAGGAGAGTCTGGCCAGTGGGTGTGGCGACGAAGGCACTGGAGAGAAGAAAATTGAAGGAAAGGGAGGATAGCGCCAAAGGAGCGAGAGAGAAAGAAGGGAACAAGAGGAGACGACCGCCATTTTGATGCAACGCTGTCGGCGCAGAGCACTGTTGAGGCTACGCGTTGTCTGCTACGGACTTATTTTTTTTTCGCCTGAACCAAAGTTTGCATTCAAACGTGGAAAACTTCATTAGTTAGTTTTTTCTTTAAGCCACCGAGGAATAGCACTATATCATTTTCTTGCCAGAGCCTGCCAAATAAAAGGAAAGAACCGAAATTTAGATGTCGATCCGATGCATTCCGCCGGGCGAATGAATGAAGATGGCGGCCCTCCCTGCTCAGCTGGGAGTCCACGCGCATGCGCTCACGCCTCTCGCTCTCTGCCGCGGGCTGATTGGCGGGGCGTTACGGCGGTGAGATCATAGACTGGCCAAACTCTACCCAACATCATGAACGAAACGCCTGTCGATCATATTGCAGCACTAGCACGCTTGTTCACTGATGCGATAAATACAAAGTACTCCAAGTTCCGCGTGGTTCTGACCTTTCCCTGTCACTCCTTTCGTTAACTGGAAAGTACTATGTGATACGGAGGAGTATGCTCGTACGATGAAATGCGAGTTCATCTGAGCACCTCTGAAGCAAGGGACCAGGCGCGTAATCGGAACGATGGGCTCTGTCCCGCATGGATATTTGAGCAAAACATTACTCGTTAGAAATGCACCCGCCTCGTTACACGGCACTGGTGAGATGGAAGACGGGAGCCCGACACAAAATCAGATGTTGTAATCGCGATGCAAATGACAACTCTTGGACCAACCCCACAGCGCAGATAAGCGTCGTCGGTTTAGATCTAGCATTTGTATTTCGATGAAACCAACGTCGACCTACGTATTGCGGTTCCGATGAGCTAGTAGAAGGCAATCAGGTCGCTCGCATACAACCAGGGTAGAGTTGGGACACTGTTTCGACGAAGCTGCGCACAAATCGCCGATGAAATCTTTCACGGCAGGTGACTCAACGGGAGCGACCACAGGCAAAGCTGACAAGACACAGACAAACACAGATGATTGCAAAGAGATATGGCGGCACGCCTTGTGATGACACACAATGAGACCGGAGGGCACCGACAACTTCAGTCGGTCGGTAATTTTTAATTTGTAAATATAAGATCGATATCTCCTTACAAAGCAAAATACGGCCTTTAAAAGATACGCCATATGGCGTTATAAGCTTTTAAGCAATAAAATAAGCAAACAAGACGGACACCACTAAAGCCACAAAAAGTCGTTTTGGTCACGCTAGTAACCCTAGACCCTAGAGTGAGTGTCACGTGCTCTTTAATTTTCAGTCTTTCAGTTATTTGCCTTATTTTCTTGTTTGCGTAAGTTTCATGAGAATTTATAAGACAAATTTAGTATTCTATTTGGTTGTTTTTATCTCAAGCATATAGTTTATTTAAGTAGTTTTCAGTAAGTTTTGTTTTTGAGGAGCTTAACTCGAGGGCCGCTCGAGTCAATTAAACCGACTAAACGAGTAAACGGATTAGGTGAACACGCCTCCGTGGAAAGCGAGCATTCTCCGGCTGCCATCTTGGGCTAAAACTATGTTGGTTCAATGCGAGTGGCTTCATTCAGTAATCGCGTCCTGTGGGATTCTGCGTTCGGCGGCGGACGTGGACGTGCTCGGCCGATGCAGCAGCCAGCCTGCTCGACATCTCTAACCCGTGGCCGGCCGTAGCACAGACTCATTGCCCACCAAAGCGTCCATGTGAAGGGAAGAAAAGGATCGAGAGCACGACCGCGCTCTTCATCGCACAGGCTTCATTCACGACGAGCGCTCAGTGTCAGTCCTAATTTAACGTCCACGAGCACTTCGCAACCCTGCAACGCTCAGCTGGGCCGTTACCGACCGGTACCGACGCCGCATCGTACAACGGACTGTTACGACTGCCCGACCCTGTGTTGTAGAACGGTGCTCAGAGTCGCGAAACGGACCCGTGCGCTGTGCACAGCTTCGCACAACAACTGTGCCGTGGGACTCCCATTTGCTCTCCTTATTTATTTGCTTGAGAGTTTGTAAGCCTAATCGGAAAATATCGGCGTTGGGTCTGCGAAAAGCAGGCCCCCGCGGTCGCTGCGACCCTTGTTCGGCGTTGGGGGAAGGACGAACAATCGGTGCTTTTGTTGCGCTGTCACTGGCGAGCGGCTGTTGTGTCTCCGGGTCAAGTGTTGGGGCCCGAGTGCCGCGGCCGCTAGTGTGCCACCAACTTCGTGGCTTATCTTGATCGCTGGAAGCAACGATCAACTTCGTCGGCTGGCTCTGATTGTGCGTTTGTGTCTATATAGAGACGAAAAAATCGGCACGTCGCAGCCCGTCCGTCGGTAAGTGAAATTCGTTTGGCACGGCGTACGCTCCCTTCGCTGCATCGAACTCTTGCTCTTTTACTAGCTGTGCGGCTGTGCTTAGTTGGTGGCTTATCGACACTCTTGAGTTCGGGAGGCGTCGCTATTCCGCGATTCACGTACTTCCTTTGTTTGGCGTACTAGCGCTCTATGGGCCGTTTTGCTCTCTTCGTAACTCGTGATTGATGCCACAACGTGAAAGTGTGCGCTAACCCCGATGATGACAGCGGAGTTTTGGGCCCGGAATGTCTCTTTAACGAAGAATAGCGACTGACACAGTTCACATGAAGTGTTTCATGTCGGGTGAGGAGCATATTACGCAGCCAACTGTTCCCCTGTACTGTTCATTGTGTTGTTACTCTACCGCGTGTGAGTTGGTACGATTGCCGTTTCGTCGCTGCAGGCCGATTCGTTTTCCCCGTGAGTCACGTTCGAATTAAACAGAAACAAAAATTGGAGCAGAAGCGCGCGACTGTTCTTTCGGGATTGGCAGCTAAAGTTGTGCGTCGGCAAAACGCACCTCTAATCGTTTTTGTTTTGTGTTTTTGCTTTTACAGCCGTCAACATGTTTTGGAAGTTCAACCTGATCACCACCTCCCACTTGGAGACGCTCCTTGGGAAGGAGGTGGGCTTTTTTACTCGACACAAGCCTTGGCAAAAAAACGACCTTCTCTTGGCTTTCGCACATTTAGACAATGTCTACCGAATTACAAGTTGTTTGCTATGTTGTGCCACTTAAGAGGGCATGTTCCAGCATCAGGTGGCCTTTTTTGTAGTCTACTAAACCATTAGTTGCCTCACAGGTATGGCATGAGCACACCAGTACACCATTCAGAAAATTTTCAGCATGAGCACCAATTTACAAAGGTGTCTTAGCACCTTCAATGCACGTTTGCAAGTACGATCTCAGGTCGCCGCCATCTTCTTGCTTGCTTGGGGTGTGCTTAGGAGAGTCATAATCCAATTATGACGCCTTAGCAAGAGGTCGTAATCTGATTATGACGCGAGCAATGTGGCGGTGCCCTGAGGCTCTACTTTCAAACGTGGTAGGCAGCGAGCGTGTTCTGGAGGCCAAATGTCCACTGTGTCTGCATTCTTAGCCTGTCGCCGATCATAGTACATTGGCTGTCCCTTTAATTATTAGCATCTGCAAGTTTGCGTCATATTGGATGTAACGTGTCCTCAGTCCCCAAAACTCCAGCCACGTTAGGGAAAATAGCCGGCTAATGAGGCTGAAGGACAGCAAGCTATCCAAAGCCATTCTTGTGCTTTACGCCATAACTGGGAAGAAGTTTTTGGGCCCACCTGGTGGGAATCGCCTTTCTGTGGATGTCGTAACATTCGAGCCAGACTTTGGAACAACAGCGCATTGCACAAACAAGAAGGGGGCCTCTAAAGCCCCGCAACCAACCAGGAGCATTGATTCGCTCTGTGCTTTTGTCTAGAATGTCACGCTGAAGGAGTTGATGGATGAAGAGGACATTCTTCAGGAGTGCAAGGCTCAGACCAAGCTGCTTATTGAGTTGTAAGTTATGACACCTTCTGCCGCCTGCAGCCTCTCTCTTTCTCTCGTAGCAATGGCCCAAAAAAGGTGTCGCTTGGTCGCGGGAAGACCTCTGTGCAGCTCTGGACTGTGGCGACAAACAAGAATGCTGCAACTCACGCACTCGTGACCTTGTATTGTCTGTTCTAGGTCAATGATTGTTCTTACTAATATCCCGACTGCAAAATTGCTACATTTCTCTGGTGGACTTGTAGAAGCAAAAAAAAAATGATGGCTTCATTTTGTGCGAGCATTGATTTGAATAACATGACATGCTCATTTCAATATAGTTCTCTTGGAAAATATCAGAATTTTCTATAAAATTTGGCTAAATAGGGGCTGAGATGAGCAAGGTGTTAATTCGGTAACATCGGTTTGGAAAGAATAACTATGCACAGGATGGACTCTCACTTGTTAATGGAGCGCAGTGGTTTGCTCTTTGTTTCGGGAGTTTTTCTCGTTTTGAAACATAGTCGCTTGTCGGACTATCAGTTTCATGTTTAAAGACACCCCCAGCCAGCTGGCTTAGGCTGTTTTTATAACCCGATTACTAGAAAATATGTATAGGGTGAAAGCACCGCTGAATTTCACTTTAATCAAAGCAAAATAAAAGAAAGTGAAAAAAAAAAAAAACAATGCAAAAAGCTTTGCTTTTTTGTTTTAGAAATTGCTTATTGCCTGAGAAAGCAAGTTGTAGAAAGTGAAATATTGGTATTTTTTAAAGTAAATTATGTAAAATGGTACAGAGTGAAGAGCGACCTGCGTCAATCTGTTTGAGGTTTCGAGATTTTTCTGAAGACTGCAAACGTAGGCAATCTCTCACTTTTTTTTTTTTTTCCCTGCTTTTTTTTTTAATATAAAGTTTGATTCGGCCCGACGTCATGGACGAGCTTGTGAGCCTGATCATCCAAGAACCAGCAGAAGACATCGATGAGAAGCTGCGCTACAAGTGAGGGCTGCTGCCATTTCCTGCAGCATATTTTTTTTTCTGGTTGTTCAGAAATCACATAGTGGAAGCGACACAGCTTCTTTCTCTTTTGCCATCTGCGATCAAGTTGGGAGTTCCGTACGCTTATTGTCCGAGGTGGCCGAGGGAGAATCGTTGTTGCTCAACTGCTACTCTCGGTGCGATGTATAGCAGCCCCACGGCCATTGTGCAATGTTATACTTCTCTTTAGGAGTGTATTTAATATGCTTATCATGTTGAGCGGTGACGTCGAGTCTAACCCTGGACCCGACATGGCTCAGCTTATGGAATAGCTGCAGGTAATCTCCAAAGACGTGAAAGATATAAAAGAAGGGAAGGCTGTGACGGACTCACTAATGGCAGAAACAAACGGGAGACTGACCACAATCGAACAAAGAGTGGACAACCTGACCCAGCTGACAGCAACTTTGGTGGCCTTCCAGGATAAGATCTTGGCTCTTGAAAGAAAATGTCGACTTTCTAATGGCTAAAATTGACGACTTAGGAAACCGGAGCAGACGGAATAATTTTATTGTATACGCAATTCACAAAACAGTGGATGAGGATAGCACCTTTCTTTAAAACCTTGTGAAGAAAGATGTGTTTGAAAGTATCCTAAAAGTTCAAACTGGCTGGAATAGAAAGAATACATCGACTGGGCAGGAAAAGCGCTAACAAAAACAGGCCAATCATTCTTAAGCTACTCGATGGTAGAGACAAAACTAAAATTTTAAGCAGTTGCCGGCTATTGAAGGGTTCGGCTTGTAGCATTTCGCAAGATTTTTCCCCACGAGTGCCACCAATTCGAAAAAAAGCTATGGGAAAGTTCCAAAGACCTACGAAAAAATGGCGATAAAGTTATCTTTCAACAAAATAAAAATAAATGGCAAGGCTTTTTGATGGGATGACACTGCGAACAAAAGAGTGCCACTAAATTATACCAGACAAGAAGATACTAATTGACTGCGGGCCAGTACCTGCGGACAGCTGCTGCTCTTTGATTATACCAGACAAGAGGATACTTATTGACTACGGGACAGACGGGGCAGAGCGCGGCAAATCGCAAATGCCAACGTCAGGTCCTGAGCGGAGGAACAAGGAAGAGAGTGACAGGAAGGCAGAGAAAGAAAGCGGACAAAAAGATATGCGCATTCGCTTTGTTACGACGAGTTGAATTGGATTGAGTATGTGCCAACTATATTTCTTTTCCTGCAGTGCATAGCACCAATGTTTTCTCGGAAAATTAAGTTAGAAAAGACCAGGGTGTCGAACCTGAACCGAACCGAAAACCGGAACTGAACCCGAACCTGAACCGTTATATTGTTATCGCGATGAACCCGAACCGGAACTGAACCGGAAAAATAATAACGGTTACCGGCTCATGTCAAAACGGTTCGGCCACGCGCTGTTGACAGTGAATGTGCTATCAATGCCATTTGTTTTTTAAGTGCCGTCAACTGACACACACCTCGCTTACATATTTTTCTTCACTCAGTCTTAGGAATATAAACGCTGCATCCATGAATCTTGACATAGGAACCAGTATTGCACTGGTCGCGGCTTGCACGGAAGAAAGAGAATTGGAAGGCTGTGCAAAAAAAAAAAAAAAAAAAAATCGCGTCACGGGATTTCATTTTTCTACAATCTCGTAAATCCTAAATGCTGCTGTGTGCTCATTTCATAACACGTTTCTAGAACGCACGAGTTCTTGAAGCTTGCTTCCATCGGAATGAGGGAAGAAAAGGCTGTGGAGTTTGATAATAATGCATCCGGTTTCGTGTAGGCACTTAGAGGCTAACATATTTGTGAGACAGCGAACTCTTCTATTTTAATATTTATCCTATTGCGTCCTTCTGGCGTTGCGTTCGGTGAAGTGTTTTTCATATTCTGTATCTTGTTTAATGAAAACTTCTTTAACGGTCTAATTTGAGTTACCGGAGGCTAGTTCAAATAAAGAAAGCTGTATTTTCCCCCCACTGTTCCTTCAATTGCTTACACGCCGAGGTGGCGGAATAGTTAGCGAGTTCTACTTGTAAGTGGGTTTGTAAGGAGGTCGCGGATTTTACAGCTACTGCGTCGGACCCAATTAGATGAAGTCCGAATGCGTAAACATCGGTGAGGTAACCTTTGAGTGCACATAAAGAAACCGTTCCTGGTAGAAATCCCTGAGCCTTACACTATGATGTAGCCCGTTTCGTATGTGCTGATTTCAGATGTTTTATTTGTAATTTATTTTGATGTTGCGATTTGTCATTTATAATTTCCGAACCGGTTCGCGAACCGGTTCGCGGATCGAATTAATCGAACCGGAACTGAACCGGAACAAAATAAATTTACCTGAACCTGAACCGTAACCGAACCCGTATTTTTTTCGGTTCGACACACTGGAAAAGACTATAGGTATCAACCTTGTAAGAGATATTCATGAGCCTCTTTGTGTACATTATTTTTTTATTTTATTTATTGGTACTGTCGCCCTTTGCTCGAAGGCAATTACGGGGGTGGTCAAAGAAATACATTCCGAGAGAGTTGGACGAAAGCGATAGTTTGTAACAAACAAAATATACTTGGACAATTACACTGAAGTAACAAATGCATGAGTTCAACGAAAGAAATCTTTATAACAAAAATTGCGGCTCTTTTTTAGACAAATAAGCTAATATTTAAATTTTTTTTTTACATTAGTACCAGCTTTTTGGTAGTACACCCCACCAGTTTTGTAGTACAGCGATGTCTTGTTAATATGGACACCTCCGTTCTCCTAGAATATTGTCCATAATGTGAGTTGTCTATAATAACTGAACATGACTGTACACCCCAACTTCCTTGACATGCATTTTTTTTTTTTCATATGTTTTTTATGATTTATTGTTATTATAACTTATTAAAGTGTCGCCAGCAGTCTGGTCTCACGGGGATCATAGATATCTGCATCTATACGCGGCTGTTTCACACACCATTCAGAGCCGCGTTCCAGGTGTCAAATTCCGAGGCAGTTGAAATGCACAAGAAAATGGCAGACATTTTTTTCTAGATTTGTTACGTGAACTCTGCGCTTTCTGCGTTCTCCTCCCGTGCAACCAAGGTACCCGAACATAGCGTGCGAGATCCTCACGTCGGACGTGCCTCAGATCAACGAGGCGCTGGTACGGAGCGAGACGCTGATGGCCAAGTTGCTGGGCTACCTGGAGGCCGAGCCGCCGCTGAACCCGCTCCTCGCCAGCTTCTTCAGCAAGACCGCCGGCATACTGGTCTCCCGCAGGGCAGACACGGTCAGTCTGGAAGATGCATGGCTTTCTTCGTTAGCGATTGACAGGAGAAACTAAAGTTCCCGGTGCGAAAGGGATTTGACTGGCAACTAGCTGTTTCGTTAATGCACTTGAGTGCTTCCAGCTCATGACCTTGCAATTAGGGTTTCTTCTGGTGTTGGGCCTTAGCCAAGGACAGCATGCATAAGTGCGCTGGAGATAATAGTTTGCTCGATGGCGAGACTTTGAATTTGTTTTTCCGTCAAGATCGTAGCTTGCACTGATGAAAACTGGTAAGATCCTGCATTGCGGTTATCTACTAGTCAGTTGTGGGCAACAAACTTGGCGACGCCCTTGGTCATGCATCTTGGCCGTCTTGTGCTAGGACCTAACTTTCTGCGGAGATTGTTTGCTGTGCACTTATTGAGGCCTGTGTGCTGTTTCTCCGCAGATGTTTTATGCGTGCATGCAGAAGGAGAACTTCGTGAATCTGCTCCTGAAGCACATTGACACTTCCGCTATCATGGACCTTCTGCTCAAGTTTGTGGCCTGTGCGGACAGCGAAATCCTAAGGACGTCCATTACCCAGGTAATCTTGCCGCTTGGCACCCCTTCCCTAGGAGTTTACTGGCACTCTTTCCTAAGATTATAGTTGCAGTCTTTCTCTAGGGGAATATTGGCAATCTTTACCTAAGGTTTTACTGGCAGTTTTTCTAGTGGTTTACGGACACCAGAGTGTCGAACCGGAACCAAACCGAAAACCGGAACTGAACCGTTATTTTTAGCTGAACCGGAACTGAACTGAACCGAAATCGAGGCTGCCATTTTGGAACTGAACCGGAACTGGACCGTAAGAAAATACCGGTAACCGGTTCAAAACGGCTCACGGTATTTTTTATTTTTTTTTACAAAATACATGCTTGAGAAATAAAAATTGGCAGCTTTATTTCTATGTAGTGATCAAATTGTTGTATACCGAATTGCAATGTTTGAAAAATTGTGGTTTTTCGCTGTACTTTTGTATTGGCACTATGATCAATCATGTGTCACGTGGTCACGCGACATCATGGTGCTCAAGACTTGCTATCAAGTAATGTCACGTCACGTGGCCTCGCGGCATAGTCACGTGACTCTCTGAGTCAAGTCGACTTAAATAAACCGATCTCATTAGCCAGTTTGGCTACCCCACCACAATGCATCGAGGGAACTTCAGTCTTTCTACACGAGCGACAACTTCGCAGGAGCTCTGCGCGTGCAGAAGACGAGGTCTCACGAGCTCTCTCGGGCGTTGCCGCGTTCATCCTCTGAACTAAAGTTATGGCGGCTTCACGGATGTGCCGAACGCTTGTTGAAATCGGTACATTGAGAACGTCACAAGATTTATTAGCATTGTTGACACTGCGACGTCACATTACATCACGACTTCCCATTGCGAGTCACGTGACACAGTGACATACTCGATTGTCATGAACACAAGCCGAGTACTCAGGCTTATGATAATCAGCATCGCCAAAAATTGGGGTAATGGTTGGTGTTCAATCAAAGATAAGAATAGCCGAACCCTAACAATGTCTAAAGCTAAACCCATGCTTTATTTTTTGCCATCCGCATTGCATGACTGATAAACAATGACGGTATATAATTAGCGTCAGATCACGTGGCCACTTGCCCTCGTTAGTTGATGAGAGGAATGCTGTTTCTTTCCTCTATTTTTTCTGTGTCTGCCATTGAGCGGAGAGGAAGACTAATGGATGCTTTTTAAAAGCTATCAATGTCGGGGATTGGCTCTTAGTGCTACATACTGAAAGTTCAAAAATTGTTGCACTACTCATTTTACATGTGCACATACATCATTGAGACACCCAAACACGTTTTTGTTGTTGCTGAACTGTCTCGGAAGGTTGCCCCCGAGAATATGAGCACTGAAAAAACTAAACGTGACTTATTAATCTGACGATAAATAGAACTACAAAAGTACGAAAGAAATGCCTGAAAAGAATTATCCTAGTGGCCTCAGAGGGACTGCCGATTGTCGAGAGCCGCTTTAATTCTCCCAGGAGTGTCGTTAAAAAGTTATTCCTCAAGATTTGACCACCCCCGTATTTTGTTCTAACCTAACAGTTTTTGGGTGAAAAATAAAAGAGATGCAGTATTACTGTTCACAATTTACACAAATATAATTGTCGAATTAACACCCACAAAGGAGGAGGGAGTTTCTCAGGAACGAAGGTATTCTCTAAGAGAGCATTGAAACAAGAAAAAAAAAGGGGGGGAGGGGGTTTGGGGGGGTATATTTTTAAGACATACTGTGTTCTAAAGATCCTTCTGCTCCATGTCTTCGGCAGAGATCAGAAAGCGTGGTCCCGGAAACTACTTGGTTTGCAAACACACTTTTGCCAAAAAGCGCATTATCGTTGTGCCAGACGCTCGCGCCGTTCCTCACCACTCTGCACAAACCAAGAATAATTTGTGTCTCTCGAATACATGGCTTGCACTGAGCACGAACCTTCTGCAGTGTGTATATTTTGCACCACTGGATTTGATTTTCTCAGCAAAAACAAATTGCAATGACCACTAGCATATAGTGCAATGACGTCACGTGCGAACCATGTTAAACAGTTCAAGTTTTTTGGTGAAATGCGATGTTCTCAACACTGGCAAAAAGTGTATGCGAAATTTGTAAATTTGTGCAGTATATACAACAGTCTCGCTGTGGTCTGCGGCAGCCTAATGAGGTGTTGGAGCGCGCATGACTGACGAAGAAGAGTTGTAAAGGAAGGGCCCCAAACAAGTGCACGTAAAGCCGAATATAACATCAGCAGTGATGTGATTGCTGCGCCAATTGCGCCAAACTGTGCCAAGGGGCTAACCCTGCTATATCCTGCTACATTTCGCCAAAATATGGGTAATCTGTGCCAAGCCTGCGCCAAAGTACCGATGTCGGTCACCTTTCGAAACCGGAACAAAACTGACGACCTAATTGAGCATGCGTAAGTTAGGTGGCGCAAGCGACAGCACGACACTGCCTGACACAAAGTAGCCTGCATCAATCGTCGATCCGGTCTTGCATGGTTTTTCCAGCCGTTTCGCGCTGTCGTCTAAATGTCTCGTCCCGCGTCTTTTTTAAATATTTTCAACGATGGACGCGAACGTGTGCGGACGCTCCGACGCTAGTTTGCCGGATGCCAACCATGCCGTCATGCTGTTAAACAAATCCACGTTTTTGCATGGCGAGAGTTACTTTGTGAGCTGAAGCACTCGCGCGACCACAATCACCGTGATCACGCGACGTCAGTTGTTGCCGTCCCCACACCGCTGCAGATATCGGGCTTTCTAAACTGAAACGTAACTACTGCCGCTTGCTGATCAACATTTCTGTTCTTGTTTAAGTCATACACGACTACAAAAATCCCTCTTTAAGTCAGACTGCTTGTCGAAAGATTGATTACCTGGGTTACTCTTGCTGGGCTTTTTTTCGAGAGGGACCCGGGTATATGTGAAAAATTTGCCGTGAAAGAAAGTTGTTGAAGAGAAGTGAGCTAAAGCAAAGAAGGCAATGTCTGCACGCTGAGCCCGCACAGCACACTTGTTTGCCTCGAGTTCAGTCGCTGGACAAAGCGCTCGAAGTACCTTTTGACACTGGCTCGAGATATGAAGCATCGATGCGCTCAGGTTTTTTTTTCTTTGTGTTTAGCTTGTACCATGCCTGCCAGCTTGGCAATTACGCGCTGCTGGACAGTTACATCTTGCATACAATTTTGGGAACCACTTTGCGACGGAGCGGAGTGGCATGGTTTCGGTTTCGATTGAACAGCCGTTGTCTCCGCTCGTGCGACAAAACACTTGCAACTGCAAGCCTGCCGAAGTTGCCCTCACGTGCATGCGAACATGAATGCACGACAGAGGTTCCAATTGGGACGATTTCAATCCATTGTTTTACATTTGCTTACTTTTGACAAAAGTCGGAGCCAGTCAAACGGTGGCAAGCGGGTTTTCGGAATTCCTCGGCAAAGCCTAAGCACTCTACACTTGTGGATGTCTCAGCAGTAAATACACAAGCAGTGCGCTCCTCCACAACACGCACATCACAACACAGCACAAAGTTCCCTTCATTTGTCTACAGCAATTAAAACAATTTTTTTTTTTTTTTCTAAGAATATCCGCACCAAAAGCCAGCTTTGCTGCTCCGAAACACTGTTTAAGATGCTCGCAAAGCCCCTTCTGCTGCTCCAAAACACTCTTCTGGCTGCTCCAAAGAACACTCCTGCTGCTCCAAAACACTGTTTTGACTGCTCCAAAAGGTGCTCCAAAATGGCTTTGGCCAATCACATCACTGCATTAGCCTCCTGAGACAGTCTTTTGTGAAGGTCCAAGCTCGTACAAGCTAATGTTCAAATGTGATTTATATTATAAATATATTGTTTGTCCTTTGCACTATTTATGTTTAAATAGGAATATCATTGCATGCATCATATCTATGTATGTCTTTTTGCAGTAAGGCGTTGTGTATGGAATTACTTAGAAGAATACCATTTACCGTAAAATACCAAGCAAGCGCCCACTCAAAATTTTGAGATAATCATGGAAAAATGGGGGATGGGCGCTTGTCCGGTCATCAATTCTACATATAAATGTACTGTGCATATTTTCTTATATCTTACAAATTTGGGTGTGGGCGCCTAATGTGGTATGGGCGGATGCACGGTATTCTACGGTATTATTTCTTTGCACATTTCATACATTCACCTTCAGATGTAGTATGTGAGCATACAGCCCTTTTGGGAATACCACGCGACCCGGTGTTTTACACTGCCAAACAATGTTCTCCCTTGTCGGTGTCAAGCGGTTATGTAAACTTCCTACATTCAACTTTATTGATGTCAATGAAATATATTTAATTACTGACTGAATATTTGACAACATAAAGACCCAATCACCTTAAAGATGTACGTTATAAATAAATACACCTCAAATTATCTAATATATGCTCTAGAAATATTTCCCGGCATTTTTATCCTCGATAGCCACGTGTAAAGTGATTTAAATAGCTACGTGTTCCTGGACACTTACTTAACTTCCCAAACATATAGAAGTCTCTTATTGCATCTTTTATCTGATGAACAACAATTTTTTGTATTTGTGGACTGGACAAAAACAAAGTACAAAGGGGCACGTGGCAGAACTATAATGATTGCACACGCAGACCCTCAGATTAAGTAGCTCCGATGTCAAATAGGGTATGAAATACTACTGTATTTGGTTTAACAAAAACTCACCAATTAGCAAATGTGATACTTATTTGCAAATTTAATTTACCGGCATCTTGTCAAGTACATCAACAGCCAAGCTAGGCCGAAGACGTTCACTTGAGTATGCGCTATATTAGGCCAGATTCGACCTGAATACGAAGCTAGGTATAAATGGGAATGATGAATTTGGACAATTCTTCTGCATGATTATTCGCCTACATCTCCGTGCTGAATTTAAAGAATCCTGGTCATGAAAACAAGTGTTGTGATTGCCGATCAGTGTTTCTGTAAACAGTAGACTGCAAGGGCTTGTCCTAAAACTTTCGTGACATTTTGAAAATATGATTTCTTTTAGTTCAGTTGTCGTCATATGTATTGTAAAACGTATTTCATAAATTAGATTTCACGATATATATGGCAAGGTGGGGTCCATTCCAGGATTTTTTGTACTGTAATTAATTTTAAGTTCAACATCACAATTAGGATTCAACTTTTAATACTGCCACGCAAAGTTGTACCAATCACGGGTATTTTAGGCGATCTACCAGACTTTGTAATAAGCTATTGATTCAGATAAAATATATGCGACTGAGGTAAACGGCTAGATCTTGAGTGTATAAGCATGATCTGTTGTATGTTAATCTAGCTTTTCTTTTACTGTTTCGCCAAAAATAAATGGATAAATTTTTTTTTCTTTGTGAAATAAAAGTGGATTGTACGAATGATAAAAAACAGTATAATTATTTGTTCCACGGTGGAAAATGTGCTTATTGCCAAAACGATGCGGAAAATGTATTCTCAATTTAGCGGTTCGAACCGTTACTTTTTGCTCCCCGGAACTGAACCGAAAGCCGTGAACCCGAACCGAACCGATAAAGATTTCGGTTCGACACTCTGGCTGACACCCCTTCCTCAAAGGATTACCTGCACTATTTCTCTAGTGGATTACTAATGCTCTTTCCCTGGGGGTTTAGTAGCACTCTTTTTTTGGGGGTTTGGTGGCACTTTTTTTTTTAAGGGGGGGGCTTTACTGGTACTCGTTTTTTGGGGGGAGTTTTGACACCTTTCTTAGGGGTTTATCGGTACTGTGTTCCTAGGGGTTTACTGACACTCTTTTCCTAGAGGTTCACAGACAGTCTTTTCCTAGGAGTTTACAGGCACTCGTTTCCTGGGGGTTCATTGGCACCTTTTTGCTACATTTTTTTTTTTTTTTTTTTTGTTTCCTTTTTTTAGAGGTTTACCAGCACTCTTTCCTTAGGTGTTTACAGGTTCTTTGTTGCTTGGATTGTTCTGCTCTTTCTCTGCTCGGTTCAAATAGACCCCTTTCACAAGTGTGCCCCACCCCACGGTGGGCTTTTCGTCAGTTTCGATTTGTACAGCATTATGGGATAGCAAATTGCCATGTTTCAATTGGCTTTCTCCACGATGAGGTGTAGCCCTATCATGCTGTTGCATCGGAATGTTGTGTCATCATTTCATGATATTTCGCCACATGCAGTTCTCTGTCTTGTCATGAGCGCTGCCACCTAGTTCTCTGCCTTCCTTCGCCACTTGTGTTCCGGGCAGAGAACCAGGTATGGCAGACTATGCGTTCGCCACACATAGTTCTCTGCCTAGTCATGAACGACGCCACCATCAGTTTCTGCAGTGCTCACCTTGCTGTGTTGTAGGCGGCAGGCGTTACCTCCTAGTAAGCGGGGAATGTTCTGTCATCATGTTTTATGTCATCACTCTAATGTACGTAAGCATTGCAGTTCCTTGTTTCGTTCGAGTTCAGCTAGAACTGACCTGCTTCCTTATGCCCCAATTCTGTATGTGCAATTTCTGGTCTCGCGCACCTAGCTCATTCTGGTAATAAGGCGTGACCAGCCGACACTATGCATCGGCGAGAGTGGAATGCTGGGCAGCAACAGCTTTATGGCATGTGTCATCTGTTATAGCGACCTAAACATGGCGGCCTGCCCTAGTTCCTTTGCGTGGCACTAGGGGCACCCTTTTACGCATGGGGGCTATTAGTGATCTTTGCTACACATTTGGGGATCTCCGTATAAAAGATTTAAAGATTGGCAGCTTTAGCAGTCAATGCCGAAGCTGACAAGAATACTGCTGGAGCTAAGCATCCTTCAGCATCTACGGCTGAAGCTTAACTTTTCCGCATTTAGTGCTCAAGCTGAACACTCTTTAGCTTTTATCACCGAGACTGAAGGCTGTTCAGCATTTATTGCTCAAGCTTGATGCCCTTCAGCATTCACCACCGAAGCTGAATTATCTTCAGTGGTGAGCGTTCGAAAGATACTCAGCTGGTTCCTACCTGCTTGTCCCAGTGGCTGGACAGCGCCCGGGTGGTTCAGCAACTTGTGGCGCTGATCGACCCGTCGTGCAGCGAGGACCATCACAGCAACGCGGCCGAGGCCCTGTGCGAGATGATCAAGCTGAGCCGCGAACAGATGTCCCTGCTGCAGGAGAAGGCACCCGCCGACCCACTCCTCGAAAGCCTCGAGTCGTGAGTGTGACACACTCATGCCTGTCCCCACGTCTATATCTGGGACTAAACCCCCCCCCCCCCCCCCCCACCTCTATATTTGCACCAGGGATGCATAGACAACCTAAAAAGGCGTCATAAAGTGTAGGACAAGTAAGTGGATGATACAGGATGTACTCGCAACTGTAATTCCTTGAAAAACCAATCGCTTATGTAGCCGTAGCAAGGTGCTCGGTCACAACCATTGCCGGTTAAGCCCCTCCTCCAAGAATCCATGTTCCTTTGTTGATGAAGAATATGCATTTTGGAATATGAATTTTGGAGTGGGGGCTACACTGGCAATAGTCGTGACTGAGCACTTTGCCACTGTTATATAAGCGATTGATTTTTCAATAAATGTAAGTTGTGCTTATATGTCCTGTATAGTCCAGATTCTTGTCCTTGTGTATTTTTTGGTGCATCTTTAGGTATGATAAACCAACTGGCCCAAACTGCCATTTTAATGACTGAATAGGCCTTTTGTTTAAGTACTGGAGCACCAAGGAGTATGCTGCGAGGGTAGTCCCAAGTGCCGCACATGCTGACGTCGGCAGAAGTGACTGTTCTAGAGCAGAAACATTAACTTGAAACCTTAAACAATGCCATATTTTGGTTATTAGAATCTCTCATGCAGATGAAGCGAGTGCATGTAGCTATGTTCCCAACACATGCCTCGCACCGCTGTGTGGGGCAACGACAGTGAAAGACTTTGTACCCGCATGTATTTCACTGCTGTGTTGGGCGATGGCAGCAAAAGGCATTGCTCCCACATGCCTTTCACCACTGTGTTGGGCGACAGCGGCAAAATGCATTGCACGTGCATGCCTTTCCCCGCTTTGTTGGGCGGTGGGAAAAAAGGCATTGTACCTGCATGTCTTTCACCGCCGTGTCGGGCGATAACAACACAAGGCATGCGGGGGCAATGGCTTTCATCACTGTCTTGGATGACAGCAGCAAAGGGCATTGCATCCGCATGCCTTTCACTGCTTTGTGTGGCTACGGCAACAAAGGCACTGTACCTGCATGTCTCACCGCTGTGTCGGGCGATAACGAAACGCATGTGGGACAATGCCTTTCACCACTATATTGAGTGACAGCAGCAAAGGGCATTACGCCCGTAGGCCTTTCACCGCTCTGTCGGTCGATAACAACACAAGTCATGCAGGGGCAACGTTTTTCACCACTCTGTTGAGTGACAGCAAAAAAGTGCATTGCACCCGCATGCCTTTCACCACTGTGTTGGGTGACAGCAGCTAAAGGCATTGCACCCGCATGCCTTTCAGCACTGCCGTCACTGTTGAGGTACTGCTACGACGATTTGTTTACCCCTAGGACCGAGACAGTTGCCGAGCTGCTCAACCACATGTTCTCGTCGGACAAGACCAACGAGTCTGTGTTTGTCAACGGAATCTCCGTGCTCCTGTCTCTACTAGAGTTCCGCAAGCAGGGGTGAGGAGCCGCCCTTTGGTGTTTTACTTATTTATTGATTTAGATATACTACTACAGTATAACCTCTTAAGTGATTTGTGAAGTTGAGTTGGTCTTTCCAGTCTATGCCATTCAGCCATCTTTGTTATTACAGATTTTGTTATGACATTGCAAAAACTTCCCGATACATTAAACTCTCCAATAAACGATAATGGGGAGCTTGTAAGTAGTTCACAACTCTTTTATAGCGGACTCTTGTATAACAGTCATTACTTTTGACATTACAGTTAACCTCGATTTAACGAAGTCACCAAGACCCGCTAATTATTACATTAAATCGGGAATTTCGTAAAATCGAGGAAGGGAGGCCTCGCGCATAGGCTGAGCGTGGAATCCAAATTAGTTTGTTAAATTGGGAAATTCAAAAAATCGGGTTTCGTTAAATCGAGGTTCAACTGTACGCAGCTTTTGGTTCATTAGCTGTGGCATCCATTACGCGAATGGCCATCATCGCGCTCGGCGCATTGTGACCCTCGTACAACCCAAGGCATGCAGAGACGACAATCATTGGTACAGCCCAATAAAAAGATTGCCATCTTTTGAAGTTCGGAAGTTTCAATAAACCAGTTCTTTCCTAACACAGTGTAGACCGCATATAACGTATGTCACGGGAGTCGCGAAAATCTGCACTTTAAGCGGGTACCGCGCTATAACCAAAACATCAATTTTTGAGGCCAAAATGCATGCCATCAGACAACTTACCTTTGTAGAAGAATTTATTTTATGTTAGATGAAAAATAAAGCTTAGTTTGAGGAAAGTCTTTATTTCACCAGACTAGTACACGTCTCTCTCAAGCGTGTCACACATTTTGAAAGAAATGAGCGACTTTTGCCTGGCGCAGCCTTTTAGTGTCGTCGCGGGTTGCGGACGGACGTTGCGAGCGTTCAGGATTGCTAACCCTAATCACTTTTCTCCGGCGATGAAAACGCGTGAGAATTCGCATCCTTTATACAGTACGCGCCAGTAATACCTTCAACTTGAGCACGGACATGAAATGCTCCAAATAAGAAATCCGGGCGATGTTTGAAAACACAAATGCTTAGAAAGCACCACTGTAGTCGAAGTAAACAAACACGACGACACGGGCGTTTCTGCCGTCTTGAGAGTGTCGCCACAACATCGCCGCATGAGTAGGTGGATCTTCCCTTCTAGTACGTGCTGGGTTATCATAGCGACACACAACGAAAATTCACAGTCAAGGATAGCGCTTTTACGCGGAACGATGAGCTTCTACTACGCCGTCTACGTCGACGATCAAAACCGACGCCTTGTTTGCGGATAGAAGCAGCCGGCCGACCGGCCTGCGACCGGCATGCAATGTGCGCGAACACTTCTCCTCGACCTGCGATTGGTCTGTCGTTGCAGGTGTTTCCAACAAAGCGGAGGGACGTATGCACGTGAACGACACGCGCGTGCGTCCCTCCGTCGCTATGGCAACTGAAGCCTCTCTTTTCGCTTCTCCCCGCTTCTTCGAGCAACCTCCTTGCCCCGCGAGTGCCGCTTGCGGCTTGCGCCGTTATCTAGTGTCGCACAGGGAAGCATGCTCTCTGCGTCGGTCAGTCGGCGCGGTCGCCGGGCTGTTCCAAAAACCGCACTATAACCGGTATTTCCCTTCGCACGCCTGCATTTTAAGCGGTATGTATTTTGATGGAGTTCTATGGGAGGCGAACCGGTGGTTTAAAAAAATCGCGTTATACCCGGTCCTGCACTATAAGCGGTTACGTTGTAAGTGGTCTATACTGTATCCATTCACGTTGCATCAATCTCATTGGTTAGAACAGCCTCCCAGCATCACCCACTGCCGCCACTCCTTCAAACAAGGAGGGCAGAGCCACAGAGCTTTGCCGGCAGTGAGAATGGGGGGGTGGGTGCTTGGCCAAGGATAAACACAAAATAAACAGAAACGACGAATGCGCACCGCGCAGCAATTCTCTCCACAGGTAGTGAGTGGCAGGGAGCAGAAAGTGGAGAAGACTTTTCTTTCACTGCTCAATACTCGCTCGCGCTGTGGCTTGCTTTAGCTTTGCCTCTTTGCTCGCCTTTCTTTTCTTCTTCATTTTTTTAGGGGCGAAGCTCCTTAGGGTCTAGCCTTGTCCGTCTGGCGTCCGTGCTCACATCGATCTTGCTGGTGCTCGTGCTTGTGAGCTCACATGCTGACAAGCACGTGAGCATGTGCTCACGTGCTCGTTAAGGGAAAAAAAAATGATGAAAAAAAGAAAAAATGTTTGCGCAGTCGACAGGATTTGAAACTGTGCGGGGAGACCCCAATGAATTTCTAGTCCATCGCCTTAACCACTCGGCCACGACTGCAGGACGAGTAGGGGGCTCTAAGATGTGGTAGTAACTCAAGAGCTGGGGGTGTCATGGATGAAACGTTGTAGCCACTCAACGTCTGTACAGGAGAGGGTGCTGCAGTCAAATGTGTATATAATCGCGTTAAACTTTGCATTCATTGGTTCAATGTTTATAGATGAGAGGGCGCTGCGGTCAAATGCTCAAATGCGTATATAACCACGTTCCATACCACACATTTTCTTTCTGACATGGATGAAAACTAACGAAAGGCTCGGCATGCTGCGGCTCAGCGTCTACGCAGACGAGCACCACCAGAGCTTCGCCCCGATCAACAGTATTCACCACGTGGAGATGCGGTCAATTTTTTTCAAGGCAATTTGTTTTTTGTTTGATTACCACAACGTGGCGCCATTCACAGGGCCACAAAGCCAAAGAGCGTACGCAAAGTGCATTCTGTCAGCAAGCCAGATTGTGTCTCATTGCAAACTACCCCCCACCCTCACCTACCCTACACTGCCTCCCTTTGCCACTAACATGGTGGTTATGTCCACCCATATAAAAATCCTGGGGATAGTTCTGGCCTTCGGTCATAGTTCATGTCAAGGTTTCCAGTGAGAGTATCTGCATGCTCCTCTTACAACAGACCAAAATCTTTGTTGCCATCAATGTCTTTTAGAATAAGTTTATACTGTACCATAGTCACCAACTAGGTGAGAATGACAGGGATGAGGTTCAGTTGTTCTGCCTCCAGAGACGTGCCTTGTTCTCGTTTTGTTAGCATTTATAGTAGTAGTAGTTTCATTTCAAACTAGTAGGGCAATTACAGAGTTCTAAAACTCTTTGCTCTTTGGGTCCAATGCTTTGTCTTTGCGGGTTTCCTGCCCCCAGTGCCCGACCGATTCCCGGCTTTTTGCGGAGAGCTGAAAATTGACAGACAGATCGGTTAAGCACAGCGGTAGACAAGACACCTTTGGGTTTCCCGGTAACTATGCTTTGTCCGAAGCTTAGGAGTGGCGCTTTCGTACCACACGGATTAACTGCGCAAGAGTTGAGGCGAGGGCAAAGAAAGAGCTCCAGGCGTCTTCAGTCACATAACCTACAATCTTTCGTATTCGTCTGAATGCTTGCTCGTCGGTGCATACGGTAAATTTGGGATTTTCAGTAGAAGCGTTAATCGTGGGGTTTTCCGATTTACTCTTTTGCTACTTCTGAGGAAAATGGTCGAGGAGAAAAAACAAATTTTATCCTCGCCGGCGCACTTCGAAAGTCTAGCATGGCCATACAAAAGTTGGCACGTGTTTTGCATTGTACGCATGCAGCAAGCGCGTTCGGAGTGCCGTTCGAAGCAAATTCTTTCATAATTTCTTACTCTTTACTCGGGTAAGCTGATTGCTCGAAATTTTGATACAAAATACGAGCCATCTTTGGCCATCATTGCGCGAAATCTTGGCCCAACATGTTGAGAAGCCGATTTATGCGGTCGCTCGAAACAGCCAGCGATCCCTTTAAGGCATTGACGCCCACGGTGTTCGCAGTCGCCGTTTGGGGCTCATCGGTGACCGTGCGTGTCCTCTCCCTCGCTTTCCCAGGCTGGCGGGCCAGCAGCAGCAGTTGCAGAAGAACGGGGAAGGGGGGGGCCCCGAAGGAGGCCTCGGGGGCCTCGGGGGCGGCATGCTGCAGGGGGAGACGGCCTGCTTCGCCTCGCTCTTCTTCCGCTCGGAGAACACGGAGCAGATGACCGCCCTGGACGTGGAGCGCCTCCGTGCGGGCGTCGGGAAGGTGCTGGCCGCCGTCCTGCCCCGCCTCGGGGACTTTCTGGCGCTCCTCGCCGACCCCCCGCAGGTGAGGACGGACCTTCTCCTCGGCGGAAGCCGTAGGAATTGGTGCCGGGTGGTGGAGGAGCATTGCAGCTCTTGCGGAGTCTGTGCGCCGATGGCGAAAAACGCCGGAGCAGTTGCACTTTGCAAGAATGTTGAGGACGATCGTCTTTGGATAGATCGGTGCTCTTATACCCTAGTTGTAGCCTGGTCACATGGGCATACTTAACTGCAGTTACGCTTAATCACAGTTGCCTCACTATCTTTGGCTATGCAGTTGAAGCTATGGGCCCATATGGGCTTGCACATCTCGAGCGCCTATTAAAGCTGTACACGCGCACACTTAACTTCTTCTGAAATAGCTGTCCTAGATCATAGTGTGGTGACTGTGGTGAAGAAACTGCAGTTAAGGGCGACTTATTTGCGTTTAAGGGTGCCCATGTAACCGGGGTATTACACGGGCAATCACTCTTAACCGCTGTTAAGTTTGAAGGCTGTCCGACGGGCATTCTAAACAGCAGTTAGGCTTAAGTATAGCAGTTGTCACCAACTGTACCCTAGGTACACCCAGGTACCCTTAACCGCAGTTAAAGGGGCACTCAAGTGCATTCTGAGATGGTCGATTTATGGGGATAACGCAAGCTGTGGGCTCTAGGCATCTTATAAAAAAAAAATGAAATTACACTCATGGATGGCCGATTTCCCTATTTAACACCTAATCAAAGGTCGTGACACGTCCCTCTCTCTGCACCTTGGAGCAGTCACGAGAGGGCGCCGTCGGACAGCGTTTTCGAACAACAATTGCTGTATTAAGTCTCCTACACCCCAAAGATTTGGCGTTTTTGTCCAAATATAATGCGCAACGCGCTTACAAAGAACGAAGTTAGTGACATTTGGAATCTCCACGCAATTAACTGTTTTCATTGGTCATATGTTGTGGGGGTGGTGAGGACTCAACGTGCCCCCCCCCCCCCCCCAAGAGAACATAGTGGCCCTGTATTTCTATTGCTGCGAGTCTACTAGGACATCCTGCCATCTATAACTGGTCATTTTTATTGACTAAAGTCCAACATGCAATATGCCATCAAAAACAAGCCCTCTACAAAAAGCACTCTTGAGCCACACTTAACTATGGTTAAGGGTGACCTTGTAATTGGTGTATTATAGTCCCTGACAGTTTAGGGTATGTGGAGCACGGCTTAATGTGTTTACTCTTCGCGCTTCATGACCTGTTCCTCCATGTTCCAACCGAGTAATGCCATACCCTAATTTGCTGTTGTCATCGCCACGCTGGTTGTCACTCCAGCTTGTTCTTGCTGAGAGAAACAAGTTTGGCGGTGCAGAGCGTCTGCTGAAGAAGGTACGCGCTTGGCAGCAAGGGCACCCAGCCGGTGTGCCGTCGGTGCGAGCCACATATAGAAACGTGGTCTCGTGATCTAAACCTCTCGGAGGTCGCGAAAACAGCCAATTGCCTGGCTAGGTTGTGCAAGCCCGTTACAAAGGACATAGCCATTACCATCCATCCATCCAACTCGTAGAATTGTTTTGTTTGTTTCTGTTACGAAGGGTATAGCCATTACCATCCATCCATCCAACTCATAGAATGGTTTTGTTTGTTTCTTACTGTTCAAAGCGCGAGGACGAGAGAGAAAACGGTCAGTGTGGGCGGTGCCACCCGCCCCTTTCATTGATGACATAGCCAACTACTCCGTACTCGGCGGTGTCCAGTAGTTGACGAGCAGGAGCAATGTTGCCTGCCGCAGGCAAGGTTTTGGTTTCGCTTCGTGATTTTCGTTTAAACGAAGCTTGCGAGAAAACTATTTAACCTTTCAGAAAACGAATGACATAGAACCATTTATGAATAGTTTACCAATGGCACGTAATCCCAGAATTTTCGGAATTGACCGGAGTTGCACCTCACGAGGGTGGACTTCGTTTTGCCGAAACGCAGCGTCCCCGGCGTAGCTTTGCCACAGTCGCCCGACTCTCTCTTTGCAGAAGATATCTTGGACGACGACATTCGGCCTCCTGGACCCCCCGCTGGGGCAGACGCGGCTGGAGGTTTGCCACCTGGTGAATGCTCTCATCAACTCTAATGACGACGGCGTCAACCAGCGCCTGGCCGACCTGGGGGCACTGCCCACCATCCTGGTGAGGGGTTGGCCTTCGATATAAAAAAAGTTGGCCATTTTCTTACATCTGCAAGGGTGAGGGCAAGAGAGAGTGGGAGCGATAGCACGCCTTGCCATAGATGATGCAGTTGTGTGCACGGGGTGGCGGCCATGGGGAGACAGCAGTAGGACCTCGTCAAGTGTGCGCCATCCGGTGGCTGCTGCACCACATCCGAGTCCGCCACTTTGAGCAGGTGTGGAAACAAGAATAACACACTCCAAGGAGGTGTGGAAACGAAGGTTTGGTCAGCGTTGGGCTTAAATTCTGCTTGGCTCATAACGAAAACGAGTGCTGCATCAGCGTTCGGCGAGAGCTTGGGTCTAGTCCCGCGCCTCGTGCCGAAGAAATGACGACCGCCAATGTTGCTCGATGGAGTTTCAAAAAGTGTCTGCTGCACGGCATACCGACGCTGCCATATTTTGCCGGAAAGGGGCACTAACAGCTGCCGTCTCAAAACAGGCAATCGCCCTTTTGCACTAAGAGCGTCGAGCAATGTACTTGGAGACAGCCTTGCCTTCAGAATGGGATGGTCATCGAGCGGGCCTTGACGTTGTTGGGCCATGAGAGGAACAATGCTTAGTAAACTTGTGGGCACAAACGGAGATTGACACGAAGAAGGGGACACCAACAAACGTGAGTCTCTGCCCTTTTTTGGTGTCCATTCCTGTTTGTGCCAACTAGTGAGCATGAAGGCCTGTCCACGCAGTTGCGTTTGCTTACAACCGAGCTCTTGCGAGCTCTCGCAACGAGGGACCACACTGGCTCACTGTCGCCAACTTTGAGAGGGCCCTGGAACTGCATTTTACTATAGCGGAGGTTTTGCAATATTTGCGAGAACATATGAGAAATGGTTGTTGACTGCAGTTTTTCGAGACAAGAAAGAACGATAGGCTAAAGAAAGAAAATATACAAAAATGGAGTGTTTCACGGTTACCCAATAGGTGGCGCCAGTGTACCTTTCGTCGTAAGTGATTTCAAGAGGTTTTGAGGCACACGGTCGTTAGCAGTCACAGGTGGGCGAACCAGCCTCGACTTTCGACTTTTGGAAGTGCGAGGCCAGTCCGGGGCGTGGTCCCGGTACGGGCGTTGCATCTTCGTCCTCCCTCGCAGGAGCTGTTCTTTGCGTACTCGTGGAACAACTTTCTGCACACACAAGTGGTGCACATGGTGAGTGCGGTGATGAGCTCGGCGCACGGCCTGGACCAGGAGGGCAACAAGGTGCATCCACTGCTGGACCAGCTGCTGGGCAGCTGCACCCTGGTGCAGAGGTGCCTCGACGCCTGGGAGGCCAACACCCTAGAGCAGTGAGTCCCTCTCTTACGCACGTTCGGTCTTGGCGGGGCCTCGCTTCTTCCGCGGCATTGCCACAAGTCCCAAAGCCTCGTCCCACTAGAGCAACGAGTGTTGCTCTCAAACACGTTGGATACAACCATAGCCTCCTGTATTCGCTAGTATTTGTTTTCCAACAAGCTCACGGTCGCTCGCTATTGGCTGACCCTTGCGCACTTCCGGTTGCCTTCTTTTTTATTAGTGCCTTAGCGTTAGTGCCCTGGTGCATGCGCTGACCTTGAACTGATATGGAGCACATACATAAAGTTTGTAACGTCGCCACGGGATGGCGCCACAGCCCCACTGGCTGTGGAAACTACCTAGGAAACACCTTCTGCGAGTGCTTACATATGGCGACAGGATGCTTTTTTTTTTTTTTCATCCTTCGGTATTTTGCTTTTATGAATGTATTACAATTACTGGTTTCCCAAAGAAAAATAACCTGGCCCGATTGTTGTGTTCTGCGGAAGAAAGAGATGCACTACCCAATGTGCATTCTAAATGGGCTCAAAATACTGTGGCACCATCGTGCTACCGACTTCCTTTGAATGCGGTGAATAAGGGGGAAAACTTGCGCTTTTGGTGCCAGAGCAATAGACAGCAGGGTTGCAGTAAAAGGGGAAAAAGGAGCAGCAGACGAGAGAGGAAGCATCTTGAAGGCAGCACCACACAAGTGTCATAAGACAAACCACTCCTTTTTTTCTTTTTTTCATTGTGATTGTTTGGGAAACGAAAACATAGTGACCAGTTGCCCAACCTCCTCTCCTCGTGGGGCTACGAGGATGTGCCAAGGGGCTGGGAAAGGAGGGTATGTCCTTAAGTGAGGGGGTTAAAAAAATAATATTTCTTTTGCAAAAAAAAAAAAGAAATAGAAGAGAGTTTTCGAAAGTGCCTGGCGGATCTTTTGAAGGGCACCGCCATCCTTGCATCTTCTTTTTGTTTTCCTTCATCGTTTTTTCTTCCAGTTTTGGCGGTCCATTCCAACATCAAAGGCGTACGCTTTCCCCTCCATCAATATGGGAGGTTATCATACAGCTTGTTGGGAATCCTTTTGTCTGCTCGAGTGGCTTCAAATGGGTGCAAGCGAACATTGTATGTGAACAGGGACCACATGGGCGTTTGCTTAGGCCGCCAGAAAGCCCATATTGTTTTGTTGGCTGCAAAAAATTTGTATTCGTTGTGCTAGTGAGACACGGCCATGGCGGTTTGCACTCTTTACCCCTTGTTCCTGGATTGTCTCAAGTACTTATGCTGTCAATAACCTCCTGTTGATGGTTCCTTCTTGTCTTTGGCTTAGTGTCCTGAATCGCAAATCCTTGGTCGTCGACCGATAAGCTCCTTGCTCTGGCTGCCCTCCTTTGGGCATCTTTAGCAATGCCTTTGTCTTGTCTGTGTTCCTAGCAGCGTTGCCCTTGCCGTGGCCTTTCTCACTGCGATGTCGTAGCAATTGCCTCTCCCGCGTGTCTGCAGATCTCAGCCTGGCAAGCATCGCAGGGGCTACATGGGGCACCTGACCAAGATTGTCAATGACATTGTGGCAGCTGCCGACAACGGCACCAACTCGGAACTGGTCAAGGAACGTCTGAAAGGTGCCGCCCCTCTTCCTCCTTTCCCTTGTCGGCTGCCAGATCTGGCAACCTTATATCTTACAAGTCTTTTCTTTTTTTCTTTTTTTAATGTGATAGCATTTTTAGAATATCCAAAACTGTGAGGTTGTGAACGTGCATCCATTAAGCCTCAATGGCTAGGTTTAGTGGGGAAATTTTCTCCGTAAATATAGCGGGAAAACCCGAATTTGCGTTTGATTGATGCAGTCTCATGCAAGACTGTTATGTGATGTCACATTGTGATGGCATGTAACACTGCGTCACATGATGCACAGTCATGTCACGTCGCAGTGTCGCAGATTATATGTCGCATGGTGTGACGTCGCAAGCTTGCACTGTAACATTGTATGACACCGTGTCCCGTGACGTGACATCACAGTCACACTGTGGTGTCGCAACATTGCATCACATGACATGATATCACCGTGTCGCACTGTGGCATCACGTGACTGTGTCACATGACGGGGTGCAACAATGTGACACTTTAGAAATATTAAAATTTTGAGGACACCTAAGCACTTCTTACGAGTTGTGAATGCAAAAGCATCCCCGGCTCGCTGGTGACTGCTGCGCCGCTGGATGAGGCAGCGGCGGGATTGCGAAGTTTGGCGCGGCACGTGCTGAAATCCCGTGTCCTCTCGTCATCATCATCGCCCTAGCTGTGGGTACCGGTTAATGACAGACCGCAAAGCGTAACGTTAGGGTTAACGCTAGGCCAGTGCATACCCACGTCCCCCCATTCCGCGGCGCCGACAGCAGTTCGGCTGGCTCCTAGCAACGATGATGTCGTTGCTATGTAGTTACATGGCACATCGCAACAAATGGAAATTTAAGTCCCGTTTCGCTTGGGGGAATTTAGGTGCCGTTTATCGCTGCTATAGACAAGGATAACACCGGCTTCAATTTCGGATAATTCCAGATCGCTCCATGAGCCCATTTAATGCTTTCGCATTTAAATTGCACGAAGGGACTCCGTGATTGGCCAAAACCGAGGAGGGGGAATGGGGGGAGGGGGGGAGTGCATGTGGCAAAGGAAATGGCATCTCGGCTGATGTCTGAAGCGTGGCATGCCAAAGATCTCGAATGCTATCACATCACATTCCCTTTGGTACTAGCCAAAGAGAAGATGTGGTTCTTTTTGCATGCATCTGAAAGTTTTCACCATCAGCCCCAGCATGGGCTGCCTTATGCGCTACGCGAGATTAACGCGGAAGCAATGCCCCTGGCGACAGAACTGCCTGAGGAAGCCAGAGGACGCTGGGAGACTTTCATCAACGAGACCTTGGCGGAAGTGAACAGGAAGAACACAATGGCACTGGTGAGCTGAAAGCCTCTTGGATCAGACTGAGCAGTGATGGTCTCCTATCACCAGGAATGGGGAATGCCCTTGTTAATTTTTTTATAGTGAAGAGGCTGTCTTCGATACCCAAGTTCACAGTTTATTGCTACTGTATTTTCCGGACTATAGCCGGCACCCATGTATAATCTGCAGAAAAAATTTGTTACTAGAAAAAAGTTTTTTTTAGATAGTCTGCATCCGGTTCGTAGGTTGCACCTGGTACACAGTTCGCACCTGGTGCATAAATCGCACTTAAAGTTCGTATACATGGCACATTTCGAAAAATGCCTGCTTTGTTAGTGCACAATAAGTGTTTATCATAAAAAGATCATTATTCATATAATTTGTGACGTCTCGTCATAATGAACAACCTTGAGAAACAGATCATTGTAGAGTCGGCACCGCCTCAATTTTGAACTTTTAAACATGTATAGTCTGCGGACTGTGGTGTGAAAAGTGTGGTAGTTGTGCTAACAGGGGCTCGTGTCGAGTATAATCAATAAGACAATGCACAGCCTGTGGGCACCAGACTCTGTAAACTTTGCAATTCCAGCTTGTGCACTGAAGGACTCTTCAATGTTTCAGGGCGGTGTGCCAAATGCGTCGAGCACCGAAGACGACGAATGCATCGACCTTCGAGAAGTCAGCTTTCATCAGGAGACGGCTTTACAACAGGTCAAACGTCTTTTCTTTGTTTTCACCTTATTTAGGTACATGTAGGGGATACTTCGATTTAGAAATGAAACGTGCAGTTAAATGTTTTACTCTTAGTTTGAAGTGATTGCTTGATTTTATTTTTTAATGCTATGTTTAGTATCACAAAAGCAAAAATCTCGGACACCTAAGCACTTTTTACGAGTTGTGAATGCAGACGCATGAATGTCGTTTTTCCGCTCTCTTAGTGCGTCTGAGGTGTACTGGCGTGGACGGCCACGTTTCGATAATGCCGAGGTTGCGGCCGCCAGCGATATAGATGCCTGAGGCACCGCCATGTTCCACTGCGTCGAGAGGAGCAGAAGTGGCCACAGTTTCCCACCCCCATCCGGCAACGCCTGCCACGAGAGCGGCGGCTGACCGTGCGCTCTCGTGAAGTGGCTACCAATGGCTATCTAGCAGCGGTTTTGCTCAGCCAATGGGTGAATGGGCATTTCTTTTGCGTTTTCTTGCAGTTACAAACGCCGCCGGCTCCGCTTCATGGGATAGCTGATGCTTTCGCATTATTAAGATGCACCTTTTCATCTTGCCCCTTGATGTTTTTTTTTTTGTGCCCTCAGTTGTTTTAAAGGGGCACTGACACCCCAAGGGTCGTATTTTTTTTTTTTATTGTCTAAAACAATGTAAGTTGTAGTCATGAACACTCAAAAAACAAAATTTTCCATGTGCGTGCGCACCTTTTTATTTTTGGTGTTCTTCTCTCCCAGCGCTTCTTTTGATTTGTGACGATAAAAATCATGAAATTTAGAAGATTCCTAGGCAGCATTTCTATAATATTTAAGAATGGCAATCGTAAAACATGTTTTTTAATGCAATTGCGAACGCACTACGGCCCTTCTTTTTGAAATACGAAAAGTCTGAGTCCGGTGTGCTGTCGCCTCCTGGATTTGTATCTTTCCTCGGAAAACATGCCGCCTGGGCAGGCGGCACCGCTCGCACAGAATAAAACCAGTTTTTCCCGGTCCGCCGGCACCCTTATCTCCCGCTCCTCACCTACTCGCTTTGGGTTGCGGTGGCAACAGCCGTTTGGAGCAGGGAGTCATGAAAGAAAGTCAACTTGCAGGACTCCACAATATTTGACGTTAACGCACCGGCGCGGATCGCGGGGGAACTTCGAATTCGGCATTTGAAAATTGTTTTTTTTACTTTACAAATACCGAATTCCCAAGTTTCGAATTTTGAGGGTAATGTCCTGGCATCGTTTTTCATCATTTCGGATAATAAAAAAAAGATATGATTTTGATGTGTCAGTGTCCCTTTAAGGCTGCGAGCCAATATGATAGGACCTTGTTGATGCGTTGTCCGACTGTTAGTGCTCCCACATTGGTCATATAAGAGAAGTGTGTATCAGTTACCCACATGTTATTTGCATTCCTGGTTCCTATATCGAACAGCTGCCGAGCTGCCCTTTCCTTTTCGCTCTGCTCAGCCCCTTTTTACCATCTTGCCGCCCTGCGTCGTGCTTTTTGGCGGGGTGCGCACAATCTCATACAGTCTTGAAACAAAATCGGGCGTCTGCAACAGCTTGTTTACCTATGCGTCTCTTTTTCTGGTGCGTGTGCGTGCTTTTGGTGCGCTTGGTTTTTCTGGTTCCGCTTTGCTGCCTTGCACCAGCATTCTAGGAGCTGTGGCTGGTGTGGGAAAGCAATTGGGTTAACTCGATGGGCTCAGTCATTTTGTCCGATTTTACAGGTCGACATTCTTTGGTTATAGAGTTCCTTGTTTTCGGCAAATGCCGATAAATGCCGAGAATCAGCCACCGAGCCCGTTTCATCAAAATGGGGGGGAAAACCAGAAAACCCTGAACTGGAACTGCCCCCGAACGAAGAGAAAACCCAAGCTTTGTGGGAAAATGTAGACAGTTTTCTTGTATTGGTTTGGAACAGAGCACCCAACAAACTTTGCGAGGCTTCTCTTAATTCGGAACAACACTTTTGTTTCTTTTTCTTCTTTTCGGTAAGGACATTTTCCATGTATCTGGGTCTCACATGTGTTCCCTTGGAGTCAAGGAATGCCATTCCCGTATCCTATTTCCCTCAACATGAGCCCCGACAAACTTTAAATTTTTGTCCGGTACATAAGATTTCTTTCTGGGAAGAAGTGAACCCCGAAAAAGTGCCCCCGATTTCAAAGAAGAACAAACTCCGAAAGCACAGAATCCTTGTTATAATGTGATCCTTAATTTAAAAAAAAAAAAATATTTTAATAAATACATATGAGAAAGGTTTTCGGTTCTTATCTCTTTAGTAAGCCCCAAATCTATTATTTGTTGTTAAATTTTCGCCAATCACGCCATCTTTGTTTTTTACCGTAGTCCCCGAAAACTGTATTTATAAGGTTGCACTACCGTAAAATCCCGAAAGAACGCCCACCCAAAACGAAGAGATAAATGGTGAAAAACATGGGGTGGGCTATTTTTGGGGATGCCACAACAAAGCTTTATCAAAAATTAATGATAAGCACCGGGGCACCCGCTACAAACCACGTGACGCAGGAACTGATACCGCAGATCGTGGATAGGCAAATTCACGTTTCACAACACGATAAACACGCAGGAATTCGCTACAAACTCCTGTGTCACGGGAAAGGCTACCGCAAGTGGCCGACGCAGCAGATTCGCGTTTCACGGTGCGAAGGACTCGCGTTAACCCGCCGAGAACTCGCATCTCACGGGAACGGATACCGCAGATCGCAGACGGAGCAGGTTCAAGTTTCATGGTGCAATAAAGACGCGGGAACCCGCCACAATCTTGGCTGTCACAGAAACCGATACCGCGTGTGCAGATCGCGGACAAAATTGCGGGTTTACGCTACAAACTCTCATGTCACGGAAACAAATACCGCAGATCGCGTACGCAACAGAATCTCATTTCACGATGCAATATACACGCAGGAACAACTCGCGTGTGTTACAGCTAAGAATCGATATCGCGCTCGCAAATCGCGAACAAAAGCACGGGAATCCGCTACGTACTCGGGAACAAATACCGGAAATAGCAAACGCAGCAGATTCGCATTTCATGATGCAATATACATGCAGGAACAACTTGCGAGTTACGGCAGCCAATATCACGCGTTCAGATCGCAGACAAAAATGCAGGAACCCGCTGTGAACTCGCTTCTCAAATGTACCAGTACCACAGATCGCGCCATTGATACGCAATTCCCGTCGGATATCGCTTGACGTTCAACAGAAATCGGGGGGGGGGGGGGGTTATGTTTTGGAATTTTTATGTTCCAGATATTTAGCTAGAAAAACAGGATGGGCGATTTCTCGGGAGGGGGCGTCCTTACGGGATTTTACGGTACATCATGGCACGTTGCATGTAGCAAAGCCGTATGCTGGTCTGCATTTCAAAGTTATTAGTAGTTTTGCTAGGCTGCATTTCAAAGTAGTTTCAAAGTTATCGTCTGCAAACTGATTTGGAGCTCTGCTTGCCAGAATTTGGCGGATACGAGTGCAGAACATTAGCTTGGTAGCACCCAAATTAGAACCGAAATGTTCTGCGAGAGGAACACGGGCACAGTCGGAGGACACTATCCAAAAGGATCTCAACCACTGTTTCTGTAGAGCCACTTTTTTTTTATGTTCTTAATGTTGTAGCATTCAGCTTGCGGATTTCCAGACCCCATTTTACGCTGGTTTGAGATGTAGTGCCTCAAACACGAACAAGCGCAAGGTTGCACCTGGCTTACACTGCAGCTCGACCTGAGAAACGCTTACCCCGACCTAAAAGCACCAAGGAAGGCCGGGCGCTCTCGCAACCTTGAAGGCTACTCTGGCGAACGCCCCTCATTTCGATGTACGATCCCAATCTGAGAATCTACTCCCCCCTATTTTTAGATTAAGAGACACGTACCACAAGCTATTTGTTGAAAACATGCATATCTACCACGAGGCTTTTTAGACATAGTATGCGCTTCAGCGGGGAACTCCTATGGTCCGTTGCAGGTTCAGAGAAACCTACAAGTTCCTCCCACGAAGCCTTCCTTTCTTTCCACTTTAGCAGAATGAACGCTAGAAAGGAGAAAGCCATCAGTCGTGGCTAGCAAAGAGCTTAGTGGGGGGCGGGGGGAACCTGCAGCAGACTACAGCGTTCAAGTAGCCGACCGTAGTCTTGGTGCAGTATGGCCCTTGTAGCTTTTGCATCATTAAACCTGTAATCATCATCATCGTCTAGCCGTAGTCGCCAAAGCCATGACCATTGTGTATTTACGAGCCGGGATGGCCTCGGGCTCTACGGGGTGGCCTGGGTGTCCGTGCGGACGTGGAGGCGACCTCCCGATTCCCCGTCCGTTCCACTCTTCCTCTCTCTCTCTCTCTCTCTTTCTTTTTCTCTTTATGACAGCTTTCTGTTTTTTTTTTCATTTTGTTAACCCCTTTGCGTTCTGCAGGTTTTCCCAAGGTCGGTGCAGCAGGTGAGCCTGGGCTTTCCGTTCCCCACCCACTTCCAGCACCCCGGGTCCTTGCACTAAGTCCCCCCCCACTGCACTGTCCTCTTTGTCTTGGGCTCGTTCTGTGTGGTCTGTCTTGTGCTCGCCGTAACTAACCGGCCTCGCCCAGAGTCTCTGGGTGCCCACGGATTACTGAAACCCATCCTTTATCGCTCATACTTACGTTTTCTGTAAATACTACCGAGCAAGCGCCCGCCAGATAATTGTGAAAAAATTTTAGGCGAAGGTGCGATAGCACTTGACAGGGTTTTGGACAAGCAGCACTTCCCGTCGGAACGATATGCAGTGCAACATGGGGTGAAGGAACTGTTAACGTATAAAGTATTTCTTTACTACTCACCTCCTTTTTGGGGGACGTTGCATCATTTTCTCTGAAATAGCGCCACTCCTACAATCTGACCGTAAAATGTCTTCATTCCTACTGAGTTATTCTAATGTGCAGATTCTATCCGTGTAGGGTCCTCTTAAAACAGGAATCGGCGTTAGTTAGGCTCAAGAGCGTAAAAACAGAAGGGGCACATTGTGAAGTAAGCCCTCGTTTGATCCTACAGCTCGGTGTAGGAGCAGTACAAGAACCTGGCAGGGCCCCGTCATTTTTTTGGGCAGCCGTGTCAATCTCGTCAAGTCGTGCCGGTGCTGTCGCATCAGGCTTCACCCCTCCGCATCGGCATGCGCACGTTCACGGCTTTACGCTGGGACGTGCACGTAGACGCTTTGCCACTTTGCACTGCTGTGTGCACATAAAACTTCACCGCTTTGCAGTGGGATACGCACATAAAGCTTCGCGTCAACTGTTTGGGAGAAGCAGCGAACGCAGAGGAGCATCTCGGCTAGTTCAATGGGCTTGGAAACTCGCTGTTTGAAATGCTATTTCAAATAGCATTTAAAAAGTAGGGGATGGGTACTCATTGCAAGTTGCGCACTCGTCCTATTTTACAGTAGTAGAAGAAAACTAATGTGGGGGGGGGTGAAACTGACGGGCAGCGGCGCGCAGAGTGTTTGCAGTAGACGCAAAACGATGCTTCGGCGTCGTGCGAGAGTAGACGGGGCGATTGATTGCTTGTGCTCCTATTGGTGCTAGTGGGCTTTGCTAAGCCTTACCACTTATCTGGCTCTGCTGGTAACAATTGGGATATGAGAAATTGTTTGTCGAAGTCTTCATCTTTCTCCGTCTGATGCAATGGAAAGCAGTATCCTGGGACCACCCAGTGACACCAGGGCAGGCCTTGCATGGTTTGTAAGGAGCACGAAACAGTTTGCACGAACACGTACTCGGCACCTTTTTCTGTATTTTTTAGTTACGAAAGGTTGGCAATAGATGTACTAATGTGAGGGAACATGCTCATTCAGAACACTAAACTAAGCAATGAATTTGATGACTGTCGCTTCCCTAGCTGAACAGAATGCAAAAAAAAAAGTGCCTGTGTCGTGTTTCTGCTGTGTCACCTAACATACCTGTCTTGACTTTGGTTGCAGCTTGGCTTGTCTTGTCTTAGGTTTAAGCTAGCGGTGCTTGCTTCTGGCTTGATTCGACTCTGTGTACCCTGTCACGTCTTTGTCCTGTCGTCTAAACAAAGCCCATTGAACCAGCTTTTTGTATGAGTATGACTTCACATAGGCTCTTTTCACTTTGTGTGCCGTGTCATAACTGTGCATCCGTAAATTTGCCTCAACGACACCGGGACTCTAGGCTTCTGTAGGCCTGGCCGACAGAATCCAAGCCGTTTCTGGGGCTGTCCGCTACATGGCACGTATTGAATGTCTGCTTGTGCATTTTACTGTCTGAAATCTTGTGTGAGTTGTTTTAACAACAATTTGTCATAGAATAAAGCTCGAGGTCATGACGGTGTGTCCCTGCTTGGCTTTTTGTTTCAGTGCGCATGTCTAAGGCCGTCCGCTTTTCACGCTTCCTTGCCCGATCAACAACTTTGCGCATGAGGTTGATCATGTTTGCATCTTGGCTTTGTTTATCCAGATAAAGCATTGTGGCAAAGGCCAGATTACGGTGAAATACCACTTGAACAAACCCGAGTGGAGCAAACCATTCAGATGGGCACAACTCTTATAGAATCCCCCACCAAAAACCTCATTGTGTCCAGTGTGTTCAGATGAGTGACCCTCAACTGAATCATTTGTAATGACACTTAGAAAGCAACGAACAGCCAACTCTCCCTCTATTTTTCCTTTCCATTCGAGAAAGGAGGCCCGTTTTCTTTCCGTGGGGAATAGCTCGGAGACTCATTCATATGGCGAGAGGAGGAAAGAAGAGTGCAACAGGGGATGAAGAAGGAAACGGAACCAGTTATCTGCCCAGCTGAAGGCAATTCTTTAACCCTTTGACGGTCTTTTTTTTTTTCCCCAAAATATGTTTTTCAGTTGTCGGGTTTTATTTTCAAAGGAATAGCATAAAGAAATGGTAAATTCACATGTTTTTTTTCTTAATTATTCTAGCAAGAGCACGCACAGTGTTTGCAAGCTGTTGAGGTTTAGCGGCCTCGTATGTAAATATTGAGGAAGAAAAGTGGTCACCTTCCATTTGGTTTATTTTTGGCCTGTCTGCTTCCGTGACACTCCGGCCGGTTCAGGTTTCAAACTGGAGGTACTTTACAGAGTTTCTTTGGCAAATGGTAAGCTCTCATAATCTGAATTCAATACTGAGAAGTGTTAAAAGTCTTAGATAAAAGAGCCGGCGCTCCAATTGCCACTACCGCCAGAGCAGCCGACATGCGAGGCGACCCTCTTGCGCTTATCGTGTGCCGGGAGCGTGTAATTGCGAAGCTATAAATAGCCCCAACAAAGCGAAATACCGAGTGAATATAACATTTATAGTTCGCGAAACACAACAAATGGAAACGCCTCTCGCGGTTTCGCTTTTAGGCGGGCACTGTCAAACTTGTAATCGCAGCCATACATGTATGGCAGTAACCGTCAAAGGGTTGAGCAAGATTTTTCTTCCGGCCCCTCGAAGTTTTCTTCAAGTGGTATTTCACTGCACAATTTACAGAAGACTTACAGAAGACAAGGTGTTGTTACTGATTGTGGTCTGCGCGGGTACAGAAGGCTTTTTTTCCCAGTTAATCATTTTGTAGAGTTTTTACGTCTTGTTTAAATGATCTTGTCGCTTCAGCGTTGTTTGTTTGCATGCGCTGCGTGGTCCGTCGTAAGACTGGGATCCTTCCCTCGCTTTCCGCAGGCGTTTTCAGACTACCAGATGGAGCAGGTGACGAGCAACTTCGTCGAGCAGTTTGGCTTCAACGACGACGAGTTTGTCGAGGCGGACGAGAACCTAGTGTGAGTACCTGCATTTTTTTCTGAAAATTACGACTCCGGCGGCTCTTTCTCGGATTCTGGACGACGCTTTTTTGAGATAAGCACGGCGAAAGGAAATCTAAAACCTGGCTTGCACATTCTGCATTTTACCGTGATCTACCGCTTGTGACGGCTTAGGGTACCACGAGTGGTGTGGGTTGGTTACAGAGGGTGTTTTTGGGAGTTTTATTTTTCGCTAAAAATTTGACGTTTGTCGGAGTTTATTCTTGTTAGATTCTCAATTCCCTGAAATTTTTAGTTTATTATGTTCTCAATGGTTTAAGATTAAAAAAAAAAATTGGGTGCCATGATCTTTGACAAGCTAAAATAAAAGGCAAACCCCATTTTGTTGTCACCTTAAAATTATTTTTTTTAATAAATTTGAATTGATGGAAAATTTATTGGCTAGTGTCATTGTCAGAATTTTTTTTCTGAATTATTTCAAACCCATGGTGGAAGGATGATGCCTACGCATGTCGAAGTGGACTTGGGCTGCCTACTAAGTGGTGCCTGTGTGTCGCCCTGACGTAAGCTGTCGCAAGACGTCATAGTGCAGCCGTACGAACCAGCCTTAACACGATTGGTCGTCGTCATCCCGTGCTGTAGCAGTGGCTGCACGTTACCTGGATTGTACAAGTCGTTCGTTATGGACGCACCTATGTGACGAAAGAAACGCTGTGTTATAGTGTTGCGCGAGTATTCAGGTTTTCGAATAGTAGTTTCGATTAATACGCCTTTGATATTCGCTTCCAGGTTAGCTGCAATATTCATCTTTTTTTAAGTGTTGACCGCGGCGGGTTAGCACCGTTATGCGCACTTCTTACCAGCACGGATGCACTGTGGAGAAGCAACGCCCGCAGAAGTAAGCTACGCGGGGGTTGCATCTCCGCAGTGCCGCAATTAGCATTTAAAAAATTGACCGCATCTCCACATGGTGAATGATGTTGATTGGGGCGAAGCTCTGGTGGTGTTAGTCTGCGTAGACGGTGAGCCGCAGCATGCCGAGCCTTTCGTCCATTTTCATCCATGTCGGAAAAAGAATGTGGGGTATGGAACGTGGTTATATACACATTTGAGCATACGACCGCAGCGCCCTCTCGTCTATAAACGTTGAGCCAATGCATGCAAAGTTTAACGCGATTATATATGCATTTGACTGCAGCGCCCTCTCCTGTATAGACGTTGAGCGGCTATGTGCAACGTTTCATCCATGACGTCCCCAGCTCTTGAGTTACTACCACATCTTGCAGCCCCCTACTCGTCCCGCAGTCGTGGCCGAGTGGTTAAGGCGATGGACTAGAAATCTATTGGGGTCTCCCCGCATAGGTTCGAATCCTGTCGACTGCACAAACATTTTTTTCCTTTTTTTTTTTCATCTTTTTTTTTCCCCTACACGAGCACGTGAGCTCACGAGCACGAGCACCAGCAAGATCAGTGTGAGCACGGACGTCGGACGGACAAGGCTAGACCCTAAGGAGCTTTGCCCCTAAAATACAAATATCGCAGTGGCGTACATAGGAGAAAAGCACACTTTTAAATTGGAATGGCGCACACTCGCACCTAGTGTATTAAAAATGAAATTGAAACATTGTGAAAGTTTATACCGGCGTTGCATAAAATTTTTCAAGATTAAACTGTAGCTAATATGTAGGTAGAGTATACGCTAAGCAGAGATGCCCGTCCAAAATGCATTCACCAGTCTTTTTTTTTTCTTACTTTGAATTTGAATAAAGGATATTTGCATATAGCAAGAGTAATAAATCCCCCCAATTAGGTATACTTGCTGGGCATCTCTATATTAGGTAAAATCTTGTGTCCATTCCGTCGTGTCCTTGCCATTTCAATGTAGGCATTGGACTTCCTGATGCCATAGTCTATAAATGTAGTTGGATTCAAATTAACTTAAAATGGTGAATGGGAACAGCCTTCGCAAGTTCAGCTGGGTTTTCACTTGAGCATTGTGCAGCAGCAGTGCGAGTCTCGGAAAAAATAATCGATATTGGATTCAGAAATATTCAACCAAACCCACCGTTTCTTTCAAAATCAAAATGCAACATTTGCTCATGCCTACTGTTTTAACAATTTCGAAGGGCCGGGAGCAAGATGGGCTTATCTTTCAGGGTCACAAAAATTGATAATGCAAACGGAGAAAATGTAGTTACATCGAGTCCAAAAGTGTTGTTGTCTCGCTTCCCTGAAGGGTGAACCTATCCCCTCCGTTTCGCTGTGTTTTTTGTTTTATTTGTGGAGATGATCATGCTAAGCTTGTGCAAGACTTTCGGCTTGGTTTTACTTGTCTTGGTACAGTGGTCAGTTGGATCAGCTGGGAAGGGTCAACTTCCAGCTTCCTGCCGAGGTGAACATGGTAGGTGTTTCACTTTTTGCACCCTTGTCCGAGAGTTGGGACCCTGCTGTGGCATGTTTCTAAAGCTACTTTTGACGGAAAGCACAAGAACCGCCCATTAGCAGCGACCCGTGAATTTTGGTGACGAAAAACTTTGATAAGAAAAGTCTCTTTGGCGGTCGCGGGATTTTCAATTTGCGTCTCAATAGTAGGGTCGTGTTTGTTAATAATTAGATGCAAAGACTTTTTTTTTTTTTTGCTCAAGGTGTCATTTATGTTAACGGTCCGAACGAACAACTGCAACCCTAGTTCGAGCCATCGGCACGAAAAACAATGCTAGTCGCCGTTGCATGCACGGGGTCAACTACCGTATTTACTCGCATAATGAAGGCTTTTTTTTTCCTGAAAAATCGACACATTTGGGAGGTGCGTTCATTACGCGCGGTGAAATTTTTGCATTTACACATTTTGCGCAAAAATGTCATTTTAGCTGCCAATATGACACGGCAGTGTACTGTGGCGCATCTCCACTAACAGAGGTGCACCCACGGCTAGTCGTGGGAGTACCAAACGAACCATGCTCTATAAATGGCTAACCCTTTTATGGCGCTTTTGGCGTGCCTTTTGCCAACGGCAGAACACCCACAAAGCTCGCTGAGCATGGGGAGCGATGCAACCATTCTTAGGTCTAACCATTTTCACGATTTCACCGTGTGAAAGCGGATCATAGACAAAGGCATGTTTGTCAACATCGGTGCATCCGATGGGCGAAGCATGTCCGGAGCTGGGTTATTCCTCGACTCCAGCTTTGTAGGCGTGCATGCTGCTTGGTTTCACTGTTGATCACTGCCGCAACTACGCACTTGCAGCCATTGCAAGTGCGTGTACTGCTATGCTTGGTTTGGCTTGGCCTGGCCGCTTGGCGGCAAAAGAAAGTTAGCTTGGTGGGCTTGGTGGTTAGCCGAGCTGGACACAGTATGAGACTCGCGGGGCCGCGAATCTCATACTGCATTTTTCCCCTTGTGTTCATTATGCGAGGGGGAAAAAAACAAAAATCAAAATATGGACGCTCGTTGTGCGGGGTGCGTTCATTACGCAAGTAAATACAGTAACGCGATTCGGACGACACTTGTAAACAAACCCTATTGGCCGCTCTGATGCCTGGAATTCTTGTACAGCTGGGAGGCCTTTGTAGACCGAACCTACCATGTGACGAACGCCGCTACATCGTGAAATAACGCCTGCCAGTTATATAGGGGTTCTGCACTTTTGGTCTGTACCAATGAACTCCGAAAAGTAACCCCGAAGTTGGTTCTATCGAAATTGGGGAAAGCCTAAAAATAGAAAGAATTGACCCTTCGTGGGGCGAAATTATTTTTCTGGTGCTTCATCACGCGTCGACCCACAACGTGGCCCGCACTTAAAGGGGGCACTAAACAAACTTCTGCAACAGTCTATCTACGGGATATGAGCATCCCAAAAAAAACATGCATTACACGCGTGCGTGGCCAGCTTTTCCATTAAAATCGGTATTGGCGGTTGAGTACCTTGACACTATCGCTAACACCAAAAAATGCTGTAAAAAAAAAAAAAAAAAAAAAGTTTGAAAAAAATTAAATAAAACTGGTTAGGTGGCACAAGCTGCCACCCAATTCAACGGGTTCAGCCTTATCCATCTATCCATCCATCCATCCCAACCCTTCTCCTCATCGGACGGCACCCTCCTGGTTTCAGCAATAGTTCCAAGGCAATTGAGCTTTAATGCCGATTTTAATAGGAAGTTGGCCATGCACAAGTGTTATGTTTGGTTGTTCTTTTTGGGGGGGGGGATGCTTAGAGCTCATAGATTGGGTTGTGACCATGAATGGACTGTCGCCAAAAGTGTTTTAGCGCCCCTTTAACTTTCCACGAGGCTGGTTGTTCCTTCGGGAACTGGAGCCGTCACCTCGTTTCCTTCTCTCAAAGATTTTGATCTTGAGGAATCCCCATCTGCCTTGGACGGTAGCTGAGGGGCCCTTCCCAGTTTTGGTGTTGACACAGTGGGGCAGTACCGGAGCCTACGGGTCTCATAAATGACGATGCGCACGCTGCGCAGTGTTTAGCACATACTTGTGCATCTGTGGGTGGCTTGGGTCTTCGAAAATGGACCTCAAAGGCCGAAGTACGGCCTCGGTTTTCTGCGGGGAAGATGATTTTCTTGGCGCCCTTCTTCCCGAACTGCGAAAGGTGGCGTGTTAGGGAAATTCGAAAGGTGGAAAGCGCCAAGTGGGCATCTGCGCTTAATCTTAAGAACGCTTTACTTGGGAACGGGAACAATTGAGGAAATATCAGTGTTCGGGGAGCTCTGGGGAAGCCTTGGGATCCTAGGAAGCAAACCCATGCTTTAAAGGTTGGAAAACCCTAGCCCGTGTCCTGTTATCTTAATAACTCCCAATGAACACCAGTTCTTTCTCTTATTTTTTTACTCCAAAATTAGACATTAGGAAACGCAGAACAGATTGAAAAAATAAACCTCAAAAACACAGAACCCTAGTTCTATATATTGCGAGCTGAATCCGAAAACAGCAGGCTTTCTTTTTAGTAGCAGAATCGAGCTTTGATGAGAGCCAGGGGTGTCCCACTGAGATTGAATCGAACCGTGTCCTCGGCCCCCTTTCCCGTCCACCTTCAGACCAGCGCGGCACTGTTTGACCGGGTTTGTCGAGAGAAGGGGCAGACGCTGGACGACGCCGACAGCGACGACGACATCTGGGAGGACAAGGAGGTGGTGCTGTCGCCTGCCACTCGTGCCCAGAGGTGCGTGCTCAGCCTTCCCCTCTCGAACGACATGCGGCCGAAGAATGCACATTATTTGCAAACCCTTCGTACTGAGCAGACGGTTGTTTGTGCTGGCTCTTTCAGGCTCGTATTTAAGTAAGTATGCATGGCATGCTCGCTGCTCGTCCCGTTGCTGCCAGGCCCTTTCGATTTGTGCGCACCGGCCTACGCCGTCGCAAAAAAGTGTAGCATGGTGCAGAAACGTGCTGGGCAGGGCTTCTGATATATGTCTTAAAAGAACACTAAACCTGGGAGAAAAAAATTTTTTTCCTTCCTGATTGGGACAGGCATGTGTCAAAATAAATGGATGTCAAAAAAAAAAAAGTTTTTGCAATTGTTTGTTACAATACGAATTTTTCGATTTGCAGGCGAAACCAAAATTGTCCCCCTGTAGGATGATGACTGTACCAAACTAATGTGCGCTCTGAGCTACAGCAAACTCTGAGCACATGCAAGTTGTGTACAAATGCTATCATCATCATCATCCCACAGAGGTACAGTTTCGGTTTCGCTCGCAAATTGAAAAATTCGTACTAAAACATAAATATTGAGCAAAAAAAAATTTTTTTCCCACAAACATTTTGTTTTAAAATTTACCTGTGCTAACCAAGTAGAAAAAAATATTCGGCAGAGGTGTTTAAGACTGCTTACTTGTAAGAATGCAAAAGCATTCCTACAAGCAGCACATTCCTACATGCAGCGTGCCACGTCTGTTTAGTGTCCCTTTAAAATATGTTGCGCTCGTAAATAGAATACAGTGGTGCGCACCGAGTGTAGTTGATGCAGGCAATGTAGGTAAATCAAACGAGCCTACTGCCATGCTCGTTCTAATTGATGGTTCATTGTCGAGACCGCGCTTCGATTGGACGCCCAGGCGGCTGACGGACGACAGCGAGGAGCCGTACAGCAGCGACTCTGACGAGGAAGGTGGCGCCACCCAGCCCGCGGTGGTGGCCAGCTCAACCGACGAGGCTAAGATGGACATTGACCACGTCGTCGACCGTGAGTAGGCCGGCGGGTTTATCGGACCTCAGGCATATTCCAAGGGGTGCATTATTATGCGGGGGTGCTTGGTCGCCGAACGAAGAGAATCTAGAAAAAATTATATGAACACAAATTAATATAGAATAGGCAAGAATGATAACTTACTCTTGGTTGCAAGCAGCTCCTTCGCACAGTTTGTATGACGACGGACAGTTAGCAGCGACGAAGTGCCGGTGGCTGTCATTTCACCGGATAAAACCCTTTATTGGCAAGATATATCAAAATTGTTTAAAATATTTATATTTTAAGATATTAATGTTTAACGAGACAAAATAAATGAGCAGAGCTGAAATTAAAAAAAATTGCAATGTAAACTTGCAAGTTATGGCTTTGTTGTCTGTGGGCAACACCAGGCAAAAGTCTGAAAGGGACTCTTTCCCGCAAGCTTTATGGATCACTATGAAATGTCAATGTCTGCGCATACGATAGCCTCAAGTGAAACGGTTGCCTGTCAAAAAATATCAGTAGCAAGAAAGAAAAAACCTATCCATATTTTTTACCGTTCCACTGTTCTTGGTCGCCGCATATTTGTATGCCAAACTTCTTTGTTTTTGTCAACTACTTGCGCGTCTTTTCACTAGATGGTGCCATAGTTTCGTTCTTGAAGACTGTTGCCAGACCACTAGGTAAAAAGAAATGGTGATAAAACCGAAACTATTCAACAAAAAAAAATTATGGGGTTTCTTGCCTGTAGGCAACACTGGTTAACAAAGGAGTCCATGGACATGGATGTTTGGGGGGGGGGGGGGGGGGGGGGAGTTTGAAGTATGTCGTACAAGACAGACGGTGACCGAGGCACGTTTCTTTTCTTTACAACGGTCCCATCACGTTGGTCACACAAAAACTCTCTGCAGACATGTTGGAAACACACAAACATATGAAGCAAACACACTCGAGGTGTGTGAGCAGACTATTCAGGCGTCACTTCCGCGGCGAGTGCCGTGCCTTTTGCGGGACGTAGGAGCAGCTTGACTGGCCGAAAGCAGTCAGTCGGGCGTGTCGAATTAAAGTCGCAAAAGACAAACAAAGGCCCGGTAACCGCTGTCCGAAGTTCGTCGGATGGCCCGGTGTGGTTTTAAATTTAACCTCCGTCAAAGTCCGACCGCTCTTAATTTTTCTTCATCTGGGCGTAGGTAGTCCGCAGGCTACACAATTCCTGCCGGCATTCTTTGCTTACATCGTGGGCTTTTTACCTTCGGTGATGCTTTGGACATGGACACACATTCGAAGCACAGTGGAAGACAAAAAGCAGTTGCTAGACGCCGGGTGTTCGAAAGGGATGCCCTGCCATCCCTTTCGGGTGCCGTTCTGGGTTGCCTGGAGGTCTCCAAATGCTTATTTGACTTATTTCTCTATTATAACCGGCACTAAATCAAATACATAACGACTCAAAATTAATAAAACATCATAAAACCGAAAATCACAATTTTTGGAAAATATTGCGGTGCTTCGACTCGTATCTCTTCTTAACGGATCTTGCAGTTGCGTCATTACCACCCAATCCCAGTTGGCCATTAAAACTTGTTTAATTTAGTGACAAGTGGAACGCTTCGAGAATGTTTGGCGATGCTCGGGTCGTCTGCCCTCCGAGCACGTGACAATTGGGATTCTTCTTGTTTGTGCGCAAAGATTTTTGTGTCGGCCGTAGTTACGGGTCGTGACGCTTGTCTCCCACCATTGCATCTGCGCAGCAGATACGGTTGCCATGGATACAACGAGTCCCTGGGACAGTGCGACCGCCGTCGCCGCCCCCGACGCAGAAGGCGCCGGCTGGGCGTCCTTCGACAACTTTGCCAACTTCAGTGCTGCCAACTTCGAGACGTGAGTCCCTCCCTGGCTGTTGGGGTCACCATAGGGCCAAACACCCGCTTTACCTACACCAAAAGTTATTTGAGCCTGTTTCGGCGAGATCCAGTGCGCTCGGAGACGCGCGGAATCTTTGCAAATGGGCTGGGCACATGCTGTGTGGATGCAATGTTGCATCACTTAGCGCCATGTGACATCACAGAGTCGCATGATGTCGCATGTCGTCAGGATGTCGTACAACGTCAAGATTCGTTTGCTAAACTTGGCAGCGAACATAAGTGATGCCCTATGGGGCTCTATTGCTTATACGGCCGTGACCGCAGTGAAACGAAATGTCTCGCTTTTCTCGTAAAACAGAGAGTCTCTTGCACATTACTCTAATAAAGTTATCGATTACAATTACCACCAATTAAAAAGTATTTTATTAGATTACTCAATTACTTTAGAAGAAAAATAATTGGTTACTTCACTGAGCAACCGTTACTTTGCTGATTACTTCAGATTTTCAAAACGACGGATTTTTCTGCCGGTTTGAAAATGAGTCTTTTGTACTGTTCATTATTGGGTTAAAATTGACGAATTATCAACATCCTATCTTAATTAACCAATTTTGGTAAACCAGCCTCTTGTCGAACACTTGGTTTGAAGATTTCTTGGTGGGAAACCTGTACTATAAACAAAGAGCACCATTTGAAAAGGAGGGTAAAATAGTAATGTTTACGTGCCATTTAAGTACTTCCAAAACAAATCGGATTACTGTTACAAATACTTCTTAATAAAAAAAGTCAAATTACAGTCTAAGCTCGTTATAACAGACCTTGATTTTAACCAAGATTTCGGTCTGTTGTAAGAGGAGTATGTTGTATACAGATATGAAGTTGAGTCAATGGTGCATAGAGGAAAACCAACCAAACTTCACAAATCAGTATATTATATCCAAATGTCTGTTGTAGCCAGGTCTGTTATAGTGAGCTTAGACTGTATTAAAAGATTGCTCCAAAAAGTAATCAATCACAAGTAATTTGAGTACTCGTAATGAGTGCAGTGCCAGTCTGGCTATAGCACGTTCTGCGTTTATAACTCGGGCCGAGCCACGCCACCACGTCATTGCAGTAGGCTCGCGCAAATTTCGGGACCTTTCCAGCATCAATTTGCGTAATGCTACTCTTCGGTTGGGTCTTTATACTGGACACTAACTGTACTCCAAGTTTTCGCAATGCATTTTGAGGTCTGCCGGGTCGATCGGCTCCGTCGAAAGTGCTTTTCGCCAGGCACTGCTGCACTCCGTAGAAGCGACACCCATCGAGCAAACATGGCGATCCTGCATACGTCGCGTTGCTGTAGATTGAAGAATTTTGTTTTAAACCATTTCACGTTTCGAAATGAAACAGGAGGATGTAATCCGGCGTTGAAGCTAAAAGAGGGGGGTGCCACAGCGTGGGTTGAGCGCAGAGGGCCGAGAGATTCCAGCGCCAAGTCTCACGTCCTCACTGCAGGGTTGCAGACACCACGACGCCGGCGCTGCCTGTCGCCATGGAGACGGCGGAGCAGCCACCGCCGGCTCCCAGTCCGGCGGCTTCGGCGCCGTCTCGGTCCGCGGACGAGCCGGACTCTTCCAAGAAGCCAGGTGGGACCGATGTTGGTGGAATCGTGGGAATGAAGTCGCATCTCGTTAATGTGGATGCCTCACCGCACAGACAAATGTTTTTGGGACAAAGTGGGTAAATACGTGGCTCTGCGTCCCGTTATTATGGACAATTTTGGGGGGGAGAACGGAGGCGTCTACGTTGCTGAGACACGAGTGTACTACTGCTGCACGTCGCTCCGAGGCTGTCTTGGGCTATTTTAGCCTGTCGGAAGTCTTTTCCACGGCTCGACCAGCGAGCCCTACCAGACGTGACTCCCCGCGTCTTCTGGGGACCAACTTTGCATCCCCTGAAATTCTCGGAAATAGCGGTACAGTCTAAGCACGTCATAACAGACCTTGATTGTGACCAAGATTTCTGTCTGTTGTAAAACGTGTATGTTGTATGCAGATATGAAGTTGAGTCAACGGTATGTAGAGGAAAACCAGCCGAACTTCAGAAATCGGTATGTTATATCCAAATGTCTGTTGCAACCAGGTCCGATGTAATGAGCTTGGACTGTACTTATCAGAGGTTCGGAAGAACAAATTCACGTCCGAGACGCACATTTTCCTTTTGTTGTTACATGAAATTGGCACATTTGTTCTGTTGATCAGCCGAGAGAAGCAAAGCGAGAGAAAGAAGGAAAACAAGGTGGCTGTGAAGGGGAAATTGAGCTACGACACACACCGTCTCGGGATTAAGATGTGGTTTGCTTGATCTAGCAATTATCATAATAATGCACCAACTCAACTCTCCGGCATCGCACCACTGCGGTGGCGCTGCTGTTGACGCTGCCGACGCGCAGGCGCTTCACCTCACCCGAGTCTGGTTTCTGCGCACTCGCAGTGCACACACTTGGTGCATGCAAACGCGGGCTTGTTTCTAAACGGCGCGTTGATCTATAATTTTAAAACGTTTTTTAAAAAAGAATTACATATTTTTTGTTGCAGATGCAGTCCGGCTCGAATCGTCTAGCTCCAGCAACACGGAGGTCAGCTCCGCCGAAGCGCTTCCACCAGCTGCAAGATCTGCAGAGCCCGTGGCTTCGAGCTCGGCTGAGATCAACTCCGCCGAAGTTAGCTCGTCCGCAGACGCCAACAAGAGCACAAGGTGAGCTCTCGTGCGCCGTCATTGCCGCGCTTAAACCGCGTATGGTGGAATGCGGCTGCAGTTCTCGGGACCCTGTATGATTTCAGTTGCATGAGGAGACACTGGCTTAAAAATTATTTTCTGAACCACTTGTATGATTGGAATGAAATTTGCGAGGGATATTGAGGACCACATAGGGTGTGCAAACTTTGACATCTCTAGGACAATTTTCTTAAAAGCCAGACATTTATGTATGAAGCTGTGGCACTCTTCCCTAAGGAATCTATGGTATGCAAATTAAGCCAATAAACCACAACTTTATTGCTTGAATATAAAGTAGGCAGTGTAGGACTTCAGGCTTTCTAATTTATGTTATTAAAATGCAAATATTTATAAAAGAAAAACTACTTCCTTAAATGAGTAGTGTTCTCTTTGTATACAGATTTGTCAATACATCACTTTTTCTTCATCATAACTTTACGTAATGCCAAATAAAGTGGATGGCCCGATTCCCTGGTAAATTTCAGTTCATAAATTTCTGGAACAAGGCATCGAAATTCTCTTGCCATCGAGCAAAAGATTCCTTCATCCGAAGTTTGTAGCAAAAAAGTGAAGCGGAGAAAAATGGACTCAAACATTAGGACCCTTTACTTTATTAATTTATCACAATATGCATCCTTTAAAAGGCCCCAGCAGAGTACTGTAAAGTTCCAAGAAAATGTCCGCCCGCGAGAGATCGCCTATCCCGTTTTTCTGGCTAAATATCGTAACAAAAAAATTCAGAAACATGGCTACCATAGGACGTCACACTATGTCCGATGGGAATTGCATGAACCGCACAATTTGCTGTATCGACACGTCTGACAAGCGAGTTCATAGCGGGTTCCCGCGTTTTTGTCTGTAATTTACACGCGCGACATCGGTTCCCGTGACAGGCAAATTCGTAGCGGGTTCCCGCACGTTTATTGCACCATAAAACTTGAATTTGCTCCGTCCTCGATTTGCGGTATTCATTGTCGTGAGATGCGAGTTCTCGGCGGGTTCCTGCGGGTCTTTCGCACCGAGAAACGCGAATTTTCTGCATCCACAACCTGCGGTGTCCACGATCTGCATACACCACGTAACGCAGGAAGTGATCGCGGTGTCTGCAATCACTTCCCGCATCACGGGGTCTTTAGCCGGTGCCAGGGGGCTTATAATTAATTTTTGACAAAGTTTCGCTATGGCATCCTCAAAGATAGCCGACCCCATGTTTTTCACCATTTATCTCTTCATTTCGGGTGGGCCTTCTTTTGGAACTTTACGCTAGGTCCATCCTTTAGCTGCCTGTTCTTTCGTCTCTTGAGTACTGCTTGCAGCATCCTCTGTTTGTGGCCCACTTGGAAGACTATGCCGTGTGCCTTTTGCTATGTTGCTATAGTTGCTATGTGCTTCCGTTTTGATTTTAAGACCTTGGATGCACGTCCTTGTCAAACTTTACTGCATCTGGTGACCCCCAGGCTCTATACCAGTCTCGAAAAACCCCTTTCAAAGCCCTTATGGCCCAAGTAGAACTTGGGTATGCAAGTAGAAGAGCTGTCTCAACCCTTTTTCGAGACATGTAGTCCGTCTTCAAACACCACATCTAATCTAGAGCATTGAAGGACGCATTTTCATTTTGGCACATCTCTCGAGAAGGTCATGCCAGGTTAAATAACTGTACAAAGAAACCAACTCATCTGCAATTTCCTTAGAGCAGGCAGGGCTGTGCAGCTGTGGCTTTCCCCTTGCCTCCAGTGATGCATAGTGGTTGCGATGGCACCATAAATCTTTTCTTTGACGGCAGACCTGATGCTGGGGATCTTCAGTAGTAGGGGTAAGAGTGCAAGAGGCTGCTAAACACGCTTTGCTGCATCGCCTGGTCTTTTGGGGCATGCACCTTCGGCACATATGCATAATAAGTTTGTAAAACTTTTTCATGACCAGATTGGTCAACCGGCATTGTCCACCAAGCCCTTTTTTTTCCTTCAGGGTCTACGATCAAGAGTTGTTCGCTCGCCACGTCCGTTGCGGACGGACGTTGCGAGCGTTCAGGATTGCTAACCCTAATCACTTTTCTCCGGCGATGAAAACGCGTGAAAATTCTCATCCTTTATACGGTACGCGCCAGTAATACCTTCAACTTGAGCACAGGCATGAAATGCTCCAGATAAGAAATCCGGGCGTTGTTCAAAAACACAAATGCTTAAAAAGCACCACTGTAGTCGAAGTAAACAAACACGACGACACGGGCGTTTCTTCCGTCTTGAGAGTGCCGCCACAACATCGCCCCATGAGTAGGTGGATCTTCCCTTCTAGTGCGTGCTGGGTTATCATAGCGACACACAACGAAAATTCACAGTCAAGGATAGCGCTTTTACACGGAACAATGAGCTTCCTCTACGTCGACAATCACAACCGACGCCATGTTCGCGGATAAAAGCAGCCGGCCCGCGACCGGCATGCAACGCGCGCGAATACTTCTCCTCGACTTGCGATTGGTCTGTCGTTGCGGTTGTTTCCAACGCAGCGGAGGGACACACGCACGTGAACGACACATGCGTGCGTCCTTCCATCGCTATGGCAACTGAAGCCTCTCTCTTCGCTTCTCCCCGCTTCTTCGAGCAACCTCCTTGCATCGTGAGTGCCGCTTGCTGCTCGCGCCGTTATCTAGTGTCGCACAAGGAAGCGTGCTCGCAGCTCCGGTCAGTCGGCGCGCTGTTCCAAAAACCGCACTATAACCGGTATTTCCCTTCGCGCACCTGCATTTTAAGCGGTATGTAAATACATGGAGTTCTATGGGGGGCGAACCAGTGGTTTAAAAAAGCCGTTACGTTATAAGTGGTCTATACTGTATGTGGCATTACTTAACAGCACGCCATTGCCATGCTTGGCTTTGAACAGACGCATTTGGAAGTAGTTTTAGTTTGATATTGTGGAACTGCACAGAATACTCACTCACAGTAGCCGCTGCACTTCCACACTCGCCGTCAAATATCCTGTGCTACCTTGTCAAGACTAGCACAACTTCCACAGTGCTCCAATGCTGTCAAATTTGTGCGGACACGTGCAAACACTACCCAAGGCAAAGCCACGCGCGCTCTCACAGCACCGCGAGTGCTATGCTAGCCTCGACAATGTAAGCGCAGAATAGTTGGCGCCAAGTGTGGTCACTCTCTAGCGGCTCCGCTTCAAGAACAAGAGCTTACTTCTCCTGGCTAAGAAAAGGAAAGTTGACAAGATGCTTGCGCAACTCGTGAGCGAATACTGGACCGTAAGTGCGAACGTCCGTTTTTCCAGACAATCGGACGAATGTTGCGTGTGCCTCTGGAGGTAGCCGTTCAAGGCCAGCTTCTCTGGCTGTTGTCGCAGAGGCGGTATGAATCTCATCGCATCACGCAGCATGCACGCTTCTCAAACGCTGTTTGCAAATTGTCTGCTTGGCGGAGGCAACTCCGACCTGGGGTAGTAAATGCGAAGCCATTAGCCTGTGTTGGATTCCCACTAGGATACAATCCGGCTCTTAGCGTGTCTTACAAGTAGCGGCAATGTACCAATCCGCAGTGCTCGTACCCTGCGCAACCCTCGGAAGCAAAGGGCGGCGCAGCACTCCCTTGTGGCACGTGTCTTGCACGTTTCACACGACAACGGCCGTCGGTACTTGAAAGAAATATGAAGCGTGAATTTTATTGAGGGGCTTTATTTGGCGGGAAAGAGCACGGGGCTCTTGGCTAGGTGGTGTAAGCTGCTGCGCAATTGAAACGGTTAGGCCTTGCGCGTCTTTCCATCCGTCGTGGCACGTTCTCTCGTGGCGCAGCGGAGCGTCGGAGGAAGGTCCGGCGGACTCTTCACCCGCCTGCAGCGCTGCGATGGCGGCGTCGCCCCCGCCCGCTCCGGCGTGCGCCAACGGACCCCTGCCCTCCCCGTCCCCCCCGGGAGACAAGATGGCGCCCCTGGACGGCCCCCACAGGTGAGCCTGAAGAAGGACCCTGTCCCATTGGCCGCATGTCAAGCAAACGCCACGCTGGACCGTAACTCTTTGTCGGCAAATTTTAAAGGGGTATTCTGGCAATTCTTTTTAGCTACCCCAACTGCGGTAACTATATTTTCTGAATTCCCAGCCTTTGCCGTTTCCGGTAGGCTATTTAGTATGAAGGAGATTCGGAATGGTTGTTGTGATATTGGAAAATGAAAGGGATGCCAAAACGAAGTTCCGAATGTACCCGCGCTTTTCGGTGCGGTGGTGTCACTGGTAGGCACGCTTACAGGTCGAGCGGGCGGCTTAAGGAAAGCTGCTAGTCGAAAAACGGCCATGTTTTGCAAAAAATATGATTTTGGATTTTATGGAGTTTTATTATTTTTCAGTCTATATATTTGATGCATAAAAATAATGAGTGCAGGTTATGATTGTGAAATTGGTCGAATATGCATTGGAAAACCACCAGGCAACTCAGAACGGCAGGAATTGGAGCCATTTTTCTCTGCGTGGTTCTTCAAGTTGTGTAGTCGCCCGCCATCACATTTGCATTGACAAGTAGACATAGGCATCTCCTCTCCTTTGCAGTCTTCCGTAGCCTCAATTTCTCACTGAAATTTATTAACAAAATATTATTTTATGCACCACTAGAGAGTGTAGCTACACATCTCTAGTAACATTCGAATATGTTTTTCTCTTTTGTGTAACTTTAGGGCATCTTCACAGTTTGTGTGCAAGAATTTCTGTTCTTAAGACTCTCCTATCGCAACCAAATGTGGCATGCATATACTTTAGAATTTATAGAATGCAAGTATCTAGGTTTGGTTAGAATGTATATTTTTATATTTGTGAAATGAAAGAAGTGTGCGTCGGGCACATTATTTTTCTTGTTTATAGCACTCACTGGTTTAAAATAATTAAGTTAGTTTATTTTACTAGGCTTTTTTAAGTAGGTTGCCATGCCTCACGTGTGCACAAGAACATGGTTTTGCTGCATGTATATTCCACTGAGAACCTAAAAACAAAAGCCAAAACAAGCCATATCAAATCTAACACCATATTTACAAAGAGAAGATTCAGCATTATAAACTGTGCAAATTTTATTTCAATATCGCAAATAATAAAAAAAAAATAATAAAAATTTTCTTTGGCACGCAGAATATGCCGAGCATTTGTTACGTGCTGCTGCGGGGGTGCTGTAACGATGTTCCCATGCATTCATTTGACACCATGAAACTACTTGTTGGGAACAAATTCTGTAGTTCCAAGAGTAAGCCCCTGGCTGCCACTGGCATCACTTTTTCATAATTGCCAGTAGACTTTCGGTTTAGAAAAAAAACTGAGAACCAAAACTGTAAATGTAATAACTTTGCAAAAAAAAAAAAATTGTTTTGGCCTAAGATTTGGGTTACAAGTTTAGCTGTGTTTGTCGGTGTGTTTGGTCAATTTCGAGGCACGTCAAGGCCATGGAGAAAAAACTGGAGTACCTCTTTAGAGCGACAGCTTTACGTGAGAACCCAGCGCAGACCTTGCTTGCTCGTGTTGGTTTGGAGGGGGGGCGTAAGCAGTAGGCTGACACTTCCCTCTGCTGGGTGGGAATGGGAGCTGTGCGATAGAGTAGGAACTGCGTATCACACTCAGTTGCACTCCAACTTCAACTGCAGTCGGCACTATACAATCTGATGGGGCTGATCGAACAGCTCCAAAAATGCATCTTCAAGGTGCTCGTCGTCTTTATGCGTCTGCCATCACGGTTCAACCCAATCGTGCCCGGCGAATGCCCGTTATCCTGCGCTTTCTTTTTCCGCGCGCGACTGATTTAGTTTGCGACAGCAAACGCACGAAGAGGGCGAGCGCCGATGCACTTTGGCACTGCTCCAACGGCCCCATCAAATTGTAGCGTCGTCTGCAGTCGGACTTAACACAGAATGGAGTATTTCATTATGTCCCGAGAGATAGCCTGCCCTCTGACACAATTTGCTATTTCTTCCGAAACTCCAAAAGATAGCCCACTTCTAGTGATTGCAGGTCCCTGGCCAACGGTGACCTCGGCAAAAACGTTGTTGATTATCTACGGCGGCAGATAAGCGACCATTGCTGACTGGGAAGGACGGACGTCTTTGGTTCATCGCCCCCATCTTGCGATCGCAAGTTTCGAGGGTCACAAAATTTAGAACCAGCATTTTGCCAACTGTTCTGTAATGGCGCATCGAAAGTTAGCCAGCACATTATTTTCATCCGATTTGCCATCAATTTTGGTGGGCTGCCTCTCGGAATATTACGGTAGTCGAATGGACCTAGTGGCTGCGGAGGCATTCCACAGTCTGCCCGTGTGTGTGTGTGTGTGTGGTGGAATTTCGGAGATGATGCGATGCCCCCATAGAAGAGGACTAAGAGAATGAGAAGTCCTTTATATATTCACAATTCCTTCGCCACGACGTGTGACATTGCATGTCGTTTCGATAGCAAGGGGCCACTCGTCAAGGATCCTGTCGAGCGTAATTGCCCCTTCGTGTCATCCGACGAAAGGTCCGAGCCGGACGAATTTCTCCGAAGTCTCAAAAACCGGCGAGCGTCTTTCATCCGCGTGTGTTACCGCCAAAACGTGACCAAGTTGCTTTCATCGTGTCTACAATGCCTTGAATACGTCTTTGACCGGTCTGTTTAGCATCCTGTCCTGTCCGTGCATGGACAGGACAAGAGCCAACAAATCTTGACGACTAATGCTAGATGTCCCTGCATAAAGTATGAATGAACACAACCATTGCCGTCTCCTTTTCCAGACCGGACGAAAATGAGTGTGACTCCGCGACCACCGAAGCCGGTTCTGCCAGCGTGCCGTCGTTGTCAAGGTCTGACACCACTCCAGCGGCGGCGCCGACGACACGGCCACCCGCACCCCCACCACCCGTGCAGAACGGGCCACTCTGAGCCGAGCTTACGGAACTGTTGCCGCCAACGTCACGGCGAGCAGAGTGGCGAAAAGTCCGTCTCTCGACATCATCGAAGCCTCCGTTTCTCTTTGTCATCGGGGAGCGGGTAGAAGACCGTCGTCGTCGGCTCTAGAACAGTCGGTCGTTCGGCGACCGTTTCTTTTTCTTTGTAGGTTCGATTGCGGCGACAAAGACGAGGGAGCGCGGGTTGTGTATCCGGCACGAACCACGCACGATGCGTGTGGTTTGCTAAGAGAGCTCATCTAAGCCAAACGGGCCTAGCACATACCTCGCTCGTAGTGTGGTTTGTGCAGGACGCATTCTGTGCTCCGTCATCTTGGTCGGCGTTGTCGAGTTTTTTTGTTTTTTTTTCTCTTCCCTTGCACTTTGTGTTTGTGTGTTCCCTTTTCTTGTCAAGTGCTCGTGGGTGAGAATGCGCACGAAAACTGCTTTTCGTGCGAGTTGTCCGATTGTTTTTGTTTCTTTATTACCGCTGCAATTGTTTGGTTGCCGTCGCGGAGGATAGCGTTTGTCCCGTACGAGAAAGGAAAGAATTAGCCGTCTGTGCTCAACTTTTTGTTTTTTGCACCACCTTAATTTGCGCCACTTTGAGCGTTTTTGATTTTGATACATTGTTTATTGCCACGGCTGAGTTCTGTTTTAGAAGACACGATCGAAACCGTGCAAAAAGGATTCCACTTTTCCTATTTTTCGTCACGTGCTACACCGTCGCTGCGTTTTCACTTTCGTTATGGTTGCATTTATTCCTTAGGAAAACACAGAGTAGCCTTTACGTATGTTTGCTTTGTCATTATTAGACATTTTATGTGTGTTTTTTTATTTAAAATAAAAGGCAGTATTAGAAACCAGACCGAACGTACCGATGATGTTTTGAGCTCTTTATAATTATTTTTTACTTTTCATTTGTGTTTTGTTGACTGCAACTTGACGGCTGTAGGCGGAGATAAAAATTGACCATGTGTGAAAGCAGGCATCAGTGACTGAAAATATTTTGCCTTTGTTTTGTTTGAATCTTGGAGTGGTTGCGACTGAGCTATGCAAGTGGCACTTTTCTGCAGTTGACTTGGGACTCGCGTCACCGTAGTCTTCGTCGCGTGTCTATCAACGTTCTACAGGTCTCGTCATCAAACCGACTTAGTCTGTGCAGAGCTGCAAGCCATTTCGCTTAAAGTATAATTGTGCTCCGAGTACGTCAGTTACTTATGGCAACACAAGGTGCAGCGTGCGCGTTTCAGGCAGACAATTCAACGGTGGCCCGCACAAACTTTTGTTACCTGATGTAGCAAGTTTTTCCTCTTTGCAACATGGTCATTTCTCAAAACTCTTTTTTCGCTCTTTCCTTTTTCTTTTTTTTAGTCTTGGTTCTTGCTTATACTTTAGCAGACGGGCACACTTAACCGCGGTTAGGTGTGTCAGACTTAACTGCGGTTGAGGATGTCAGACTTGCGTCCTAAACCACGGTAATGTTTAAGAAGGGTTAGCAGTTGCTGCCAACTGTACTATAGTACACGGGCACCCTTAAATAGCAGTTACGCCCGACCTCATTCACATTTAACTGTGGTTAAGTGCGCCGGTTTAGCTAGGGTATTTGTTGGCATAGTTGGATGTTGCTCAGAAGGGTCAGGCGCTCGAGAATGGCTTGCGCCGACTTGGCGCGTTGACGGAGTGTCCAAGTCACCCGCGTTTGTAGGTTAGCAGCACGCCAAACGTAGCCATCATGCGAGGCAAAGTCGAATGTTGTAGCGGTTTGTCCGTTTTGCGAGGCAGCGAGGTGCGCCTGCTTTGCTTAGACTTTTTTGGTTTGTTTTGTTTTTGAGCAGGGAGAGATTTGGAAGTAATCTCTTTCTAGCGCTGAGGTGGCGAAGTGCCTTTCACGCACCGGCTGGCGAAAAGAACGAAAATGGGCCGACAAAAGCGTGCGGACGACGACGACGGGAGGGGAGATTTTGCCGCGGCTTTTTTTAACACTTGCTCGCGCCCCTGGAGAGGGATATCCCAGTCTCCTTCCGTTCCCGTACTTTTCCCGTACTTCGAGCGTTCGTAGTTTTGCCGAGCAACTGAGGGGAAGGAGGAAAGCAGACGATTGCAAACCGATGCAATAAAGCTTTGGAAAACGCCGGCTCTGTGCCTCGCCGCTCATTTTGTGTCTTCTTATGGGCGGAACATTTCTGTCCGCCCGTAGCGTGCATAGCTGAAGCCGGGCTGTGCACGCACACAAGTTGATTTCAAGACAACGACAAGTGCCGCCTTGGACGCCAAAGTTGGGGTTGCACTGCTCGCACATCATATAAAGGACAGTGTTCGCTGCACATACGATGCCAGAAGTATCTGCGGACATGCCTCGAGCACGTTCGAACCATGTTTGCCTTGTACATGGGTATGCTTAAAAGACATCTGCAGACGGTTTATTGGGGGACCGTACAAGGAAGAAGCACTGCTCGGACAGCGTCTGCAGACTCTCTTGTATGAAGCGGTGCGACCTCGGCCGAGAGGCCCATTCATACATGCGCCGCAGCACAACCTCAGTGCCATTAGTCAGGGCCGGAAATAGCGTTCACCTTGTTGGTGCAGTGCTGATGCAGCTTGAAGTTACTACATTCAAGTCGGCACTGTGATGGCACTGGTCTCGGTATTGATTGAATGCTGCAATGCATTTGTGAACTGGCCTTAACTGTGCACATTCTGGAGTGGAATAAAATTAATGGAATGACTTTACAGTTATGGGCTGCATGGCGTTGCAATTTTTGGTTTTATCGACGCTCGAGTTTGTCCTTAAGGTAAGGTTTTAAACCAATACATCTGTTCTGGTCTTTGTGGCAGTTGGTGGCATACCTTGGCTATATGAGCCTTTTGGTCGGCAGCACTTGATGACACGTAGCGACTGCATGCACTCTAACTGCACTGACCTTGTTGGCTTTATTAATCGACCACCAATGCGCCGCGCAAGTTCGTCTCTCTTGCGGGGGTTGTGGTGACGTCGGAACGTCGAGCCCCGATTAACTCCGAAGGATAGTGGGTAGACCTCAAAGCAAGCTGCCTCAAAGCAAGCTGCCTTGAGGTGTTCCCACTATTTTTTCAATCGGAGCTCGGTGCCGTTTTGTTGGCACCGCAACTCCTGCTCAAGAAGCAGACGACTTGCTCTCCGCATAGGTGCTGGAATTTTCTCATTTTTTGCAGAGCTGCTTTAAAAATAAAATGGAGGATCATAGTACAACTAATTACGTATCACCAATTGCTAATAATCAACGAAATCTGAACATGTGTAACAATCCTTGCTTTATTTGTCCATATATTAAGCTCTGAAAGGACCGGAAGCGAGACAGGCGTTCTAAACGACCTCGAAAGCCGCCATGGTGGTGACAAAGGACGACAGCGTCGCAGCCGCCGCAAAGGCCAGTTGCCAGTGCTGGGTGATACGCGGGGGAAAGGGGGTGGGGTAGGCCGCGTTCATTTACGTGCCGTTGTGGCTAGGGGCCCATGCAAGGAAAAGTAGCCCTACAGACTGCACGAACTTAAAACACTCGCGTACGCAACCATCGAAGCGCTCCTTTCCTGCAGACCTTGCCTGGGCGCTGCCATCTTTGTCCACTGGGCTCTGAAACGCGTTCTGAGCGTGCGCAGTACCTTTCACGAAATATGAGACACCGCGCATGCGTTCATAGCGAGGTGACTCGGCATTTCTCGGCTTCCTACGCACTCGTTGCCTTTCACCGTACTTTGATTTCGCATGCAGGTGGAGGCTCGCAAGGTACGCTGAACCTTTGTATCGGCAGGAAGCTCCCGCTGGACGCAGGACAACTGAAATACCTGCCCGCCGATCTCATCCTGTCAGTTGCTGCAAATTAGATTGAGATCGGGTACCACAACTGGACAGCAGCTTATGTGGACAAATGGAGTGCTAGGCCGCAAACAATCCTACAAGCGCAATACCAATGCTTTTCATTCTCAGGCAAATGGACCCTCCGTCGTATAGCGCTCTATGCAGGCACCGACTCGAGATTCACTGAGAAGGTCTTAAACGCTCTCCGTCTCGGCAGTTGAGATTATTAGAAAGCGGAAATACATTTAAGTCAAGTGTACCGCCAGAACCTGAGGTCCGCCATCTTTTTTTCAAACTTGGCGCGCATACTTGGCAACGCTACCATGAAAAAAAAAGTTTACTAGCAGCTTTCACGTTGCTTTTTGGAGAAATATGGCTCGTTAGACGGCAAACTCGAATTATTTGGGGCCCTCTTTAAGTGAGCATCGACCGGACAGCGGTGACGAACATTTCGGGAACTGCAAAATCTAGAGCACGAAGCGCTGCCTCCCCCTGTCAATGTCATTTCTCCGCAGGGCAGGGTCGTGAGGCGGCGAAGCCAACTTGCGGGGGCATCGCTCTCAGTTTCAAACTAACCGTTTCGCCGCGTGCATTGAAACGAGGCCCGACTTCGCCTGTCTGCGCGTATTTTGCGGGTGAGTCTGTGAGGCTTCTTTTGCGACGGATGCGGTTCTTGGGCGAGCCCGCGTTTAAGCGAAATTGGAAACGAGGTCAAACTCAATTGGTGCAGCGGAACCCCACTTCCCGAGGCCTAGTGACATAGAAGGGCCTCGAGTGGGGAAATATAAGCGCGCTTCCCGCGCGGAATAGTTCTTTTTAATGCTCTAAAATTATCACCATTCATGAATTTATTGCCACGTAACTTCTAAAAATCCTCTCGACGTGACGTTTTTGCGTTAGTGCAGGAACGCGCGGGCTCGGTCGACCGATTCGAACGTTATCGCTCGCTACACTTTGTTAAACTAGGCGAATTTCTCCTTAAAAGAAATTCTAGAGGGTTAAGGAATGACTTAGAATTAGTTGAACAGATTGAGATGGTCGTCACGAACGTAAATTCTTGTCAAACACGTTACAAATCCGAGATCGGTGCGGTGTACGCAACTACGGCTGGATTCGATTCAGCCGCATTTGTGTTTACCGGAGCCCGACGCGAAGCCACCGCTTGAAGCCAGCAATCGGTGAGAACGACGCCTGTTTTATCCCAATTTTCCGCCCAATCCTTACGTAATCGGACTCACAAACAAGCGGGAAGGCTTCCCGGTGCTAGGCAAACCGATCTCAACCGATGACATCGCCACAAAGCCTCGCGATGCCGACACCTTTCTTGGCGGTTACGTGCGGCTAGGCCTAGGCGCACCATTCATTCCCGTGTCCGCGGCGTCGTTTCGACGCGTTTACGCCGCTTGACAGCCCCAAATTTGCGCCAGTTTCCCCTAATCTGATCCCGATTTACATTTTGGATGGATCGGAAGCCGTGTCACGGTGTGACAGCGCGTCGTCGGCGCCCAGCGTCGCGGTCCGAGCGCCAAGCGTGCGGCGTTGAGGGCATTGACCGCTCCCTCAGATCGATATCCAACGCTGCCTGGCTCCTATTCCGAAGGCTACGATTTTTACCTTCAGTTCGTTTCCCCCTCTCGTTTCCCGTGGTTCCGTCGTCGACAGCCAATATCGTTATTTTTTTATTTTTTATTTAGCTACTCGCCTCTTACAGGAATTCCAATTGGACGGTGGGGTAATCATGTCTAGCGACCTGTGCAGGTTGCGTCGGCGCTAACGTGGGTTTAATTTTTATTTCTCTTCGACTCCGCGCTGCGCGCAGTGGGTCGCCAGGCACGGATTCATCCCTGACCTACATACGCTTCGTGTCGCTTTTGAACGTACCACACTGTCAATCGTCCGCGGTTCGCACCTCGCGATCGTGTATGTTTCGGGAAACCTGATAGGCAAGCTGGCCTTTCAATGCAATGACGTCAAAATCCGAGCTTAGCTCGCTGCGTTTTTGTTGTTTCTTCTTTTTTTTTTTTAGGTTGCGTACAAGCGTGACGCGGCAACGTGAGCGCGAATGCTAAGCTGCTAATTCTGCACACTCTTGAACAGACGATAGTGATAGTAAGTACTTTTGGTGCCGTTCGGTGTGCAGGCGTCGGGCGATTGTAACGTCACATGTGCTGGCGTAAGGAGCGGAGTTGCGCATCATTGCACCGCGGCGTGGGCACACAGCGAAGGCCTCGAGTCTGAGGTTGTCGAGGTCAAAGCCTCCGAAGGCGCAGATCTTACGTGCGCACCTCCGCGGCTTGCGTCGCAGCTTGAAAGCAGACGTACAGTTGGTACAGTGGCGTAGCCAGGAACTTTTTTCTTTTAAAGGGGAGGGAGGGGGTGCTGGGGGCTGGGGCTAGAGGCTAAACGGCTAAACTGGCTGAAGACCCATAGGCCCCTCCACTGGCTACGCCACTGCAGACGTGGTCACACACGCAACCGAGTGTTGAAGCCGTGCTTCTGATCAACAGCTTTGATAATTCAAAAATGTGAGAATGACCACTTGTGTGGCGTAAACGGGCGTCTAGACACACGGTCGTCAGCGTGCTATGAACTCGCTTCTGCTCCAAAGTCGCCAAAGACATGCACAGACAGTTGCACCAGCTCGGCTGCTTAGAAAATTTTCCCGTTTTCCTTTTGCGGATCGCGTAAAACGGCCGTTTTCTATGCTTTTCTCATGCGTCGCTCTTGCGGGGGTTTAGCAACCCCGGTCGCCGCCTTGGGATGTCGAAAGATCCCCAAGTTGCCTCATAAGTCCGTCTGCGCGGATGCAACCGCCACTAAAAAAACAAAACAAAAAACACCGGTTTCGCCAAACCAGGCGAATTCGGGGACTCGTCCGGTAACACTGTACCCTTCGACCCGCCGGAACCGAAACCCAACTGCCCTAACTCTTGTTAGCAATGGCGGCATGCTGTGAATGCCGTGAATGCGATACGAAGCACCGATTCAACGATTTCCGAAGGATATGGGTTGATTGATGTCACAAAGACGTCCTCTCCGTGATAAAGTTGGTATTAAACGTCCCACCAATCGCGCCCTTGGCGAGATCTGGCTGCTGCCAGCGGCGGCCGCGGTGGTGGTGGGAAGGAATCGATATTTTGCACCGCCGTGTCTCCCGTGACGTCGAAAAAGCGATACAAAACTACAAAAGGAAAAAGGCGCACTGCCCCATCGCGAGCGTGCGCTGCTGTGTCGCAAAATCGTTACCGTCAAGTCGGAACGGTCGCCTTGCGCCCTAGCGAAAGTGTCAAAAACGCAGTTTTTGGGACGTGCGGAGATTCGACGGCGTAGCAGCAGACGACGCAAGGGAGAGTTGCAGACGACGGCAGGTCGTCCACTGGTTTCTGTTTCGTCGTCAATGAGTGCCAAGCTCGTCGCGCTAGGGCGAGTTTGGTGTCGGCGAAGGACATTTAGGGAGAGCAGTGCGACGGACCGTGGGTACGCTGCCCGATGACCTTTGCCGCGGTCTTTCTCTTCCTTGCCCGCCGAGGCTGCCGAGCGAGCGCACGAGATGTATGGCGTTGCGAACTGTCATGGGGCATGGATAGTCGCGACATTATTATTCATTATATATATATATATAGCATGCTTGCTTTGCGTCGTCCAAATGTCTGTAATTTCAAGGAGACTAAAGGCTGAGGTCGTGGTTGGTTTGGTTATCACAAACCGCAAGTAATGTCTATAGTGCCTGTCTAGCAGTAATTAAGAATTCATGGTCTCACACAATTACTCATCAATGTCTGTATTAGCAGTGGTTTTCATCACAATTGGTTGTAATGGGAGACAGGTCAAAATTCATTAGCACCATTCATTTGTGAACAGATGCCCAGTTTGCACTTGCGGACCTTGTGGAGAGGTAAGACATCTCCAGGAAAAGCTTGGAGTAAGACCAGATCTGTTTGCATCGAGCCTGTTTTCTTATGACACTACAACAAAGCATCGCTGCACCGCGAAATCTCTGTCTGTCTGTACTACATGGTTTTTTTTTGTGGGGAAAACATTACTTGCCCCATTCCTTACGAACAGCCGCTGCCGTAGCATTGCATCAAGATGACGTCAAGCTACAGAACTTCTATGGCTACGGTTCCATGGAGGCTCTCCCAGTTGCACTGGGGCACGGAAGAGTCGAGCTGTGGCTAACAAGTGGCAGGAGAGGGCATAAGCTCTGTGCCAACACTGCCATCTAGATAGCGAGCCATAGTGGTGAACTCTTCACGTCGCCAACACACGTCCAATTCATCTTCCGTGCTGCCTTCCGGTTGGCGACGTGAAGAGCCTAGCACTACAGTCTTGCTGTCTATACTCGATTTCAGCTTAGGATGAATTGTAGTGGATGCTACTAGCCATCTAAGCCGATCCAGCACTGTGAACATACCACATAACTACGCGCCCTGCGCCTCGCAGCGCCCTTCTCAAAGGCCACGCGACACTCTCGCATCACTGGATTGGCCGGGATGTCTCGTAGCGTCCACTGCGGTCCAGCATAAGGTGAAACGGAGTGTAGGAGGTGTTGTCTGTACCCTGTGTCTCGAGTGAGGCACCAAAACTATAGAGCTAATATAGTAATCTAGACGGAAAGGTCCCACACATTTTGGTTGCCTCGGCGGTGCATAGGTGCGGACGTCGGCGGTCCCGATGGGACCGTATTGCTGGCGACGCTGTGGTATGTTCAAAGTAGCAGGAAAGTGTGACTTGCAAAACCTATACTTAACGTTATTCTAGTTTGTTTGTTTTTTGCGCAAAAACACCGGCGTTGCACAAAAATTAATAAAGCCGACAAGTTGAAGTCGTTCGACGGCTATTGAACAAACTCATCGCGCCAAAACGAACGTGCTTAACTTGTCGTCTGGTTCCCCTTGAAATCATCTACATCGGCGCTCACGATTTGCCGCTCCCGTCTTTATCCTGCGACCGAAACGGATGACTAAGTGCATTGTCTGGTCGCAGTTGGAGGAGCTGGTGACGCCCGCCATGTTTAGCTTCCACAAGCCCAAGATCTATCGGTCGGCCCTGGGATGCTGCATCTGCCGTGCCAAGTCCTCCTCGTCCCGCTTCACCGACTCCAAGAAGTATGAGCCGGAGTTTGCGCGCTGCTTCCGCATCGTGGAGGAGGACCGGCGCTCGGGCGAGATCTGCAATGCCTGCGTCCTGCTCGTCAAACGCTGGAAGAAGCTGCCGCCCGGAACCACCAGGGACTGGCACCACGTGAGTCCCGCCACGCCAAGACGCTTTGCGGTCCCTCAGCTGCTGCAGATGAGAGCGGGCGGCGTGCGCCGTGCTCGGTGTCGGCTATTCCGTGCTGCGACGTCGACTCTAGTGTAGCTTCCGCAATGCACCGGTGCTGTCAGAGCTACGTGCGCGAGCGCGTGGCTTCGTTTGGTGTCTGTTTCGCTCAAAGGTGTGTTCGCCTAAGCGACGCGGTGTGTGTATCTACAAACTCGATTTGCTCCTCGGTGTTCCGGTCTTTTTGCTCCTTTTGCGGAAGGTCTCCTTCCTTAGGGGCATGATTTGTTACCTTTCTGCAGTCACTTTCACGCACGAGAGGTAGGGGACTTGCCGGTTGCTTACCAGATGCTCATTTGTCTTTAAGTCGTAAAGGTTTCACTAATGAGGTCTGTGCAGATGAGTTATACGGCCAGTGGGACTTTGGCTAATCGTCGCGATAAGTTGGCTAATTAACTAATAGTCGTTGATTGACTTTTTGATTAGTAGAAATAAACATACGATTCCAATTAGAAACTTGCTGCGCTTCATTGAAAACCACTAAGCGAGTAATTTTAGGAAACACTGAGCTCGTGGAAAGCGCAGCAGTGCACCAAAGTTACCGCTCGAGCAACAGGCAGAAGGCTGGCAGTGGGAAACCGCGGATAATAAGAGGCATAAAAACCACGCAGGTGCGTTATTGCACCAGTTGCCTCGCTTTTGCTGCACAAGTGGTAACTTTAGTGCTTCCCACGTGGTCCGAGTCTTTGTAACGTTGACTGATTTAGTGGCTTTCAATGACACCCAACAAGTTGCTTCAGAACCGTACCTTTATTTAGCCTAATTAAAAAGTCGATGAACGTGTTTCTAGTTAATTAGCTGACTTACCGTGATGACTAGCCCCCTCCAATATGTCCCCCTGGCCGTACGAATCGTTCGCGCAAACAGCAGTATTGTGGCTTTTGAAACTTTTTTAAACAAATCTGTAAAGCCTAAAAAAACACACCTCGTACACATCTCTTCAACGTCTGCATGCCCGCCAAGGGCGCACGTGCGTGCGCGTCGCTTTGGAAAGTCTTTTCTATAAGCAAGTTTTCGCACAAGCAATGCGTTCTGCCAATCTAGTTCGACACCGCATAGAATAATGAAAGCTTGCGATCATCCTCCGCGCGTAACACTGTCACACTCGGGTGGCTTTTGTTGGGTAATCTGGCCCGAGCCCGACGGCGCGTGCCTCTCAACGCATTGGCCGGACGCCGGTGCAGCGCTGTTGTCCAATCCATGTCTGCGCTCGATCTAGCCGTGACGAAGTCGAAGCGCCATAGTCAAATTCGTCTTGCGGTGGTTCGCAGTAGGCGGCACGAGCCGTCCCAGTCAATTCACCGCTGCAAACGTGACACGTGACCATGCGCGTCGCTGTGCCCATCCTGAAGATCGCACAACGCTCGCGTGGCATTTCATTATTTTTGTTGGCTCTTAGCGTCCTTAGCAGTTCGACGTAAGGCAAGCGGAGTGTAGCACGTGGGTTTCCATTATTCTACTAGTGTTCTCGAGCACTGTTCGGGCATAAAACGATTAGTACGAATGGGCCTGTAAACCGAGTGCAATGAAACTTTTTCACAAAGCTGTCTTTAGGCGGTGCATTTTATCATGCTCGAATTTCGTGAAAGTAAATTTCTGAAACAAAATTGCAACTACGGGTGGATGGCGTTCTCAACGCAACCGGCGGCAACTTTTTTTTCTTCTTTTTTTTTGAAGTGCGGGAGAAACACAGAGGCAAACTGGTGCTGCCACTCATATATAACACCACACGGCTTCTTAGAGATGAACAGACTAAAGCTGATTCAGCAGATCCGTGCCCGTCTGGTACGATATGCGAGTACTGTATCTACCCAATGGTTTGCTTCTGATTTTCACCCTCTCATAGGAAAAAAAACAGTATTTATTTTCTTGCATTTTTTCTTATCGTTCATTGGCTTATTTATAGGATTTTTTTTACGTTCAAATAGCGCCGTAGGTGGTGTTGGCCGGGCTCGTGCGCCTTTGCCTTGGTTTGCGCCGTAAACATTCATGAGGCGGCCTACATCCATCGTCGCGTGTTTCTCGTGTCATCGCATGTTACCACCCTTCCCTGATCTCGCCTCGAACGGGACGTCCAGGTGGTTGACGCTCGCGCGGGCCCCGGCACCAAGTGCGTCAACAAGGGCAAGGTGAAACCCCCCAAGCGGCCGCTCAAGAAACACCGGCGCCGTCACCGGCTGGGGGCCGACAAGCGCTGCAAGATGGACATCGGTGGAGGGGCCCTCTCCGACGACGTCACAGGTCGGTGGGCTCCTCCTTGCCTCATGCCTGTCGCACTCTATGGCGTCGGGCAAATGGGCCTAATCCACCTTAATTAGATCTCGAAAAATTAGTTTTGCGTCCTCCAACACCGTGACGGACCTTTCTGGAAAATCCCGCGAGGCATCTCATCAACCCCTCGTTGCACCGCGCGGCTCGGGGAATCGTGGGGTCGCTATGACATACTCTTGCTGCATCCTGGAAGTGGCTCAGTTGCTTCTCTCTTACCGCTGCAAGTTGAGAACACAAAAGAAAAGGGGGAAATGCGTCACGGAGCCCATACATACCCTATTTTGCTATTTTCCTGCTTTCTTCACGTTCTCAAATTGCAAAAGGCTAAACAAACACGAACCGCTCCTTCTTTTATGGTCTCAAAAAGAAGACGGGAGGCGGTGCATATTTCTGAAAAGGTCTATTTGGCACACAAGTATGGCTGGATGTTATGTTTTTGTTTCAGAATTATCAACAAACTGACCTCAGTCAAATGTTATAACTAAAAACTATAATTTTCCCACGGACCAGGCTAAGCCTTTTTCATGCCGATACAAAATAAATGTTGCAAACATTTTTAAATAATTAAAAAAAAAAAAAATACACTGAATAAACTAATTCTGACTTTTGCTTTTGTTCCATGTCTTGTCCAATAAGACATCCCTGTGACCCGCAAGAAGCTTTCAGGCTAGGGCTCACGCTCAAAAAAACCTGTCAGGTGTGGACTGGGTTTGGGCCTTGCCAATACCGGGCTAGGTCGGACCGGTCCTCTAAACCAGGGGTCTACGATTTTTTTGGCTTAGGAGCCAGATTAGGGATATGTCGCAGTCTCCAGAGCCGCAACATAAATGAGAAAATACTAAATACAAAGTTCTGGAATAGAGGAAAAAAAAATTTAAAAGTATAAGGCGAATAAATACATACCTTATTTTCCGGATTACAAGTCGCACCCTTGTATAAGTCGCACATCCATATATTGAGCCGTTTTCGTGGAAAAGTTGGTATATAAGTCGCACCTTTGTATAAGTCGCACCTCTTTGCACGGTTCACGCGATGAGTTCTTTAGTTTACGCGCATTGGTGCCGCAAAATCTGAGTTTTGCACAATCGCTAGATTGCACGTTCCGTTTGACGCACGTTTCAACTTGCGAGAAATGCCCATAGTATGGTGCTGTCTGGCAGGGGCAATCGAGTGTTTCGCAGCAAAAGGACGTAAAATGCGCAAAATGAGAGGGTAGTCGAATTTATCCGAGCAAACGCATGCCGAGCGAACGAAAGTTTAAGGAGGTAGACACTCGCGAACCAAGCTTTGGAGCGCTAGGCCTAGCCTAGGCCAAGTCTTGGAGACGACGCGAGCATCGATTCGCAGGCAGAAAGATCAACCTTGACATACTTTTTCTGGTACCTCTAAAAGATTGGCTAGCCGCAATCTTTCCTTTTACATGTAGCAACACGGCTGGAGCATGGCACAAAAAAACTGCTGATCAAACGGAAACTAAGAAAGACGTGAGGAAGTAATCTGCACATGGTTAAAATCGCGCACAAAGAGACGAGGACAAACGAGGAAGGAACACAGAACACAGACAGGTGCGCCTGTCTGTGTTCTGTGTTCCTTCCTCGTTTGTCCTCGTCTCTTTGTGCGCGATTTTAACCATGTTCAACGTTTACCAACTCGCCCAACTTACTACTCTTCTACTGAGGTAATCTGCAATGCGCATATACCAGCCTACTTACTTTTCAGTGTTACTGGACTGAAGCAAAAGAATACGGAACCATGGCTGAACTTGGCAACATCAATAACATGCTGTAAAAGCTTTATTCTCACTGTCTTGCCTATCCACATTGAGCCACTTCAAGGAAACCATAAAAATTTTAATATCGCACTCTGGGTCAAACTAGTGTGGCGACAGCAGTGCCTCCTGGAGTGGGAAACATCACCTATGGCTACGTTGTTATGGTGCTCTACAAGAAACATGTGCGCACCGTATAAAAAAAAATAGCGTTGCACCTCGAAAAAAAAAAGCGACTTGTATATTAGAAAATACGGTATAAAAATGAACTACGCATCGCCGTACGCTCATTCTTCACCCAAACAGAGTGCTAGCGGTTCGATCCAGGTGCCGAAGTGTCAGAACTAAGCTCTATTTCATTCAAAAGTTGTAGGTAATTTTATGATTTTCATACGAGTAGCATCGAATGTCCCAATGCACAAGGCGCAGGTCCCGCGCGGCCCTCGGAAGCAAACGACGACGTAGCCTCGATATAAGTGGCCCTAGGAAGTGAAGGGCGGGCACATATCTTGAGCGTTAGCAGAACAATAGTTGGCGGTACTCGCGAGAATTGCGAGGCGCGAATTCGATCGAGGGGCTTTTTGCCGTCGCAGTCGGGGATGACAGCATGAGCGAATCTTCGCTGCCGTCTCCGCCGGAGAGCCGGGCCACGAGTCCGACACCCAGCAACTCGTCGGAGGATGAGGACTCCGTGTGCGGCCTGCTGGAAGAGGAGGAGGAGGAGCGTGGCCGGAGAAGGGGGGCCAAGGGCGGCAAGAAAAAGAAGCCCCGGGACGGCTACCTGTTGGGCAGGAGGGCCAAGTCGGCCCCCTTCCGCATCTCCTCCTTCCTCGACATGAGCTTCTGGAGAAAGTGAGTTGGGCATGCCGCCTCTGTTTTTGTGCCAGCCCGGGCCCTGGCACAAGCGTTGTTCCCCTTTCAATCTTTTTTTTTTTTTTCTTTTTCCAGATAAGTGTTTTGTCATGTAGCCTAGGTTAAAATTTTCCACTTTCAATCGTTTGTTAGTTTGGGTACAAACCTCGAAATGACCCGTTTGGATTGACCTGCGACGTCCCGACACCGGTGATGGGATTGCTGCACCAAACTGCGCCAAAGCGCTCACCCTTCTACATCTTGCTACATTTTGTTGAAATGTGAGGAATTTGTGCCAACATTGCGTCAAAACCTATTTTCACTTCACTATTACTGAACTTATAATAAATCGGGCCTCGCTACACGGCCATACGTTACGGCGGGCTTGCGCAAACTTCCAAAACTTGCGGTTATCGCCTCAAATGACGTCATATCCGATTTGATCTCCGTACCAAACAATTATTCTGATGCTGATTGTCTGTTCTGGCCGGATGGCCAGCATGGTTGAGTGCAGTCGATTAGCGTTGTGTCGCGGCGCTGTGTCCCATCCGTTACCTTTTGCTTTGTCTTCGTCTTCGCATTGTTTTTACTTTGCTGAGTGATTGTTGAGTTGATTATAGATTTATAAAGGATACTTGAGTAATGCGAGAAAACTTTTATGAGCTGCTCTATACATTTATTTTTTATGTCAACTTCCGCAGTTATTACCTTTATATAGGTTCCATTCGTTCAATGGCACAGCGAATACAGAAAATTAAAACTAAATTGGCTGGGATCAATGCGACCCTGGAAATAACCTGAATGAGTTCGGCGTGGATGTTCATAGTCAAATATCAAAAGCTTGGTTTTCTACCTAAATCAAGATGTGCAGTTTTATTACAACTTCAGAACTTAAAGAATGCATCATTTTGGAAGCTTGAAATTATTACATTGTCATTATTTCATTGGACTGTTTGGTCTATGTTCGATTTCATACCTAAAATAACCATGCACAGCCGTTCGTACTGCCCTCCATCAGCTGTTAGCTAGGGAATCAAACCTGCCATGCTGTTGATGCCATCAAAATGTTGCACAGAAGCAGAAAGGCAAAGTAGACATGAACGCATTAATCATTACCTCGATATGTGCACTGGTACGAGTGAAAATGAAATGTGTGCTTATGCTCCAGAAGTACTTTTTTCTACTCCAAAATGGACTTTTGGCTGCTCCAGAAAGTGCTCCAAAATGACTCGGACCAATCGCATCACTGCGACGCGACGAACTGCTCCGTTACCAGTTACCCCACAAAAGATAAGCATTTGGCAAAAGAATAAACTTGACTCCCTTTAGATAGTCTAGTTTGAGCAGCGTAGTGCAAGAGGAAGTTGGAGCCGCAAATAGAAGCAGTCGGGCCGGGCCGGTGCGGAAATTCGTGAAGCACGTAATTGCATGACAGATTAACAGCTCCGGATTGGCCGAGACGGCTCGTGTCCACTGCGGTCGAATCGCAAAGTGAAACAAAGTACCGTGATATCCCGAGAGACGCCCCCAACCCCAAAATATAGCCCGCCCCTATTTTTGGCACAATTTGCTATTTTTCTTTAAACACTGAAAGAAAGCCAGTTTTTAGTAATTGCAGGTCCCTCGTCAATGGTGACCTCGTCGAAGACGGCGTTACTTCACCACGGCAGGAGATAAGCGAGTGTTGCTCGCTGGAAAGGATAGTCGTCTTTCGAAGTGACTTCTTCCTGCAATCACAAGTTCCAAGAATCACAAAATGTAAAAATTTTTTTATGCCACATTGCAAGTTAGTTTACACCCTATTTTCATCCATTTTGCTATCGATTTAAGGTGGGCTATCTCTCGGGACGTTGCGGTATAGGTGGCGGGGCTGTAGGGCGCAATTTTTTATGTCACCAAATGGATGCCGACGTGGGGCACAGACCGCCGCATCAGCAGCAAAAGGAACTGCTCCTGCGTCCACTGCTGCACTGGCACAACTGCTGTGTCAGCATTCGGCTGCGACTAACGCTCGATAAGTGAAGACGCCAGTTCCCGCCGAACGCCGACGTGGCACTCAAGTCCAACGTATGCCACATTGGTAGGTGACATAGATAATTCCGCACTATGACTTTGCTATCTACCGTAAAATACCGGGGCAGCATCCACCCTACCTCTACAGAAAACTGGGTTAATCTAGACACGGGCGCTTGTACAGTCAAATTGGGCGCTTAATGTATATTTTGGAGAATTTCCAAGTTTTGGAAATGCTAATAGTGGGCGCTCGAACGAGGTGGACGCTCCCACGGTATTTTACGGGGGTGCTGGCGGGACCAGACTTCGGCCCGCGCGTAGAAGACCCGTTGGATCGAGCTGGGCCCCGAAATTCCAGCCCGTGCGGCGTCCTAGAGCTCGGCCCTCTCCTCCAGGGAGAAGGTGTGCTGCGGCATCATCTTCAAGGGCCCCCACGGGGAGGTGCTCATCTACCCCAAGCTGCTGCGCCCGTGCCGGTGTCGCCGGCGCCTCGGCTCCGCCCCGTCGGTGGTCCTGGCCGCGCCGCCGGCCCTGCCCGCGGAGGACGCCGCCACCACACCGACCACCCCCGAGGACGACGTGGCGGCGGCAGCGGCGCTCCTCTTCCCGACGCCCGAGATCTCGGACTGCAACCCAAGCAGCCCCGACGCGTCGCGGGGATCCGCCTCCCTGAGCGGCGGCAGTGATTAACGCCGGCCCTCGTTCTAGCTCCGTGCACGCGTTAATTCTTTTTCGGTTCCTCCTTCTTTCCTTCTCCCGCGTACACCCTAATTTATTTGCCCGTAACTTATTTCCCCCCAACGTCTCGCTCCTCCTTTCCTCCTAGCTCGGCTTCTTTCTTTTTTTTTTTTTAACGTTTGCCGGATTTGTGCATTGCACGGCCCGTCGTTCAATTTGGCATTAGTTTTCACTGCCGGGCCGAGCTTCAGGGAAGATTCCAGACCGTGCCGTGTACGGACGACATGAGGTATCGTTTACCTGTGGTACCCGAAGCTACCATATAGTATCCTTAGGTACCGCATGGAGTATTGTATAGTGTTGTTTACCACTAGTGAACGACGCTGTGCGGTATTGTTTGATTCGGTACCCGAAGCTACTGTATAGAATCCTCGGGTACAGAGTGCGGTGCCACGTGGTGTCATTTACCGTGGATAAACAATATTGTACGGTAATGATTAACTGCGGTACCCCGTACGCGACACCTTTTGTAAATCCAAGGTAACGTGGACCGTCCGCCAGGACGAGGTACTTTCCCGCATGCCTTCGGCGCGGCACGTGAAGCCGGCGTAGGGAGTTTTGTCGCAGAAAACTCCCCGAAATTTTTGTTAGTCTTTGTTGTTGTTGACGTTGTTGTTACGCGTTGTCGGAGGTGGTCCCGGCTGGCGCGAGGTCGCCTTCTCTGCCGAAACTTGTTTTTATACTCCTTGTTATCATTTGGGTGGGGGGGAGCCCGCATTTCGGTCGGTGCGCGTAAATGAAATGAAATATTGTTTTAACGGAGCCGTCTGTGGAGTTCTGGGTGTGGGATCTGGGGAAGAGAACCTAGGGAATTTTTGTATTTGTGGGGTGAAAGGCATTTGCAACATGGACGGGTACATAGTGTGTTGGGCCGCTTGCGGGCGTTTCGATCGACACAAGTCAAGGTCGAGTGACGCCCTAGGACCAGCTTCCAAAGGAAGTATTGTGACACGCAAGGGAACTGCATTAAACTAACGGGTGGAGCAAGGTTTGAAAGCATCGGGCCCGCGTTCTTGGCCAGTTTTGTGCGGAGTCACTGGGGGTGGAAGACACGTTTTGTTGCATCGCGACTCTGGCAAAGCCATTGAACCCAATTCCTCGTTGTGTTGGAGGGGGGGGAAGGAGAGGGGTCAGTTTAGATGGAAAGCAGGTATGACCGCATTCATTTGGCTGAAAAGCCACCACAGCTGTAACATTCCACGGAAAGGGGTCTTTTTCCGACGACAAAGACTGCCACCGTTGATCGTAAGAGGGCCCACGAATCTCCCGCCACGAGACCCGTCAGTATTAGGGCGCCGACGTCGGCCCCACACATTTCTACTTCGCCGTTCAGAACCTCAACTTAGCACTCTATTTCATTTTCTTCGGACGATTGTGTCGGACCGGCCTCCGCCAAACGAGGCACTCCGTGGCACGCATTGAGCCACTCGTATGCACAAACGAAATTCCTCGATAGTCTACGTCGAGCTCAGCTCCGACCAGGAATTCGCGAGTGACATCAGAGAGAGCGGAAGAAACGGTGTCGCAACTCGTGGTTCCGGACTTCGCCGAATTGACAAACTGCTCTGAGCTTTTTGTCGGCGGCGCGAACGGTTGGCGCATAATCTCGCTCCAGAGCTTGGACCGTCGCCCTTTCCGCACGACGCGTCCGTACCACGTGTGCGGTGCGGTTAAGGTGCCTGTAAAGCGTCTCCAACCGGCATTTTGTCGTGTCCTAAAAAGTGGTCCCTCGATTTTTCCCCAGTGGCTTTGTAGAAATGTTACGCCTTCGCCGAACAGACCCTTTGCTCACCACGATTATGCACAACCCCGTCTGTTGGGACGGCAACTGACGCAAAGACAGGCGTGAGTCTCATTTTGAGTGCGGTGACCGGTCTTGGACGGGGAGCTAGACAAACCTCTGCGCTGCAATAGCAAGACTTTTTTTGGGTTGAAACACAGGCGCCAACGGTGCGTCACGTCGAACCGGCAGTCTCTTCAGCGGTGTCTAAGTCCGGACGAGTTTTGAATTAATTTCGTTCTGCTCGCGGCTTTGTTCCTGTTTGGAAACGGTTTTTGAGCTGAAATGCACGTGCAGCCGGGCCGCATAGGTTTCGTCTCGTTTTGAAGTTCAGACGCCGTTCGCCACAAACATTTCGGGTACGAGAGTGGTCAGATCCCGGAAACTTGCTCCGACCCGGAAACGGCATCCAACCGTCGTTGCAAAAGAAAAAAAAAAGAAGCAACTCCGATTGTTTTGCGGTGTCCTCTTCCGCGAGACTTTTTCCATTTTTGTACTTGTCTAGTCACGGCAGCGGTCTCCTAAAAAAATAGGGGAAGCACGCCGCGGTTTGCGTTGCTCGTTTGACGTTTTTTGGGGCGGGGCTGGGGATCAAGCCTCAAAATAAAAGGAAGGAAAGAAAAAAAAAAAAAGGCGAAGAAGACCAACTTAGCTCACAACACACAAAGTTAATGCTTGTTTTGCTGTTCTGGACCCAGAACAACGAATGACGCTATGACTGGATCGGGTTCGAGGTGGCCATCAAGCAAAGCTCGGCCATCTTTGATAGCAGGTAGAGTGGGCACGGGGATGTGAAGCACTGCGGCCGTTGCATGCAATTTGCGAGCAATGCGCCGCAAACCAACGTTGTGGGACCGTATTCTCTCCTGCGCGGCCAGTAAGGAAAGTTTATTGCAGATTGCCATCGAGCCCCAGATTTGACGTCGGCGGTCTCAGGCTCGGCTGTGGAGAGTGTGTCCCTCCACAAAAAGCAATTCGGCTCGCTGTGGTAATTGGGATTCAACAGCTCACTAGCCGACCGCAGACCACTCGATTGTCGTTTTCGATCGCTCGGCACCTTTCTCCACGCAGAGAAGGACAGAGGAAGGACGATCCACTTATGTCACTCAGTCTTTAGATCGTTGCCGCCAGTCGCTTGTCGTCGCAGCCAACGTACGGCCGAGGATTTCCGACGTACGGGCCACGAACGGCCGAGTGTGCAGACAGCTGTCGGTCCATTTGGCAAGTGGAACGGAGCAGTTTGTCAGCAATGAATGGTTGTTTCTCGGTAGTGTACCACGGTTGGAACCGGTGTTAATGGGCCCGTAGGCGGGTTGGGGTAGCGAGCTGTTTGTCGACGTTGTTGTCAGCTGTTTCGAGAGTGTTTCACTTCCCCGTCGCTGTTTGTTGAACGCCCGTGATATCCGACGTGTTGGCACCGTGGAAGCGAGCTTTGCTGCGAGACCCGGGTGGTTGTTGAAGCGCGGTTCGCCGACCCTCGGTTCGTGGCCATTGGACGACCCTCCGCTCGTTGCCGAAGCCCGGTTAGTCAGTAAAAAAGTCTGCCGGGCGGCAGGCACCCTGTTTGCTGTTGCAGACCCCAGTTTAACAAATTAGTCTTGCAGGCTAAGGAAAGCGGGACAAGCTCATCCCATAAAGCCCTCCACTCATTCCACTTGGCAAAGGAAACGCCGGAGAGGAGAAAGCCACCATTCGTTCCGAGCAGAAAGTTTTGTGGGAAGTACTTGTACCACTCTTCTTATCCTCCAGCAGACTATACCTACAACAATATAAAGACAATGTAGCCTCAGAGCTGCGAGCAAACATGCTCTGGCGTAAGACCAAAAAAACACCTGGATGAAACTCACTGGTGGTCTCAGTATCGGAGTCGAATCTTAGTCGTTGCCACTGTGCGTTTCGATGCTAGACCGAATTCATTCTAACACAGGTTCAGAGAGGCGGTGCGGGAGAGACCCAAAACGCTTAACACGGAGGGCGCCATCTATTAGTGCCCGACGGCCACGGCCGGGGGTTCATACGTCCCGTTTGGTGCGTCAAACGAGATAGCCACGGTTGCAAAAAAAAGAAGAAAGCGTTGTTGCGAGCTGGTTGGGAAGACGACACTGCCACTCTTTTTCTAAGCGTAAACGCGATATGAAAGCACTCCGCCCTGTAACCCCCTCGGTGGGCGGCGCACGCCCGCCGAGAACGCGGATAGTGGTAGGAAGTATGTGACTTACGTGACGTGTATCCTCGGTCTTTGTAGCATGTGCAGTGTCCATGGCCTTTATCCGGTTTAGGTTGCAACGAAAAGTCTGTCCTTTCGTCGTTACTCCCGTGCCGTAACCTTGCGCAGCTGTTTCGTGTCCCCTTCCTTTGCGACGGCCGGTCTCCCAGTTTTTTTCTCCTGTGACGTGCCGTCTGCCCGGGAACTTCGGTCTAAAAGAGACGATCCATCGGGGAATCCGCATTTGTGACGTTTGGAGCCTCTTTCTCATTTGCCAAAGGGTGCTGGTCGAAGATGGCAAAACTGCGCGGTGTTCCACAAAACGGAAGACAACATGACCTGTTGCCGACGGGACGCTCGTTTTCAAGCATGCAGTCGGCGACAGGGCCACTTGGAGCATTTTGTCGGACCTGCCGTGACGGCTCAAGATTTGCTTTTTCTTTTTCTTCTTTGTGCATAGCGTCGTTTTCAATTTCTGCTCAGCGGGGGAACGTGCAAACAGTGATGACGTCGTGTTTGTGTCTTTCAGTCGACGGGAGAAAAAAGCGGCACGACACTGCCCCTTTGCTCGTCGCACGTCGCAGATGGCTTCAGCGTGCGCGTGCAAACGTTTGACCAACCATTGTGCGTTCAGGAAAATAACTCTCCGTAGTACTTAAAGGCTAAAGCCTGTGTTCAAACATCTCTTCGGCTACGGTAATCTATGGAAAACGTGGCTTTTTGTTTTCGTCGCTGCTGCAGTGTTGAAGGTGTCCCACGCTTGCTCACTTTTGCCCAGCTGAAAGACAAAGTGTTTGTTGAGTTATTTCTGTTTTCTTTTTGTTCAGAGCCATAAAACATGCATTGCATCACATCGTCTGCATTGTGCATACACATTTTACGGCATTTTTTTCACCTATTTATATGAAACTTGCGCACGGCTGCTGATGGGTGGCATTGCGCAATACATCATTGTTTTTTTGCCATTTCGTCGCTGTATTTGTTTTTCATCTGTGGAATATTGGTGGCATTGCAATAAGCACATCTCCTTCATCAATACAGACATGGTTCCAGTTCGATCAGTGCCACATAAAAGTAGCGTAATTAAATTTTTTTTTTTTACTAACTTTTTTTTTTTTTTTTTTAATGTCTTCAGAAGATGCTTTAAACGATTGTGGTGCTCCAAGGGAACTTTACTGCACCGGTCAAAGAATTTCCTTCGTCAATTTGAAAACAGTAAATTGCGAATAAAATTGTTGGGATTCCTAAAGGCTCGAAGACTGAAGACTCGATATTGCTAGAAACGTTCCTAGAGGAGGGCAGTTCTGTGCCATGTGTACTCGAAACACCAGATGTTTTCACATTCTTTCTTAGAATACATGCAAGGCCTGGTTTTTTGGGGTTTTCTTCGTCGTAACATTTTTGCACAGTGCCGTAGGCCGTGTGCCCTTTGGCGAGACATACCGGTGATTTAGTGTGACAAAACTGTATGTATGTGTGTCTGTAAACCCGGAAGTCCTAGTTAACCTTACGTAAAAAATGTGCACTGTCGGCATGACCGTAGAAGTAGTTCAATTCAATTGTACGCCTACAGTAACCGACAATGCACATTTTTTTAAAGTTTATCGACAGCCCATTTTTTCTACCTTGCTTCACTTAACATATGCATATATCATTTGTAGTTCACCCCGTCAACCTTCGTTTTTCATCGGTGTCAGGAATGTCTGAATTGTAAGTTACCCTGTCCCCTGACCACAGTCCTAAACGTGCTGCCCACTTCCATTTCTTTTTTTTGGTCCGTGTGGGGTTGTATGCATAAGTAGTGGAGCGGCACATACAGTATGCTGCAATTCATCTGTGCAAGAGGCATTTTGCCGTGGACAGCCTGCCCGGGCATGAAGAATGAGGTGACGTAGGCTGTTCCCTGCAGTCAGTGCCTCTTACTCTAAGCGGTACCTAGGTTGCGATTTTCCAGCAGGCTTTGCAGAAGAAACCAAGCGGTTTGACTGCATTCGGAACATGACGTCTTGACCCCTGTCAGGTTCTGACCAAGCCTAGAACATAGCCAGCTCGGAGACTTCAACACGGGTTGCTGATTTGTGCCGTGACGCATTTTGGTTTGTGTTGTACATCGTGCTCTTTCGTGTTCCTTGATGCAGACGGATCTCGAGCTGCGCCTTTGTTTTCATTCTTACGGAGAATTTGTGTGTAAATCTGTGTCATTTTATTTTTTTTTTTTTTTTCTCATTTGGTCGACGTAGTCAAGTTTCATGTGGATGTGAATAAATATGCACCCGAAATATCTCAAAATTCCTGTCTGTCTATCCTCCGAGAGTTTGCTTTAATAGACTACTTTCATAAATCCATCACCGTGCGCGTCGCATTCTGTGAACCTGTGGGCCAGGTTCGGAGTGCGTATGGATTTTGCTTCCCACTGATTCCCACAATGCTTGACATGGCACTACGCCGCGATGAGGCGCTTCGAGTGTTGGAATAATTCTGTTTTCCACTAGGAGGCATACATTCCACTCATTTGCATGAAACAGCCAGAGGGTTCTGTAGGTAGGCAGGCAGGGCCGGATTATCCAGGGTACAGTCAACTAGAGGAGGGGTAATGAGATCAGGAGCAGACGTGTGCCATGCATTGCTGTGAAGCGGCGAGCGTGGAAAGGTCTCTGGTGTATGCGGCAGCGCAGCGGTACCATGGGCTGGAGGATGCAAGCGCTCCGAGGGCCTTCAATGAGCAGGTTTAGCTTGGCAGCGCAAACTGGCTCCTGATCAGATTTTTCCTCCCGTGTTTTCTATCGTTTATGTCGAATGAGGTGGAATGCCGATTTGACTATGACGACAACGACAGCTGTGGTGCAGCAAATGCAATGCAAAGCATGTGCTACTACGGCTCGTGCTACTACGGCTCGTGCTTTAGTGGCGCCCTCTCGTGCTGTCGACACGAAGTGAGCGCCCTTGAGCCTGCTACCCCACAGTTTATCATGCAACGTTTGCCCACTGTAGAATAAACCTTTGGTAATTGCAAACCACATGATTGAGGGCCCTGGGTAAATAAAAATACATTAGTTGCGTTAGATTTACCTGCACCGGTTTAGAAAAGTAGGGAAGTGTACTTTTGGTAAGTGTATTGAGATTAGGAGTGTCACAAACTTTTGTCGAACCTTGATTTTGACGTTGATCTGACGTTCTAACTTCTAAGGTTCGACTGGTTCGCCGAATCTTCAAACTTTCACTAAAGTTCAAAGAAATTTGACTTATGGACTTTGTTGCTTGGCGTCTACACAAATATTTCGAATTTTGGGAAACAAATAATTCAGAAAGGAGTTTATTTGATATTTTATAAAATGGTTATGAATGTTTACACCATATAAAAGCGAAAATATGCGCTTAATAATGTGAACCAGTGATGCCAATACACCCAACAATATTTCACTTTTCCTCCGCCAAAAGAAGTCTTTTTTTTTTTTTTTTTTTTTTTTTTTGCGCATGTTTTGAAAAGTTGAGGTTCAGGAAAATCTTTCTCGAACAGGACAAATCGGCGCCTCCACGTAACAATCCCAAATTTTCACCAAGGGTGTATTTTAGACTGCCGCTGTCACACTGTGCGTACATCGTACAAAAAGAAGCGGCGTTATAATAATATTTATTCTGGCTCGGGAGAGCCGCGACACCGCAGAAAGGCTGATGGCCCATACCGTAGAGGTCTGCGACGCCGCTCAATAGAAGGTTGAACAGTCATGGATTTGTACAGATGGCCATGACATAATGGTGTGCACTGTAGACACGATGACATAATTATGTGTGGAAACACTTCAAGCATCTTTGCAAGCATGTTTGCTTTATACATATGCAATCTTCGAACATAAGACAGTTTCTTGTTTTCTTTTTTTAATGAGCAATGTGAAGGGATCGGCATACAAGGAGGCGGGGCCGTACCCAGAAAAAAATTTCGGGGGGGGGGGGGGGGGGGGGGGGTTTCGGGGACAACGGCGGCCATTTTGAAAGTGTCTGTTGTCTTATTTTCGCCTATGAATCATGTGCATCGGTGGCATATAATGGAGAGTTACAGCACACTGGAGAACCGGTCCCGGTTTGGTACCCGGTAGCCGACCGGCGCCACTGCGCGTGCGCAGAGGTGGAGATTAAAATCGGTTGGCTGCCTGTGCACCGACCAGGGCCGTACCCAGAAAAAAATTTCGGGGGGGGGGGGGGGGGGGGGGTCAGAACCCCCTATCTCCCCCCCCCCCCACCCCCCCCCCCCCCCCCCCTGGTTACGGCCCTGCAAGGAGGAAACACGTCTCAGTCAGTGCCTCCAGGCGGTCTTTCGTGTCGCGTTGGCAGTGCGTTAGCGCGACTCGGTTAGGGGTGCATTTTACCTCGTGATATATCAAGACACAGCTTGCTTCCTGCGAAAAATGAGAGAGTCGAAGGAACTTGGCGCATGGTGGATGGCGGACGTCGAACGCCACGCGCAGCGGGCAGACGACAAGGTACAAGGTCGCTTCGTCTGCTGAATGCGTCGTCTGTTCTTGCGCCCATCGGGAGATGGCGCCACGAGTCCCATTGCCGCTTACTCGGTAGTTTCAGTCAGGACCAGCTTAAATAATTCAAGTTGGTCCTGGTCTCAGTAGTGTATATCTGTGCAATGAAATCAGCCTCTGATATAGGACGCTGCAGTAAGATCCGGAGCCCAAATTTTAGATTAAATGTCGCAGCGAAGTGTATCCAAACCGCTCTGAAATAGGCGACTACACGTTACTATGCACGTTACCGCACGCTAAACGGATTACGCTCCCGAGATTGCACACATAGCTACGCCCTTTCAGCACTCTTATTTTGAATAATACGTTTTGTTTTTCTTTTTTCTTTTTTTACAATAAGTTTTTGTATATGGTTATGTTGGGTGTAAAAAGCGCGCAGGAAAGGGTTTTGCCTGCGTTGCTGTTCAGGGAAGCGACAACCTACCCGTTTCAAAACAGCTACGGCGGAGGTTGTTTCATCGAATATCTATAGCCTTCATTCATGATCTTTACTTGGAGTTCCATTGCTTGAATTTCGAGATATTATGTTTTATGTGAAATATTGACGAGAACAAAGCAACATACTTACAGTCTTCGTAATTGTGGAGGCGATCCCCTGTAAATGAGTATCTTTCAATCGTCGAGTAGATCAGGCGGCAGAGGAGCAGTGAACACGGACATAATTCTTCCCTTGTGCGTGCCTAATTGCGTCGAATAATGATTTAGCGCCAGGGTCACCATTTTCAGGGTGTTCCAGCTCATAAGCACCAGAAGGGTGTTGCTTTAACACCCTCAGGGTGTCAGCCCTGGGACATGCTCATTCACGCCCCCGAGGGTGTAAATCGTTTTAGCGTGTACTTGTGGTTTTATTTATCAGTGGCGCGATAAATGAAAAGTAGGAACACATACACGTGAAGGCAGTGGAAACAGTTTATCGGAATACGTGGACAGGTACCGTACCCGAAAGATTGTCAGTGCTGCACGCTCGCCTCGAAAGGACGCGCGTCTATGTACAAACTTGAAAATGCCCAAACTTAAGCCCATCAACAAAGTCAGCGTTTCTTACAAGTTGCGACAGCGAGTATTGATATCATGTCTGGGCCGCCGTTTCTTCCAGGGGAATCACTCGTCGTTGCTTCTAGAGTCACTAAGCTACGCTCAGGCTAACGACACTCCATTCCACCACTGTCCTGTAAAAGCCGCCGTTTGTGTTGCCTAATGAAGAACATTGGCGATGGTCATGGCTCAAAAATATGACTTTCTACGGTGTCAAGAAACTCCAGCGATATTTTTTTGACGTGTTGCCGACTGTTTTAATATTTCCAGGGGACGTAAAAGCGCTCCCTGGAATTTAAGTGATTTTAACCAACAAGGTGGCTCAGGTGTCGTTAATCTGAAGCGTGCATTTGTGGCTCTAGATGCTGCACGCCAAAGGAACAGGTTGGCGGGCTTGAGTCCCAACCGTTATGCTTTCAATAACACACACGCACAAAAACCGAACATGGTCACTCAGACTCAGAAGACCGCACATGTTCCATACACACCAACCTTTATATAAACACTCAAAGAATCACGCAACAAAAATTCGTTGGGTAGACTAGTCAAACTTTGAGGACGCGTAGGAACGCATGCGTCGTTTCAAAATGACGTGCATGTGACCGTCGCTAAGCTTCGCGCGAAATAATGCCCATTTGTCTAAAAAAAAAGTACAGAAAAAAAATGTTGTGACACCGAATACAAGCAGCCAGAGGCGGCGATTTTCCAGTGAGTTTGGAGGGTTGCCGGCCCACACCAGACGTGCGCACTGCACGTGCGCAGAGACCAGATTCGCGTGAAGTGAGTCGTCTGCGCATGCGCCGACAGCAGCGCCACCGCAGCGGGGTTACGTCAGAGTCGCGCGAACTTCTGCCGAACTTGAGTTTCGACTGGTTTCGCGAACACTCGCGACCTTCCAACAAAATTCGAATTTTTTACAGTGTTGCCCGTCTAATACATAAAACTCCAAATGGAAACATATATAGCTTATACTGTAGTCTTTTACAAATTTTACAGAATATAGAAGCAAAGATTTGTCTCTCAATGATTTAGTAGTTGGCTTGTTTAATGTGAAGCAATACACCCGATAAATATTGCACCCTTCCTAAGCCGTGTGGCGTTAACTTGTTTTCAAAATCGGCTAGGGCACAGAATTTGTTTCAACTCGCGCGCTGCAAAAAGAAAAGTCGTGTCACCATCATCATCATTGACATTCGAACCTCAGTCGGACTTTGCTTTCAAGTTCGAAAAACGCGGATCTGGTTGAATTTGCATCTCGGCAGATTCGCAACGTCTCCAACGCTGTTCCTACTTTGTCCATTTCCTGAGGGCTCATCCTTCCTCTCCTTCGACGTAATGAGAAATATTTGCCCGCTTTTCGAACTGTCGTTTTCAGGGCACTTTCGCTACGAGAATTCACAGTTGGCTCGAATACGGGACGGTCGTGTTTCCTTTATACTTTGCACGACAGAAACAGACGAACAGAAATATACCGGTATATGATGAGATACGTGTGGCATAAACCCTGCGCGGTATAGCCTTCAACGCGAAAGACTGAATGCCCGAAGTGTGACGCAGGACTAGTAATGCAGCGCCATCTCCCGACGATCGACCGCGGCCAGTGTCAGCTAGAGAACAACGTGTCTCATCAAGCATAAAAAGTTGCCGGACTTGGACTGAATAGACGTTGCAACGGCGTTACTCGAAGGGATGCTCGGCTGACGAGCACTGTACAAGGCTATGCTGCGACGACAACGCCACCATGCCAGCGTGACGTCACGGAGCGAAGAGAGCGTGCTGGTTCGGTGGAAAAGCTTTCACTCTCAAATACGACGATAAACCTACACAGCTTCGAAGAAAAACGAGCCGAGAATCACCGCACAAGTCATGCGCAACGCTATCGGAGTCACTTCTGCCCGTTTGAAATTTTGTTTGCATGAACTCTCCCCCAATCAAAGGTTTTCCGCAGATATGTTCGAACTGTTGAGGCATTATTGGCTTCATGCAGAGCCGCTGAATAGTCACAGTACAGGTAGGAATGGTGTGGCTCACGATATTGCGGCTCATTTGACCGTTAGGCGGCAGTGAATCATGGCGTCACGCGAAGACACGTGACACCAATCGGCCATTTTGTCAACGCGTCGTACGACCTGTCGGGCGTCTTGTCGTGCATGCCTCTAGCACTTAAAAACTGGTTCGCACAGTGGCGAACGAGTGCCTTAAAGCCTCTTGGGGTCTCTTGCAACGAGAGCGGACGAACGAGTCGACTGGCGCCATCTATCGGGTAGAAAAGGAACACTTAAAATGTTCGTCTATTTCTTTCTTTCTTGGCTCGAAAAAAACTCTTGGTAATTTTATAAACGACAATTTCTCATATATAATACGTACATTCGACCTCTCAAATATACTGCCAAGCCTTCGCTTTAGTGAAATGCAGTTCCAGGATCACTTCATAGATGGCGCCAGCGTCTGTCGTCGTAAGAGATCACAAGAACTCGGTCGTAAGCATTAGAAGAGTGTAAACGGGCCTTCATGATGATGCCTCCAGCGTCGCACGCATCTTCGTAAGCGGAATCAGTCCATGTGAAACGACCTACACATGAAGACGAGTAATGGATCGCACTGTGTGAGAAAACTCACTGATACCGGCCGAATGGGCCTTTAACCAAGTCAGTATTTACACACAACAAGAACGACTCGGCAGTTCACACCCAGCACACGAGGAAGGGCGACGGCGGTAGGCCTAACGAAGCTTTGGGCCGTGGTTAGACGCCAGGAACTTGGGCACTGTGGCTGGCTTCCGTCGGTATATAATACTGGATCCGGGAAGTGAACGCCGCGATGTCGGTGTTCCGCCGCTCTCGTTCGCAGGCCAGCTTGCTCGGACGGTGATTTCGTTTGGGGCGTCCTCATCAGCTGGCGAACGTCGAAGGGTACTCTTCGTAGAAGTTGAGGTAACTCGGGTAGCTTTCGGATGCACATGTGGCCTGCGAAAAACCGGTCGAACGGATGTTTACTAAGATGCCTACGGCCAATGGGCTCATGCACGTCGGACAACACTAACACAACGTAGGCGCTTTTTTTATTTATTTCTTACTTTGACAAAGTTGTGAAGGGCACTAAACTTTGCCGCCTGCTCTGGATCGATCACTTTCCGCCACACTATAGACTCCGTTTCGCATCAAGTCCAACCGCGACCGTCGCTACACAATCAGGATGAAGCCAATTCTATCAGCACCAAAAGTGCATCCTCACGGTGGTCGTCGTCTTTGCGCGTCCGCCATCAACGATTAACCTGATGACGCCCTGTAAACAAGTGCGTTATCGGTAGACACCCATCTCAATAAAGTTTGTTCATCCATCCATCCATTTATGCGCCGCTCCGACAACAGCGCCAGCTCAGCGGCGTGCGTGCGGGCTCTTACGTTCTCTAGGGTGATCCAGCGCTGACTAGCTTCGTTCTCCTTGTTGCTCTGCATCAAGGCGGGCTCCTGGTAGGCCTCAGTGACCACGTCCGGGGCCGACGAGGACACCGACTTGTCGGCGTCGTCCAACAGCTCCTGGAGGGCGTGGATGTACTCGATGGCCTTGTGCAGCGTCTTCACCTGCGCAGCAAGGGTCGACGGTGCACGCCCGATCACGCAACGGGACCCTTTGAACCGACCGTGCATGCAGCCACAACTACCAAGAAGACAAGGCCTTTAGAATTTGCATAACACTCATGTTGTCAAGAAAGACAGTGAAGAAACAGTTGCGTACCACGCAAATTTAGGTGGGCTCCTAATGACTTCATGAATATGACCTATCTTGCACTAACACATAAACACTGAAAGACGTCATTTTGAGTCCAGATAGGAGCTCCAAGAAGAAGGGACTTTATGAGAAAATCGTGAGGGTGCAGGCGAGCTGGTGAATATTATTCATGTTGAATTAACCTGAGACTGGGGTAGAGAAGAAACAAAAAAAAAAAAAAAAAACGCAGAAGGGACAGAAAACAGACAGACGTCGTCCTGTCTGTTTTCTGTTCGTTTTACGTTTTGATGTTTCTTCTCTATCCCAGTATCAGGTTATTTCAACATGGACTCTATGAGATTCCTTTATTTCTTTTTTTTTTTTAGTCTACTTGAATATTGGTGTTAGCTACAATACTTTTTTCGTTTGTACTTGTGCCACTAATAATTGAAGTGTACGTATTAAATATTCAAAGCCTCGTTTTGTCACGTTTTAGTTAAATTACAAAAAAAAAAAAAAAAAAAAAAAAAACTCCAGTTTGTGCAGAAACGGCCATATAAAGAGCCAGAAAGAAATAACAATCTGTGTCGCCGCAAGGTCTTCAACGCTCTCCTGAAAACACGTTTTACTAAGTTGAAGTGAGCGTTATCCCCTAACTTCCATGAGTCCGTATCCTCTTTACGTTACGTAATGATACTGGCGTCTTAATTTTACTCTACTTCTGTCCAGGTAACTGCCGACGAGCGCGGCCTGCATCGTCTGCTTCCAGAGTTTCGGAAGGCGAGCTGCGCGTTGGCCTTGTCTAATTCAGACCAAATAATTCTTTACCCCCGTGCGCAACATATGGAATCGGGAACAGAAACGCGAAAACTGACCGATGAATACCTAAGAAACTGCTACCTTTTCGCAAAATCCGTAAATTGGTCAAGCCTCAGATAACAGTTGGCGTCAATAATCCAATTGCCCCAACGTGAGCTACGAAACTATTAATTAAAAATATTAACCAACAATATGTTTGACAACTGACTTTGCCCACGAGTGTCATTACCTCATTTAAAATCCGTCGAGCCTGACACTCAGATCGCAAAGACGGCACCCCTGTAACTACCACATCTTATCAAACACACTGCCTCTAATGATACTAGCGAGTTAAAAATTTGATACATGTTCTGCTGGCCTCCGGTGTATTCTAGTGTCTATAATTCTACGGATGATTGGAATCTCAGGGGTGTGAGGTGTCCGCCGCAGAGAGTGGAATGCTCTTCCCATTATTATACTGCTTTTGGTAGCACTACTTATTCCATTAAAATTCATTCAAGTTAAATGGAGAAGCGACATCACCGTTATCATTTCTCATCGCTGAAGAGCTATCCGGTCTGAATCGTTTTTGTTTTCGGGCATATGACACGGACAAGGCCGACGCGCAGTGTGCATTCTCAAACTCGGGAAGCAGACGATGCAGGTCTGCGTTCGTCGGCAGTATACGTACCTGGACAGAAGTCGAGTAAAATTAAGACGCCAGTATCATTACGCAACGTAAAGAGGATAAGGATGCATGGAAGTCAGGATAACGTCCACTTGAACTTAATAAAACGTGTTTTCAGGAGAGCGTTGAAGACCTTGCGGTGGCACACATTTTTTTTCTGGCTCTTTATATGGCCGTTTCTGCATAAACTGAAGTTTTTGTAATTTAACTAAAACGTAACAAAACGAGGCTTCAAAAATTTAACACGTGCAATTCAATTATTAGTGATGTGAGAACAAAGGAAACAAAGTATTATTGCTAACACTTAGATCTAAGTTTAAAAAAAAATCATAAAGTATAATTTTTTTTAGTTCTTATTTGGACCCAAAAATAACCTCTTTCATAGTCTGTATTTTAGTGTAAGGTAGGGCATATAGCGAAGTAGTTAGGCGCCCACTTAAAGTTGTTTAATACGCAATCGTTTTTTCCCATTTTTTCTAACTGCGTGGGTTTTATGCAAATTCCAGAAGTTTGGAGCATAACATCACCAAAAACAATTTTTTTTTCACATAAATTTATTTTATTCAGCTTATTATTATTATTTTTTTTTGTACATATCCCAGACATGAGAAATGTGCCGCATCTGTTTTTAGTTTTCAGTTTGACAAGAAATCGTGTAAAGAGGCACGTTGCGCAGATCACACTGTCTTCGCAGTTGTTTTGGAGGAAACTGCCGATGATGCCGAGCCCTTCTGCGTCACGAACACAGTTCTGATGCCCAGTGGCGTACCAACTTGTTTTTGAGTGGGGGGGGCAAACCAGACCCTCTCCCCCCCCCCCCCCCCCCTAAAGCGAAAATTCGGCGCAACTTTTGTCCAACTTTTCTAAAGATTTGGCAATGATTCGGCAAAATTACAACGTTACCAGACTTAACATTGATATTTTGTTTTTTCTCACGAAAAAAATTTTGCTTCTTCTTAAAATAAATACAACTTGTAGTGCCTATTGAAAGAGTTATGACTAAATAAGGTGATATTCTAGAAGATAATTGTATCGATGTCGCTTCTGTGTGTTTACTTGTAATTTTGGTGTATGCTTCCAGAAAGTGGCGTGACAACGAGGTTGGGTAGTAGCCGGCACAGTCACGAATCACACTACGAGAGCTTTGATTTTGAGGCTTCATCAGCGCACGCCTGCAAGTGTGTTTACATTGTTAAAATAACGGCAATCACTGCGTTCTTACTTTCTCTGGTAGTCGCCGTTTCGTGCGCGAAAACGGATGCAACGGTTGCTGAGCCTTCACCAGAAGAGATAACAATATTGTAAATATGCATGTTTTTCGATTTGAGTCACTTGACGTCAGCTTTGCATGAAAGTGCGCGTTCCATATTAGCAACGTGCCGTTTTTAACCTTTAAAATTCCGGTTTCTCGTGTTCGGACACACACGGACGTTTAGGAAGATGGGGAGAGTTAGGAATGGTCGGATGTGCAACGTCGACCATGATAGTTCTGTGTTTAACGAATATTTTTCATCAGTGTTTACTAACGAGTGCTTGGACTCCGTCCCCACTCTCCCTGAAGAGCTTTACGAGCGCATGCATCCTATTAACGTTAACTCCGCCGGTATTATAACTAGGGTTCGGAGTTTTCGGTTTAAACCGATAAAAACCGATAAAAGTACGCCGAATCCATTTTCGGAAATTCGGTTTTAACCGGAAAAGGTCAGTTTTTAGGTTCGGCAGTTTTAATTTAAACCGATAAAAACCGATAAAATTTCGTCGAATCCATTTTTTAAAATTCAGTTTTAACCGGAAAAGGTCACTTTGACCGTCCAGTCGTACCGCAGAGCCGTGGCGAGCCTGTTTTCAAACTCGTTGTTAGGAAGGCTGACTGGATGCAAGCTCTGCATGTTGTGTTGTGCTTCAAAACGTCGCACCGTGTCTCTTTCGGCGATTTTGGCTCATGCAGCGCGTCATCTCCTCAGCCTGCGTCCAGTGTTAGCGTTGAGAGGGCGTTCTCGAAGCTCAGGTCATATATTAACAGGAAAGAAATAGTGTGGATCAAGAAGGAGAACCTGGGAAAGTACATGTTTGTGTGTACTATAATGAGATCACGTATTCCTGATGTACAGAAGGTGAGGTTTCATGTTTTTGGGGCATAGGCTTCATATCTGACTTGTTTGTATTTCTGCGTTTTTTTCTTGTTTCTTTTAGAGTTGCACACATTTGCCAAATGAAGTGTCCATTTCTTTTTCAATGTATCTGTGCCGTTATTCTTTGAATGATCACAAATATAAGAGCTACGTACAAGGATCATCTGATCCGGTGTCCGTTGGTTTTTATTTTATATTCACCGAAAAAAGCCGATAAATTTTTGCGGGCATAAATATACGCCGAAAAAAACCGAAAATTAAATTTTAAAATAAACACCGAAAAAAGTACGCCGAATTTTGAAAAAATAGAAACCGAAAACGCAGAACCCTAATTATAACATTGATTGATAAACTAAAACTTACTTCGTCCGCTGGAACCGACAACATCAACTCTAAAATTTAAAAGAAACACCAGTGTTATTTCGAGTGAGTATTTAAAACTTATCTTTATTCAGTCCTTATCTCAAAGGTGCCTTCCATCTGACCAAAAGGTGGGAAGGGTAATTCCCATGGAGTCTTTAAACAGGGCAGCCGCTCTTCCGCATCTAATTATCGCCCTAATTCATTGACTTCAATTTCTTGCAAACTACTTGAGCATATCCTCTATTCCAATATCATGAGGCACCTATCATCCCATTTCTTTTCTTTAAACAGCAGCACGGTTTTCAAAAAGGTACGTACTTTCCTGCGAGACACAACTCTGCGACTTCATCCATGACTTGCACACTAACCTTGAACCTTGAACCTTCTCCTGGTGTTCCCCTGGGGTTCGTACTTGGGCCCTTACTCTTTTTAATATAATTATTAATGACATCCCCATTGGGATTTCTTCAAAAAACCGCTTTTTCGGCGACGACTGCGTCATCCATAACAAAGTAACTTGTGTGCAAAATAATAACCAGCTTCAGGAAGATCTAGAGAAAATTAACAATTGGTGCAAAGAGTGGATTATGTCATTAAACAAGTATAAACGCAAACTAATCCACTTCACCAAGAAAAAAAAAAAACACTGTCATTTAATTACTTCTTGTACTCCGATCTGATTGAGACCGCTACTGTGTATAAATACCTTGGTGTAAGACTAACATCTGACCTTCCCTAAAATAACCACATTGAAGTCATTACTGCCGATTCATCTGGAACTCTTGGACTAAGCAGACGTAACCTAAAAAGGGCTCCACCCTTTGTTCGTAAGCTAACCTTGGACACGTACGTCAGACCAAAAATAGAATATGCTTCAACCATGTGGAATACCCATCGACTGTACCTCACCAATACCCTGTAGAGGCAGTTCAGAACAGAGCTGCTCGCTTCATTTCATCCACTTATGACTTTTTTTTTTCAGTGTCTCAGCGCTAAAAACTGAACTAACCATGTCCTCTTTGCAGCTTCGCAGAAAAGTCTCTCAGCTGTGCTTTATTCACAAAATCTACTACCACATTCCCGACTTCAAAACCACTTTGTTATTACCCCCCGACCGAACATCTTCTCGCCTCAACAACGTCTGCACCATCAAGCACATTTCTGACTCTACTAACGCTTTCAATTGGTCATTCCTTTCTCAAGCCATCAGCCACTGGAACAGTCCCCCATCCTCCATTGTCACCATCTTGGACCCTGCTGATTTCTCCTCTGCAGTAAAACTACACCTTTCTTGGCCCATGTGATGGTGTGCGGGGCTAGGCAGATAGGTGAAAACCCTTACGCAGAGCGCCTGCCGGGCCAGACTTGTACGTAGTTCAACTACTTTACTCAAGTTACTGTAGTTTAACTACTTTTCTGGGTAGTTTAGTAACTTTTAATTACATTTATATTCTAGTAATTCGTAGTTCACTTTAACTACTTTTCCGAGTGACTTCCACTCAAATTACAAATTACTTTCTAATTTTAGTGGTTGTTTTGCCTATCAACACAGAAAAGATGTCGGAAGGTCAGCTGATATTTGCAGAGCTGGAAGCATGCGGAGTAGAAAAGGGGGGGATGGGAAGGAAGAAAGTGATTTAGATAGTCCAAAAAACCCCAAAATTTTAACGAGCCCCCCCCCCCCCCCCCCCCCTCCCCCACTGCAACAACACTGCTACGAGGCGCGGGGAGCGAACAGACACGACGCAAGAGAGGTCGAGTAACTGTGGGATTAGCTCCGAATAGTGGCGTTTCTTTGTATTCCGAAGCTCAAGGAGACTTGACGCATTTGAAGAAAGGGCTTGTCCCCGCTTCTCTCCAATGTAGGAATTCTTGCCCACTATAGGAGGTGCACACACTGCAACTTTTACGGTGCAGGCGATAGAACCCCTAACAACGACGCTCACGCCGGACGGGCTGCTCGTGTATCACTCGAAGCGCGTTAACCCACCCCCGCGCCTGCGTTCACGCCGCTTCGCGGTGACGGTGTGCGGCTGCTAATTACAATTCTATTAACCCACCTAGCCCCCCCACCCCCCGTACACGCCGCTTTGCGGCGTCCGGTCGGCAACCCAAGCCCCGCTGCCCCCCATGCACTTCCGTAAATAGAGTCGATACGATTTAGTTTAGCGATGTTTCGTCAACAACATTCGTTTTTTTAGTGTTAATGGTAAAAAAGAAATGTAAATATCGCCAAATGCCTCGACAAAACAAAATGTTCGAGAAAAAAAATAAAAAGAAGTAAGCCGGCCCACACCATAAATAGAACCCGGGTCTGACAGGTATGAGGCAGACATCTCACCACTAAGTTACGCTACCTCTTCGGAAACTCGCATTGCATCCGCTGCCTATGTTGACGGCGGCAGCGCCTATCTCCAAGCAAGCAAGCAAAACTTTATTTTGTGTAAGGGCCTACGTCCTGGTCTGGACGGCCCGTCCGGCCCATGTCTCGCGGATGGATTCCGTTAGGTTACCGTGTAGCCTTGTTCGTGGGGCAAGGCTCCACAAACCAGCCAATCCGGCGTGCGTGAGCACCGTTGCTAGGGTTTGTATCGCCTGCGCGTTAAAAATATGCCCGCGCGGGTCGGGGGGCAGTGCCCTTGGTATTCCTTGGGCGCCGCCGGCCTGTGTCTGCTCTGCCCAGTGGCGGCCGTTTCAGGGGGGGCAAAACGCATGCCTTGCCCCCCCACTCTGAGAACTGGGGGGGCAAGTGCCCCCCTTGCCCCCCCGGTTGGTACGCCCATGCTGATGCCTTTGTGAAGCGATGTGTATCTTGATGTCGGCCTTGCCTCGGTGCGAAACTGAAGATGTGGAGTTCTGCCAGGCACTGTTAGTGTGTTCCCTCACATCACAGGCGCACGTGGTACAAAATCCACACTTGTCAGCTTTCCGCAAAAGTGACAAAGCACGGAAACTCAGTCGCGTATGATCTCAGAAATACTTTCAAGTACTTCCTTTTGGCTTTCGAAAGCGCCATCGATCGTTCCAACTAAACTCGGTTAAACACAAAGAGTAGTTCGGCGTTCCGCACTTCACTCGACGACCTGATAAAGCCAACTGAAGCCAACTGAAGCCTAGCGGACCAACGCGATCATACAAGCCGTGTTTCAAAATGCGCTCGAACTTATACTCCAGAGAAGAGGTCTCGTACCTTGGCCTTTGGCGTTTGTAAATCTACCCTCGTTTTACGCTGCTGCTTGAGTTGTGACGTGGTAACCCGCCGGAGTAACCTAAACCTACTCTCGAGTGATTTGCGCTGACACGCGCATAATAATTATAGCAATAAAGCGTAAAAAAAAAATATATATATATACAGCGGCCATTTTTTGGGAGATTTGAGGTCGCATCCGTACAATCGGGAGTTGTGATCCAGGTATGCAGCAGTAAACACTAGTGTGACTAAATGGCGGAGCCAGACTATCGCCAACTCCTCGTTTGACACGCGTTAAATTCAGCGCTTGCGGGGAAGCGGCCTAACAGCAGTCTTAAGTAGTAACGCGTTACTAGTAACGCGTTACTGTAACTTTGTTACTTTTTTGGTAACTTGTAACTGTAACGAGTTGCTTTTTAAGAATATAACTTGTAACTGTAGTTCTATTACTTTTTTCTGAGGTAACGATGAAAGTAACGATGTTACTTTTGTCGTTACTTTCCAGTGTTTTATGAATAATATATCACTGAACGAGGTGCAATTTAGCCATTCCTTGCACTTTCCAGATCGCCTATTCCGACATTTCGAGTGTCAAGTTGGCCTTGCACAAAGTTGTGAATACGTTCTTTCTCGCGAGTCACGACCCGAATATAGCCACGTGTAGATTTTATGAAAAAATATCTGGTTATCTTTACGCACGCGCTTGTACTTTGTGACTGAACACTTACATCTTAGTGTCTTGAAGCACTATCTTGTTGCGGTTTTTCTTTTTTCTGTGCAAACGCTTTTTAATCGGGTGAATTAACCGTGAAACATCAATACGCGTGGAGGGCACTGCGCATGTCTCGTATTTTGATTAGCGCCACTACTCCGCAATGCGCATGTTTCGTATTTTGATTTGAGCCACAACTCTGGCGTGGAAACTTTCAAACACTAACTTCGAGAAGCAACTGCTGCTAACAAAATGGACAATCGGGCGAGTTGGTAAGAGTTCATAATTACTTACAGCGCGACTGGGACAAGGACAGAAAGAGGAGAAACACAGAAACACAGGACAAGCGCCGACCGCGCTTGTCCTGTGTTTCTGTGTTTCTCCTCTTTCTGTCCTTGTCCCAGTCGCGCTGTAAGTAATTATGAACTGCTGCTAAGTTACAATATGAAGTAAAACGCGTTTTTTTTTTATTTTATGCAATAAAACGCTGTGAGGGGCGTTTTCTAGTTTTTTCTATATTTTTTTTGTGTTATAGAAAAGTAACTGAAAAGTAACGTCGTTACTTTTTAAAAGTAACTGTAACGGTAACTTCGCTACTTTCTTCCGAAAGTAAGTGTAACGAATTACTTTTTAAAAGTAACTCACCCAAGACTGCAGTAGCACCGAGTTTGGGGCGGGACATATTTTACGCCGCTCTGCGATCGCGAAATGTAGATCCCAGGTCTGACGAGCAGGAAGCTTCTTGAACCTTCCGAAATTGTGTGTGCCACTTGGACATGCAGAATTGTGCTCTTTTTGCAACATAAGCGCCGCGTGCTAGCGTTGAACCGCCGCCTCATGTCGTCGCGCCCGTCGCGTCTCCTGCAAGATCAACGGTCGCTTCTCCCGCAATACTTGGAGTCAAAAATGCGAGACCGTTGCGGAAGGCTGAGAAGGAGGTTTTTCTGGAGTGCCTTCATGTTGGTTTCCCTCCTCCTCAGCCTTCCTAGTGCTTGCCCTTTCTCGCCTCGCCTGGCGTCGCCTTCGCCTGTACTGCACGACAGTACGGAGCAATATAAACAGCCCAGCTTGACGCGGCGTCGCCTTACCTTCGACAGCCTCTTGGCCCTGTTCTCGATAGGCACGCACTTGCGGAGCCTGGAGAAGGCGTTGTTGACGGCCTGGACCCTGCGGCGCTCCCGGGCGTTCCTCCGGGCCACCAGGTGGGGCGGCTTCTCGCGGTGCGGCACGTGCTTGTAGGCCGACTTGGGCGACGCCGCGTCGGCCCCCGGAGATGCCGCCGACGTGGACGATGTGACGGCAGACGACGGGGAGCCGTCCTTGGCCGCCGTCAAGGGGCCCAGGTCCGAGTCCCTGCTCGAGGAGTCGTCGGGAGTCTCCGGCGAGCACGGCTGGAACGACGTCCGCTGGCTGCTGCGAGGAGAGGGGGAGAAAAACGCTTCGTCAGTCGGGGTCACCTTGTGAGAACACGGTGTATTCGCACAACCGAGATTCTCCCACGAGGAGAGGATTGAACGCCGTCGAGTTTGGCTAAATTGTCACTAATTACGATTACACTCGCGTAAAAGTAAGCGTATGTTACTTCAAAAAGTATTTCGTTACTTTACGGGCGTTACTCTCAACCTTACTGTCCTGGGGTAAGACAAAAAAACACAAGTGTTATAGAAGCGTTTATTGTTGCCGCCACTCACGCTTTCCTGATCTTGAGCAACATCTGGCTCTCAAAAGTTCCATCGGACATCATGTCTCATTTATACGTAAACATGTCGTCCCTCCGAGCTGGAAAAACTTTTCAATCGGCCTTTTCCAAATAGGTGCTGCCACCTGGACGCGCGACTGGGTACGAGATTGAGTAAACGATTGGCTTGCAAGGTCTCTCCTACCCGTTCGACACCCAGATCGTCAGCCAGATCCTGTTGGCTCATTGAGACGCTCTGACCTAGATATGGCTCCCCCAAACTCTTCGTTTTTGTCTCCAGTGTGAATTATTTTCATCCCTGAAGTTGGTACAAAAAAGTCATTTATTTCTCTGCTGAACAGAAGGAAGCAAAGAAGAAAAAAAAAAAGTGAAGGGGCAAAAGCAAAAGACACGCACATATCCGCTACACCAGCTCGTGTGCACTTTTGTCCGTTTTTCTTTTTCCTTGGTTAAAAATAAACACTTCGACCTCGGTAGTTTGGCTAATATTGTTTGCACGAAGAGTCGGGATTTTTGCATAAGTGTGCTTTCCTCTTCGTTGTGGGCAAGCAAGCTGACGAGTTACCGATTTGCGAACAACCAAACCACCCACACAAAAAAATGATTTGGAGTTTTAGGTAGCGTGGAGAAAGGCTTTGCGCATCTGAATACTGCCAGACGTCGCGTCTTGTAAATGCCGGTGACAGTGATTCCGGATCCTGGTAGATCAGCCCGCGAACGGATTGATAACGAAATTTGATAACGATACGGAGAATGCGTAGAGGCGTCGGCGGAGTACCGTTATCGGAATCGTCGGAACGGTCTACTAAAACACTCTTTCAGGAACTTCGGGGGTTTCGAAAACCGACGAGACTTCAAGGATAGCGGATTGACATCGAGCATGGTCATACCAACAGCTATAACTAAATCTTGCACGCTTCGTTCGGCCAGCTACGTCATTGCTCCTAGGCCAAGCGAGAAGAACCAGCAAAGGGTCTTCATTGCCGAGCGTCTGCGACAATGCTGGCGAAGCACTCCGAAACACATCTGTTCGCTCGGGAGAAGTGTGTTTCGGCGTCTCGCCGCAGCGGGGCGCCAGTCACGTGGCTCTCCTCTCCATCCGTTGTCTGCCGCTCCCCTTTTTCCATTTCGGCTGCCGCTTCTCGTGGCGATCTGCCAGGCTTTATCAGTATATAGGAGGCTATGGTGGTACTTGTACGTGAAGTCCCATGATACTCCTTTATACAAGTAATTCCAAGCGATACAAATGATGAAGCACAATCCTCTGGAACAAAATGGCGTCATTCAGTTCAGTCGTCCGCTCTGCGCTGCCATTCGCTTCCTGAAACATGCACCGTCACGCAGTCAACGCTTCAAAGAATGTCGCTACGTGTATAGGAAGCTCTAGCAACTTTACTTGTGCCGACAAAAAAGAATTTAAACAAACAAGATAGCACGACGTGACGACGCAATTTTATTGACAGCGAGCGGTTCGCAAGCGAAGAAAAGGTAGATGGTTAGGTTAGGTTAGGTTAGGTTAGACATTACATATCAGACTCCTATTCTGACTCATGTAGCTAAATACTTAGCCTCTGTGACTGTGAAAACATTCAAGTGCGAATACCGCAGAGAACATTTGGAATTTGAGAAGACACTTCCCCACGATGCATGCAGTGCGTGGTTCGTCATCAGACGCTTTAAATTGAGAGAGACTGCACCTTTCGACCCTACTGGTCGTCAACGAGGTAATGCATGCTGAACTTGTGAACAAGCTTGTGTCGTCCCAGCACATCGCTTAATTCTTGCGCTTACGTGATAAACGAAAAGTTGTCAGGGACCTGACACTAGCTACACTGCCGGAGTTCGAAGAGAGGGGACTTTTGCGCAAGGGAGTCGACAAACCTTCTGATGCAGGGTCTGCTCCATTCGAAAAGCAACTGTCTGTTTTCCCAAAAAGTTAGTGTTGTTTTTAAAATAAAGTGTGAAAAAATCACGACATCTCTGTAGATCGACAAACATAAAACCCGAAACGGAGGCAAAAAGGAAGTTGTCTCACGAGACGAAATATACATTTTGTCACGTTCGTTATTTTACTTGATGGCCTTCTGGCACGTAGTCAATCAGTCCCATTTTGTGTCGCATTTGCTTGTTTCACTCTATTAAAACTACTTTTTTTTTTTTAAATAAAACAATTGACTCCTTGATTAGCGAGTTATTTTCGTACATTTTAAATACGAAAGTGGCTGTCCAACCTGTGGTGGGAGCTAGGTCGGGATCGTGCTTTTACTTTTATTTGAACTTTCAGGAAACTATCTGGAGGGCGCGCTAGACGTAAAATAGCATTTCACATATTTTCTAGTTGTGTGGTAAGCGTGGAAGTAAAAAATGATTCAAATTAAAGTATTTGTGATCGCAGAGCAGCGCGTTGGTTCTACAAAGGATATTTAGCTAAATAATTGTGTAAAGAGTGTAGTCAGTAATATTTATCCTTCGTGTTTTCAGTAGTCCTAACTTAAACAAATTGCCCTGTAAAATTGTGTTTTTCAGAAAACAATTAAATTACGTTGTCACCGCTTTTAGGAGTATCATGCGCACAATATCACAATTTTTAATCCTCCGCCGCGCAAGCAATTCAATTTTAAACAGAGTTCAACTGCGCAGATTGCACCTGCAAAGTACAAAATGTCAACAAAAATATATATTTTTTTTTAAATACAAAAAGGCATTGCCGAACGCTCATTCCCCGCCCAAAGGTAGCGCTAGAGGTCACAACCAGATGCCAAAGTTTCAGCCCGATCAAAACCTTAATCAAAACTTAAAAATGATTTTCTGAAAATTTCAATGGGAAAATGGCGGCCGAAGGAGTTTTCGAACACATTGGGCGCTATGGCACCAGAAACCGAAAACGAAAAAAAATGGGCACCATTTTCTCGTTGAACTTTTCAGAAAATCTCTTATAACTTTTCAATAAGTAATCGGATCGGGCTGAAACTTTGGCATCTGGTTGTGACCTCTATAGTGCTACCTTTAGGCGGAGAATTAGAGTTCGGCGATGCCTAGTTGATTTTTGCAGTAAAAATAATAATAATAAATAAATAAAAGAAAACTTGTAATTTTTTTCTGGTGACATCTTGTACACAGCGTTTTTGCTGGCAACAGCGGAAGCTCTGACGGAACAAAAGGCAAAGGGAGTCACCTCACCTTTTGACTGACGTCTCAGTGAAATAACTTCGTTCTAAGAAAGATACGATTCACGGCATGAAGGAAAGCTCAATTATTCGACGATGATCTTTGTAAGCGCCATCAAACGTGTTGTTCGAAACCGGGAATAAATCAACGTCCGCGACCCTGACGTTACCATGCCCGATCTGATGTTACGTCACGACACGACCAGTCACGCATACTTGCGAAATTTGACGTGAAGTTTCGCATTGATTTTTATAACTGATTTAACGAGTATTGGGGCGTCCTTTAATGAAACAAATATCACATATGACTATATTTAGGCGGCCCTCTCTACGTGACCAGCGCACAAACTTAGCAAGTTCCGTATATCACCGGACAATCCCCTCAATAGACGAACTGTAGACGTTAGCAGAGTTACGATCTTCCAATCTTAAAAGACTCTAATTCGATTAATTACGTCGACGTCACGCACGGGTAAGTGACATTCGTACAATATTTCCAGTCAAAGGTACAAGCAGCGGGTCAGCACAACGAAGCCCAGAGCTGCAACCGACTGTCGCCTTTGCGCTCGCTAAGCCTAGCTGCAGTGACGTCACGGAGCGGGTAGTTCTACGCAACTCTTCAGCTGCTCGTTCGTCTTGCGAGGCATTGCGAAGACTGCGGCGCATTCAGTCAGCGCCTGTTCCCGCCCGTCCTGCGAATGCGCGCGATGGAGGCGAGGCAGCCAAATCGTGTTGTGTTCGAGAGGATAACTTTCCGAAGAGGGGAGGAGAAGCCTGCCTACAGAAATACAAAATTCCTATCGCATTTCAAGATCGCGAAAACAAACGCGTCTCGATCCCGTGCCTTCGCAATAAAAAAAACAACACATTCATAAAAGGAAAGAGTACCGAAATTATTTTGCGAGCGGAGCAACTGACAATTAGTGCCGAGGATATATAGCCGCGGCACTGGGAAGTCAGTGCCAACATCTTCATCGTTTTTTTTTGTTTTTCTTTCAAATCCTAAACGAGGAAAACTGATTACCGAGAGGAGCGTACCGCATACGCTGTGTCGTGAGAAGGGGCGGCGACAGCGAGACTCCCTCCATGCGTGACGACGTTGTATCACGTTGTCGCTGTCACCGAACACACGCGCCGACGGGCCGCAAGAATTCCCCCCGCGCGGCGCGTAATCGGCTGTGACGACGCAGTGCACATGAACCCCCCCCCCCCCCCCCCCCCTTTTCTTTTCAACAACAACAACAACAAAAAAAGACAACACCATTAATTTGTGCTGTTTGTTGACAGTGTAGTGGAAGCTAGAGTCGCTCGCCGTCACGGTGCTCCCGCTATTTTGCGCCTGGTTAGAGGGGCGAAAGAGGATATGTGCCGCGAGCCATCGGAAGCCAGTTCGATGCCATGCGAGTGTCACGTGACTCCTGTGAGGGGTTCGGCGGACGCGCGGGGCACGTCACGTGACAAGGTTGGAGCGCTGGATTGGCTGGGTATGGCTCGTAGCGTCCGCTGCTGTTGAGGTGAAGCCGAGTGCACGTATATGTATCTGATGG